CATGTTAATGTTATGCAGCTAAATGCACAGAGTTGTTACCAATCATCCATTAGCATTCTGGCAATGTAACTAACTCCTTTTAAAACTACATACATACTGTAATCAAAAAGTTAATGAAACAGAGAAACAATCTCTACGATTGACTGAGTGAGCGAGCGAAACCAACATACACCTCCCCCTCCCCGCCCCTGCCGCGCTGTTCCCTGCGTACATGCCCTTCAAAGATCAATATCTAGAATCTAGATTCATCTGTTGATTGGCGCCGGACGCCCTGTAGTTTACTAACATTAGATTTACTTACGTAATTGCGTAAAATGAAATTGCCTTCTAATTTCAAAATCGTATCAATGTATCAAGTAATAAAGAATGCAGAAGAGTTCGAAGTTAAGGTGGCCAAAATACGGAATGCTGACGATTTAGAAATGGTAGCTCATGAGCTTCGTATGCCAGTTGTTAAGTTGCAGTACTTGTTAATGATTAAAGAAATGATCGATGGACAACATCGGTCGGACGGTGTGAGGAAAACGATCAAGAAAAATAAAAATAACCTTAAGTTAATACCCATAGAGGAAGGTGTAATGGAAAAGCTACGTGGATTAAAGCTTAACTCAACTTAAAGGCGACCTCAAGGCGCCTCGTTTTGTAGAAGCAGAAAATAAAATCTATATTTTACAGATCATAATAGATTTTACTTTTTTTATTATTGGTAGATAACTTCGAATCGTTGCGGCATTGTATACTGTCAAAACATGGGGAGATCGAGACAGACAGGACAGCAACTCCTTCCATATTGTTGTAACCTTGTTTATACAACATTTTCAAGATACTTATACAAATCAATTAATAATGCTGGCCAAATAATAAATCTTCAAGAGAAAAACTTGACATGGCGACATAATGATAGTAAAGCGGAAATATCATGTTTATACAAGATTTAAACAAGATCAACATAATGACACAAAGACATTAGATGATTTTCCACCCTAAAAAACAGTATAAATATTATAAAACAAGGTTACAGAAAAACTGCTACAGAATAAATGGAAGATCCTGGTACTAAAAATCCTTTGATTTGACAACCAAAAACAATAGTAGAAAGAAGGAAGGAATAGTAGACTGAAGAAATTGCAGTATGATAATTTTCAAAAACAGAAACCCAGATTTTTCGCCTATGCCTCTTTTTATGATGCTGCTATCAAAAATTTCAAGTTCACATGAAGATCCTATTGCACAAGAGGAATACATTAAGAGGCTTTAAGTGATGATGAAGAAGAATCAGCAACAATTTCTATAATCATGTGCTCAACAACATTAGATAACTGTTTATGTATGTACTATCTATTTTCAATTGGTGAAAGTGCAACAGAAAAGTTCTATTTATATTGTTTTGTAGCCATTTCTGCAATAAAATCCACTCTGTATAATCTTTATGAACATAATAAATTATGCATATTGTAATGTGCCAATCATTGTTTTATTTTTAAAATGTTCTAATGTGTCCGGGATATGAAAATAGGCTCACCCGCTATTACATGGGACTCATAATATAAATAGTGAAAAGTGGGTGTTACATTGTTCATTGATTCTTTCTTTCTTTCTTATGTTATGTTTTATTTTTCTAAACATATGTACAGATTGCTACATAAAACACTGTTCTAAGTAAAATAATTGCATGGGATCTTAGGAAATGATTAGAAGCAGAATTTACTATGAATATATAAGACGAACTTTATATGGTTATAGCCACACTCCCTAATACATGGGATTCATGGTATAACTGGGGAAAAGTAGCAGTAAACAAAAGTTGTATCTGATAATTTATTGAATTGAAATTTTTGTTTATAACATAAATCTCTATGCTAGAATATTATTTATCATGCTCATTAAACTGTCAAACAGCATGAGGACACCGGTGTTCGCACACCTATTGTTCTTTAATTGTGTCTATAATGACGGTACTCAAAGGGTTAAAATTACTATAAACTTCATATATCTTAACAATAACTTTGAAGTTAGGTGCAAGTACTTTTATTTTATGGGAAAATATTTATGATGTATTGCAGACAGTTTGATATTAAATTTATTGCCCTTGAAGGATGTGTCAGGTAAAACTATAAAAATACACAGTAATACATTCAAAACTTGAATATATATAATTTGCATAACAACTAGCTATAGCTTCATTGTTTTTTTTACATTGGCCTCTAGTTTAACTTACCTCGCTTGCAATTTTCTATCAAGTAGTTTCTTCTGTTGATCTAGTTTTTCTTGTTTATTCCTTCTTAATATTGCTGCAGCTTCCTTACCACGCAACTTGGACACATCAGTTTTATTTACTTCATCTAATAACAAAGACATTGATGATAAAAACAATAATTAAAAACTATAAATACATTATATTATTTTAGAGTTAACTGTATTTCTATACCTTACACTAAAGATGTGTTTGACAATGACTGTTTAAAGTTAGTTTACCATACAAAATGTGGTAAAATATGTGTCAGTTAGGAAATTAGTTGAGACATTATAAAATTGACCCTAAGGAATTCCTTAGGGTCAATTTTATAATTCAATTTTATAAGTCAATTTTAATATTCCATCTATTAGATGTAATCCATAACACATGTTTTTATAACAGGGTATCCATAATAGCGTGTACATTATGTAGCTCGAAAGATACTATTGTAATAGTGTTAGAAGGTTGTTTCTTTATAAAAGAAAATTCCTACCTTGCTTTGTTAATTCGGTCAGTTCAGATGCACTTTGATGGCCCACACCTACATTTTCTATCCCTCTAGTATACAACACCTGCAATTGCTTCACAAGTTTGTCTTGACATTCAAAATACTCCTTCTGTTTCTTCGCGTCTAGATCACTAACTTGCCGGATCTTTTCAACCTTGGCGCGCTGTCTTATTTTCTTAGCAATGTCTTTCGACTGCTCTCGGACCTAAAACATTACTCGCATTTTCACTGTTACGGTACTTGACTAATTTTTATTTTTATCTCTCTTATTATATATATTTCAAAAAAACAACTTCTCAAAATTCAAACCTGTTGAAGTCTCAGCTTTCGTCGTCGTAGAAATTCATTTGTTTTAATAGCCTCAATTTCAGAAGTCATCTTGACATTTCGATAATAAGTTTTTATTTACACTTACGAAATCCTAATTAAACAGTTTGTATAACCAAAACCATCACCAAAATAGAATTATTAATTTTACAAAGTTTATCTCAACTTTCAAAATCAAACAACAATGTGACATTAACGTATTTCATGACACTGTAAATGACAGTTAAACTCAGTGTTGCCAACCCCAATAAACAAAAGAACAACAACTCACTTAAAAAAAAACAGTAGAAAGCAGTAGGTAAAGAAAAAAGCGCTCATTTCATATTTTTGGTAATATAATTAAGTAATGAATACCTAATTGTTTAAGTGACTAGAACTCACATTCAAATGAATAGCAATCGGTTATTTCGGATTTTGTCCTTTAATAGTTTTAGTCGATGTTCTGATACGTAGGTAATTTGGTTTTCGTAATATTTATAGCAGAAAATAACCTTTCTACGACGGCACTGCTATGTGGTCCTACTGTGGTAGGCACAAAAGCTTTTTTACTATGTAAATCACACAACGCAAGGAACGTTTGAGAGTCTTCTCCATTCTTTAATTCTTGTCCATGTTTCAAAAATCAATAGTATCGGGAATTTTGTTTTGGTAGAAAGAAAACAGTAGAAAATAAGAATGAAACAGAAAACATGGACATCAAAGCAAAAACAGCAAATTTACTGTTAAAACAGTAGGGTTGGTAACAGTGGTTAAACTAGACCGTGTGAATGTAAACGGTGAGAACGTAGATTATAAAAGTCATAAAAGTAGACAGAGATTAAAGTGATTTCATTCACTCATTAAGAAACTGACCGTACAGACTATAGACGTTGAAACGACGACCATACTTATACAGAGTTATTTTTTTGGTTTACTCTTACCACTTCTCTTAGACTTATTATATTATTTGCTTTCCAAAAACCCATTAGGCAATTAAATCCGTAACATCTGCGTTTAAATAATATTACTTTTAATTAATTTTGAGCCTTTTGAAAACTACAATTATAACACAGTCTTCATTTATTTATTAAAGATTTACGTTTACAATACTTCACCGGTCACCCGTTGGGGGATAAAAAGTTATTTATTTATTTACCTATATCCTTACAAGCAACTGTACGAAAAATACGGATACAAACAAATAGAAAACAAGAATGCTGTAGATAAATAACATAGATTTTGACGTAATTATAATGAACTTATGATAAGTACTTACAGATTTGAAGTAAAATTTAAATGGCCCTACTATACATACCCCGACCAGTCTACATCTAGTTAGCCATGCATGTGTGATCACTGATCACTAGATTCAATTATTTGGAACCCACTTAAAAAAGGAGGTTCTCAGTGTGACTTGTATGTGTAACTATGAAGGTATGTAATAGGTACAATCTACCTATATAAATAGATAATATCTATGTCCAATGCCCTATTACAATTTTTATGTAGGTATATGTTACCGAAAATGTATGAGAATTCTAAGTTTATATAATGCCGAAACTAGGTAGGTAGTTAGGAACTGTAAAAAATATAGTTTTAAGAATTATTTATTACGTAGGTATGTATTAAATAATTTTTATATCCTCATAATATAGAAATTGTTTAGAAGATTTCTTTTTCAAATAAAACACGTTGTAGGGAGAGTAATAATTTTTATTAAGGCAATTGTTAGGGTTAAGAATAGCAAGTAATACTTATCTCCCTCCCCTCAATAACACTGACCCCTCCCAAGACAAGTTATTTCCTTGTCCTGTCCTGTTAAATTTTGTTGTATATTTTTAAGCATTTTAGGTATAACATGATGATATTATTTGATGATAATAGGCAATTGTGATAAAATTAATACATAGCGGGTACATAATATAACAACTATAATATACTCCATACTCATCATACACCATACTCATCACCAACTACCCCACCTATTCTACCACCAACACCTCTACCTATTCCACCACCAACACCTCCACCTACTCCACCGCTAACACCTCCAGCTATTCCACCAGCAACACCCCCACCTATTTCACCGCCAACACCCCCGCCTATTTCACCACCAACACCTCCACAGATTTCACCACCAACACCTCCACCTATTCCACCGCCAACACCCCCACCTATTTCACCACCAACACCTACACCTATTCCACCACCACCACCTCCACCTATTCCACCACCAACACCTCCATCTATTCCACCACCAACACCTCCGCCTATTCCACCACCAACACCTCCACCATATCCACCAGCAACACCTCCACCTATTCCACCACCAACACCTCCACCTACTCCACCGCTAACACCTCCATCTATTCCACCACCAACACCTCCACCTATTCCACCACCAACACCTCCGCCTATTCCACCACCAACACCTCCACCATATCCAACACCTCCACCTATTCCACCACCAACACCTCCACCAATTACACCACCACCACCCATACCATAACCACCACCACCTCCACCTATTGCACTACCAACTCCCCCACCATATCCACCACTATATTCACCTCCACCACCCATACTATATACACCACCACCACCACCTCCAACTACTCCACCACCACCACCCATACCATATCCACCACCAACTCCACCTGTTCCACCACTAACTCCCCAACCATATCCACCTAATCCACCAACAACTCCCCCACCATATCCACCACCTAATCCAGCACAGTATCCACCCCCACCACCCATACCATATCCACCTCCACCACCCATACCATATCCACCTCCACCACCCATACCATATCCACCCCCACCACCCATACCATATCCACCTCCACCACCCATACCATATCCACCTCCACCACCCATACCATATCCACCACCATCTCCACCTACTCCCCCATCATATCCACTACCACCACCTTCACCCATTTTACGATCCAAGCTTTCCGTCGTGATACCATTATTACCTCCGGACGATTCGTCTCGACAAGGAGCACAGTGCTGTGTAGCTATGTATATCAAACCGTTAACCAGCTTCATAATAATTTCGTTGCTGAGGCCACTATTTGGAGGAACGTTGTCGACGTCCTGCGATTTAAGAAGTCTGAGCAACATGTCCAGGTCTTCGAGTGCCACACTGCAAGAGTCGTACCGGCATTCTACTGGATATTTCGACTTGTGTGATGCTCTCGCGGGGTTCACCCATTGTGCCTGTGAAATAAATAATAATTAAGTTCGTACATGTTCGTACTGTGCTGAGGTTACCAGGGTTCCGGTTCGAAGCAGGAATAGGAGCGGAGTGGTTTTGTCAGTAAGGGTCTGTCTGACACTCTTGCTTCAACACAGGCGTTAGCAGCCATTGCCATTCAACTTGTCAATGTTGCCACTCTTTTGGGGACCTACCTCGCGACAATGATGCACGAAGAATTTTTCAATATTCGTTACAGTTTTTTGTTTTCTGTTTAATGTAAGTTTTCAGTTACTGGCTCAGCTCCTATCATAGCGTGATCTTTTATAACATACATAAATAAATGGACTACCTATCCAACACAAATTCAATTCGGACCGGGTTTTCCTGAGATTAGCACGGTCAAACGAAAAAAGAACGACTTTTTACCTATCACAACTATGGGTAATTGGGTAAACAAGGTAGTTACTGTAAACCGTTGAAGTCCTTAACAATTACACTTCATCATCATTAGAATGATCCCTTAATGACAATCTCTCTTCAGCTATGTGTAAAGTTCTCATCAATACAAATATCAAGCCTAAACACAATGTAGTTACTGTAAACCGTTGAGGAGTTCCCTCGATTGTCTGTCGTCTCCTCATCAGGTCGACTCCAGACCCTTATCGAACTAATAGTGCTTAAAAAATAATTTTAAAAATCGGTCTACAATTGTTGAACTAATCGGTGAACATACACAAAAACAAATTATCCGAACATAGGCCCTTATCCTTTTTTGAAGTCGGTAAACTACTAAATGACTAGCGAAGTGATAGCAAAGTAAGTCGGTGGAATCGAACTTCTGTCGCCGCGCCGCTCACACCCACCGCTGCTGAGGTATGACGGGACGCTGGCTCACACCGCAATAGAGAAGGCGAACTTATTCGTCTCTCTAGCTCAACCCTCATATGGTGAACAACTTCCTTGTGGGAACAGCTAAGGAATGGAACTTCTTGCCGAATCTATGTTTCCCGATAAATATAACTTGGCTGTGTCCAAGTCTCGAGTGAACAGGTTGCTCATAGGTAGTGCTCCATCGTTGACCACATCATCGCTTGCCACTAGGCGAGATGGTGGCCAAACGCCTATCAAGGATAAAAAAAATGTATAATATCGTAGTAAACTTACCCCGCTCAGACAAACACTTAAAAGGAGGCACGAGAAACGAATGTAGAACATGATTAATAGTTAATTTAGAGGATGCCAATAGCCTTTTATACGTCGAATTGATTGCCACATAAATACTTTTAATTATAATGAATGTAAGGTAATACATATTAACTTATAAAGAAAAAAATAAGAATAATATTTACAATAAGTCACGTATTTTGATATGACCATATTTAATTAAGCTGATTAAAATTAGTTTACGCTAATTTTTACATACATTAGTGTGTAGGTTCTAAACGAACGTACTTACATACTATGTAAGTATATGTAATTATGTATGTCAAAAATATCTCAGCCACAAAAGCCACATGTCGTCATATTCCTAATTCGTATGTAATTTGTAGGAACAGGTAATTATGTTTGAAAGCATTTGTAGACGTCCGTTTTTTTTCACCGGATAGCGAAAATTTTTTTACAAGCGTTCTAAGCATATACCTAATCATTTTAAACATATTACCTATTTACCTATACACCTTAACCTACATATTTATCTAGCTATGCATTCATATTATTTCGGAAAGGATAGGAACGTACGGTTTGTCATAGCCACCTAGATTACGCGATTTATTAAGGACTTGTGTTATTTAATCTTTCGCATATAGTTAATAATTATTTTATCTCGATAATAATGGATACAGGGCCAAAACAGAGCAGACTAATGAACCCTCGCTATGGAGCTAATTGGTTCTCAATCTTAACTTTTGGGTATGTAATATCGTCCAATATCCGTACATACTCTACATGCTTGTATAACGCTATTGTATCTAATGATCATCATCGAACACGATCAATGCGTGTATAATTTGAAAACTGTTTTATAATGTACCTCCTCCTCCTTCCTCCATCAGATGGACATTAGAAACATTTAAAATGGGCTACAGTCGAGACATTAAAGACGCAGATCTGTATGCCCCACTGCCTGAACACCGTTCCAGTATACTAGGTAACGCATGTTATCATAAACTTCTCATTTTGTATTATTGGACATATGTAGGTATTAAACAACTATTATGATGCTGTCAAAGTGCCAGATAAATTCTCCATTAAACACGATACTACATAATTATCAATCACTTGTCAGAATCATCATACAACAGCCAACAAGTATGCTGCATATATATCGGCGGGTTGCAAGCAACGTGCATCCAGCGGTTCTCTAAGTTTTGTTCTATCTATAGATTTTGTTTTACTTTCACGACATTGTACCATATCTATATATTATGCGTCATACTTACATAAGTTTATCTCACTACGTCATACATGGAAAATTCAATTGATCTGAAACAGGTGATGCAGTTCAGAAAGCTTGGGACCGCGAAGTACTGTCAGCTGAGCGCCGTGGAGGGAGGCGTAAACCTAGCCTATGGAGAGTGCTTCTCAAAGTGTTCGGATGCGAGCTCATGCTTTATGGGCTCATACTTGCTGCTATGGAGTTTTTGATCAGGTTGCAGCAACCAATTTTTCTTGCATTGCTCCTCCGCTATTATAGCCCCGTTCATGGCGATAATAATCCGTAAGTCAAATTTCGAATCCTTAGAAGTAACTAAACATCTATTTATCTCTTACAAAGTCTTCTTCAATAGGCAAATAAATAATTATGAACGTGATTGAGATTACGTTTTTAATTAAATCATGATTAGATTAAAAGACTAAGGCTATCATTGAAACAGACAGTCAAATCAAGTCAAAGAAAACAATCAAATTATCCTACGTAAAAGTACCTACATATGTAATGCATAATATTACAACTCCATCAGGTCAAATTCAACATACCTGAACCGATTATTTTCCTACCATGACATGGAAGGCAGTGTGTCTTGGGGTGAGGCATTATTTTTCGCATTCGGCATTGTTTTCTGCAGTACCTTCAATATCATGGTGCAACACCCGTTCATGATGGGCGTTATGCATATGGGAATGAAGATGAGAGTTGGAGTATGCAGTCTTATCTATAGAAAGGTATGCTAACGTATAGACATGCATCATCTTCCATCAAAAATATCATTTAATACATTATTAGTAATATAACTGCGTATCTCATGCAGGCTCTAAAAGTGAATATACAATCCATGACTGAAAACAGTGGCGGACTTGTTTTAAATTTAATGGCGAACGACGTCAATCGGTTTGATACAGGACCATTATTCGCGCACTACCTCTGGATTGGACCATTTGAAACTATGGTAGGACACAATTGACACAAATAAAAATCATCAAAGTTGGGAAGGAACCTATTTCATATCATATTGAAATTGGTATATTTTCAGCTTATGACAGTTTATTTGTACCGAGAGATGGGGATGCCAGCGGTGTACGGATCGCTAATCATCGTAGCAGTTATTCCATTTCAGAGTTAGTATCTACTTACATAACATATTCTCATAGATTTATCTAGTAGTTGTAGTTGGTATGTTAATAGATAGATTTCCATGAAATGTAGCTACGGAAACTTCGAAAGAATTGTATCAAGCTAGAATACTATTATTGTATTTTCAGTATTCTTGGGAACGAACACTGCGTACTATAGAAGAGGTACAGCAATTAAGTCAGACGAGCGAGTCAGACTCATGAAAGAAATCATCATGGGCATGGAAGTGATAAAAATGTACACCTGGGAACAACCGTTTAGGAAAATAATCGATATCGTTCGACGGTGAGTTCAGCGACATTTTAGAAATATGTAGGCTAAACCAAAGTACAATGAAAGACAACCACTTTTGCTTAAACTGGCGGGAACCGTTTCATTAACCAATTTCTACTAATCATTGACAGGCACGAAATTTTCTACATAAAGATGACGTCATACATTCGAGGTGTGATCATGTCATTCATAATGTTTACGTCCCGGTTCGGTATCTTCATCACCGTGTTGCTCTACGTGACTTATGTGAACCGTATTACTGTCGAGAATGTCTTCTTCTTAACTTGCTACTACAATATCACGAAACAAACTATGACGCTGTACTTCCCACAAGCGGTTGGCCATGTAAGTGCATAGAAAGTACCTGTTGTAAGTAATATCTCTAAATTCATATAAAGTGCTACACAATCCCCAGCCATGGTAAGTGTGGGTCTGCGGACGGCGGTACGGTGAGCTCACCTCCCGACCAGAACCAGACCAGTGCGTATGGAGCTTGGCGTTCAATGAGGCATATCAGGTCATCACAGATGGGGGCCAGTACAGCTGTTCCCCGAAATTGAATTACGGACGACATTAGAGATTACCTAGGCTCCGGTTCGGAGCAGGAGTTGGAACGGGGTGGTTTTTAATCAGTAAGAGTCTGGAAACTCTCTCTTGCTTCACCCAAACCAGGAGAAGTCATTGGATGATTTTACCTCATAAAAAGATATAGTGCTATATTGAATGAATTGATAATTCCTTTTCAATGACTGTATAATGCCACTAGTTGATTAAAACGTATTCTAGATAGCGGAAATGAATGTAGCAATACAAAGAATCAGAGATTATTTGCTGACGGAGGAATGTAGTTTACCCGAACGATTGCTAACTAATGTACAAGAAGTACCACCGGTCCGAAAAAAACGAGTTACAATTATTGGTAAGAGAGTTTTATTTCAGAAACACATACTCGTACAACTAGTTGTGTGCTATATATATCTATTTAAGATAACTATTAATGCTATGCGGTAATTAGAACCGCACCACTTACAGAAAGCCCATCAGAGAAACTCTGAAGCCGGTCCATCGAAGGAGAAAGAGATTGTAAACGAACAACTTAAAGGTAAATATATCTAATTCATTATTTTAACATTCTATAATTTCGCGGTAGATGGCATCAATACCTACACATTATATCTTTGTCGCACAGAACCTCGTAAAGAAGAAATAGCTATCAAGTTTGAAAATGCGTCGAGTAGATGGATCAAATCTGCCAACAAAGATGACGTTAACAACTTGGATTTAACGGTAAGGCTTTCGCTTGAAAGTATTAAAAACACGACTGCGCTTTCATATTCTACATCAACAAAAGGCCGGCCAGAATTGGGTGGATTCTATAGTTTGTCCCTTTAATCATTAAAACTTTTCCAGATATTCGAAGGTTCCCTAACAACTGTAATTGGAGCAGTAGGTGCGGGTAAGTCTACGCTACTACATATTGTGCTGAGTGAGTTACCCTGCACCAGTGGAACCGCGCAGATAAATGGCACTATCAGTTACGCTAGTCAAGACCCGTGGTTATTTGTTGGTAAGATTTTGTTTTCAATACCTACTTAGCACTTTTTTAATATAGGGATGGAAGATCATCTAATATTACTCTTCCCGCCCTGGGTAAGGTGGAAAGAAGTAGTATTAGTAGGTATCAAAATCTGACTAACTAAGACCACCACGTTTCAATTTCTGCTTCGTAATGTGGCCTCGGTACCATCCATCTACGCAGAAAGAGAGCACCCCAAGTGGGCCTCACCTGTCGATACGAAGCCGTGGAGGACTTAACGGGCTGCCGGGACTCCGGCTTGAAGTATAGGAGTAGGAACGGGGTGGTTTATAGTCAGTAAGAGTCTGACACTCCGTCTCGCCTCATTCGGGCGGGAGAAGTCATTGGAAAAAAAGTAGGCCTCACCTGTGGTGATGTAAATTGTAAACTTGCAAATGTTTAGTACATACCTACATCTAATTTTAAGGATCCGTCCGTCAAAACATTCTGTTTGGACAGTCATTCCAAAAATCACGTTATATGGAAGTATGCAGGGTATGTGCTTTGGAAAGAGATATCTCTCTCTTTCCTCATGGAGATAAAACAGTTGTTGGGGAGCGCGGTGTATCACTCAGTGGAGGACAACGTGCCAGGATTAATCTGGCAAGAGCAGTTTATAAAGAGGTAATTTAGTCAAATCTACTATATCTATACCACTTACCAGTGCAAGAACTTATTTTGTACGTGTGTATAAGTATTTTTATTTTATTTCAGGCAGATATTTATTTACTAGACGATCCACTGTCAGCTGTCGATACCCAAGTTGCCAAACATATTTTCGAGAGGTGCATCAAAAAGTAAACACACAATGATTTTATTAAATCAATTGTTTAAGTAAACGGATAACTTAACTAAAAATCGAGGGTATCACATGTGAATTTTACTTGAGTAACCCGGGACTTTTATTTACTTTAGTATGTCTCACGATAGTTATTATAAAAACAAAGGGATGACTTGAATTATTTTATTAATTAAAAACTGTTCGTATGGTCAGATATTTGGCGAACAAAACGGTCGTGCTCGTCACCCACCAGCTGCAATTCATCAAATCAGTTGACCACGTGGTCATAATGGACAACGGAAAGATAATTGGAAATGGAGCTTTTGAAGAATTAGACGTAACTTTTTAAATACCTGCAATCATTGCCTTTGCATAAATAGGTCCTCCAAGTCCAAATCTATATTGGTTTTTAGGAAAAAGAACTGAAGATAATTCAATTGATGAACGAGAATACACGCGAGATCCACGAGGAGGATTCCATGCCGAATGACATTAACACACCAATACAGCCGAGTACTATGAGCTTGCACAGACGGCACTGGTCAATGATACTCGATATGAGTGTTGCTGTAAGGAACTTTATTTTATTTATAACAACAGCCCAAATTCCAATTTCTGTTGATAAGTTCACATCGAACAAAAGTCAATCAATCAATCCAAGTAATTATTGATAAAGTGGTTAATGGGGTCCTAATTGACAGGATCAAAAACCTGAAGCAGAGATACAAGCGAGTGGTCGAGTACGTGGGTCTGTGTACCGCGAGTACTTCATGGCGGGCGCTCCATGTTGCTTCGTTATCATCGTTTGCGTATTGTTCGTGTTGGCACAATTCTGTGCCAGCGCTTGCGATTATTGGATTAGTCGATGGTGAGATGCAAAAAGATATTTGATATACCTACCTATTTTTCCTACGATATGGTTAACAATCCTCGCCCCCTTCCCCTCATCCTCAATCTCATCCAAATCCCCTAAAGCCGTAAAGGCAGGCAACGGCAACGCGCTTGTAACTTCTCTGTTGTTACGATTGTCTATGGGCAGCGCCGATTGTTTACCATCAGGTCAATACATCTGCTCATTTACCAACCATATTCCATAAAAGACACGTCATACAATCACGTGCGGATCGAGTAATATAGTTTAATTATTCTTTAGGAGTAATGCAGAAGATAAATTATCAGGCGACAATACAATGGACGTGCTTGTTTGGGCCGAGCAAGGCCTGGTCCGAAGAGACTTCGTTATCATCTTCGGCGTGATTACACTAGCGACAATCATAGTCGCCTTGATACGAGCTTTCTTCTTCTTTTCTTTGTGCATGAAATCTTCTATTAAGTCAGTATCAAACATTTTTTATTTACCATAATAAAAGAACACAAGGAATGTTTATTTTGTCAAATGCACTTGGGACCAAAAAACGGCGAGCTACGAGCGTTTTCTTTTTATTTTATCGATCTCTCTATAACTTTAAAAAATCTTTTTACAACAAAATGCTCTCATTTTAAAGATAACCAAATTACCTTTATATGACATCCGTTACCAATTAATAAAATACTTGTATCAGAAAGTTTTATCAAGAAATGAAAAATAAAAAACGCAAGCGGCTGTGTTTTTTTACTCCTGCGTGTATATTTTTCCATCTTCTAGGTTACACGACCAAATGTTTGAGTCCATATCGAAGTCTCCAATGAGCTTCTTCCACACTAATCCTTCAGGAAGAATTCTCAATAGATTTAGCAAAGATATGGGCGCCGTCGACGAGTTACTACCACAAGCCATGATTGATTGCTTTCAGGTAACAACATGATTATGAATAAATTATTTTATCTTTATGCATGTCAGAGTTTATAAAATTTTCTCTATTTCTCAGATAGTATTGAACTTACTAGGTGTTGTCCTGGTAATACTAATGACTGATATCACTCTGCTGATACCGATTGCTGCTGCAATGGTAATATTCTACATCTTCCGCGTTATTTATATCAGGACTACCGGAGCCGTCAAACGGCTGGAAGGAATCAGTAAGAATTAATTTATTTTCTATTTTAACATAACTTTTGAAAAACCTCACAAAGAAATTACATTGTCCGATTTAAAATTTGTTTGTCCTTGGGACGAAAGCATCAGTGTCTACTGTAGAACATAATTCACAAAAGTAACTTACCTACACTAATTGCAAATGCATGAAAAGATAGTTTCGTAAAATAATACTGCATGGTTGGTTCGGTGGTTGGGCAACTGGCTGCCGCGCAACGTGTCGCAGGTTCGATTCCCGCACGGAGCAACTCTTTGTGTGATCCACAAATTGTTGTTCCGGGTCTGGGTGTCATGTGTATGTGAACTTGTATGTTTGTTAATGCACCCACGCCACAGGAGAAAATCCTAGTGTGGGGCAACGTTTTTTAAAAAGAGAAAAGAGAAGAGAAAATATCATCATCATTAACCCTGCAGAAGAATAAACACTATCAAAATATACTTACCAGCTCGCAGTCCGGTATTTGGTCACGTGAACGCCACTATCCTTGGTCTGGCCACAATCCGCTCGTTTGGCGCCGAGTTCCTTCTAGCCGATGAGTTTGACCTCCACCAAGACCTGCACAGCGCTGCATGGTATCTCTTCATCACGTGCAGTCGAGCGTTCGGATTCTTTTTAGACCTCGTCTGTTTACTGTTCATCGTGTGCGTCACTTTCAGCTGTTTGATGAAGACAGGTTTGTATTACTTATTTGCATTAATAAGGTACATAGAGTTTATAATTATAATGTAGATACAGCATCTCTGAATCTGTTCCAAATTGGGTATACAAAACATGTAAAATAAATAATTTGACATCCCACTTTATTGAAAAACATACACTGCAGCTACATGTTGATATCGGACTACCTTAGCTGTTCATCTGGCCTACCATAGTCATCTATTATGTTATATGAGATGAGTTGATCATGACCAATTTGTCCATGGGCGGTGCTAATCTCTTACGAAAACATAACTTTATAAACTGGTTGTCTGTGATTGTGCACAATTTTAATATTATGAAACTAAGATTCATGGTCGTTTGTTCCTCAAATGAGACATGGACGGTAGCAACGTGGGCCTAGCAATAACACAGTCCATATCATTGACCGGTATCTTCCAATGGGGCATGCGTCAGTCTGCGGAGATGGAGAACCAGATGACAAGCGTGGAGAGAGTGCTGGAGTACACCAAGTTACCGCAGGAACCTGCCCTGAGAAGTGTAAGAATATCATTTATGTATTTATTTGCTTAAATCATGACCACATATAACCAATTTCTACATATAAATAAGTACGTATTTTAAGTTTTCATCATCTATGTAGTACATAAAGATAGAAAAGACATTTATTTATATCTTTATTTAAGTTCTAAGCTTTAAGTTATAATTTCGTTAAGTTGTTTATCGTGAGTAGTTTTCAACTACAGCCAAATTACAGTTTCGACTGAATTTAAGATGGAGTGACAGTTTTTTCTTCACAAAGCTCTAACACATTAGGAACGGTTATCTGATATTAAGTGTTGCAGTGATGTAATTATTAGGTATATATTGCTTACAGCCATCAGACAAAAAACCTCCAGCAGATTGGCCGGCGGAAGGAGCAATAATATTTGACAACTTGAGCTTAAAGTACGTCCAGGATGGCAATTATGTATTGCATAGGTTGCAGTTAAGTATACAACCACAAGAAAAGGTTAGTATTAAGTACTTCGCACCGTAAACTATTAACTTGATAATAATTGTATAATGCCGGAATTCTGAAACGTTACTCAATTTTAAGTCGTGCTTAAATATCGTGCCATCTCTGTCATTTTACAAAGAATTTGTGGAGATAGAACTATACTTAAAAGCGCGACTTAAAATTGAGTAGCGTTTGAGTATTCCGACATATATCAGCTGAATATTTGGTTTACGTTTATTCAGTCAGCTAATCAGCTTCTGCTCGAAACTTCGTCCGCATAGAATATTTAAATAATATTTGTTGATTCATGAGGTCATTTGATCCGCTTTTTTTTATTATTTATAAATGATTCATGATTTGATTAGTTAATGTTATTTTGTTTTGTTGGTAAGTAGATTTATTAAGTAAGCACCAACGCAGTTTCGATTTTAAGTAAATCATCAAATGACTTCTGTCGATCAGGGTGAAGTGAGACGGCTCTTATTGACTAAATACCACTCCGTTCGAACTCCTGCTTCGCCTTGAAGCAGGAGTTACCGAGGGTGTGGCTCGAAGGTGCCTTTGCTACGTAGCCTTGAACCACTTAGTAGGCCCCGTCTGTGGTGGTCTGATGGCTCTTTCAGTTCCATATGGGCGTCATGTGGCGCCTTAACCCTTTTCTAAGATCATAATGATCTTATTGTGAAGCAATTTCATATAACACATCTATTATTTACAATTTTAGATCGGAATCGTTGGTAGAACGGGCGCAGGCAAGTCGTCCATAATCCAGGCTTTGTTCAGACTGGCATATTTAGAAGGCACTATCACGATTGATGGAATAGACATCAATACAATTGGACTACACGACTTGAGGGAGAAGTTATCTATTATTCCACAAGTAAGATATATTTTAATAAAGATTACTGTCTTAAGTTTTCATTAACAATACATACATTACATATAACCTCACGCCTGTCTCCCATGGGGGTAGGCAGAGACTATGGAACGCCAATTGCTACGATTCTTATATACCTCTTTCGCTTCATCATCAGCCCGTATTCGTCCACTGCTGGACATAGGCCTATCCAATGGCACGCCACTGAGCTCGGTCTTCAGCTCTTCTCATCCAGCCACTACCAGCCACCTTGCGGATGTCGTCACTCCACCTAGCTGGAGGGCGCCCTACACTACGTTTGCCTAGACGCGGTCTCCACTCTAGAACACGTTTACCCCAACGGTTATCGGTTCTTCGACAAATGTGACCGGCACACTGCCACTTCAGCTCACTGATCCTTTGGGCTATGTCGATAACTCTGTCGGATATACCTCGTTCGCTTCATCAACACTGAAATCATACTAATATGTAGTACAAATAAAAGTTTATGGATTTATGTGTTTGTTTGTTAGATACTCAATCACATGAAATTTGAAACAAAAGGAAAATTATCATCTATTTCAGACCATAACACACACACTTCTTTCTTCTACAGACGGACTACTTCTTTACCCACGGGACACGGGCAAAACCGCTGGCAGAAGCTAGTTTCCAATAAATTCTATCCCACATCTCTTTCACTACTATGGCCTTTCACATCTACTTTAGAGATAATGTTTGTTAGCATACTACATACAAAATTACTCAACAGTACATAACATCACGCCTTTTATCCCCGAAAATATAGGCAGAGGTGTACATTATGCCACTGTACAATGTAAAACCTACTTTTCACTATTTATGTTATGAGTCCCATGTAATAGGGGGTGAGCCTATTGCCATATACCGGGCACAATTCCAGACTGCGTGCTACTACTGAGAATTTATAAAAACCCAGTAGTACTTTGCGCGACCCGGGAATCGAATCCGAGACCCCTTGCCCGGCAGTCGCACTTGCGACCACTCGACCAACGAGGCAGTCAGAAAATTACTCAACAGATTTAGAGAAATTGCTGGAAACAGTTAGATCGTGGAGTGTTAATGCAGTGTACTTATTTAACGTATTATTATGGTTCTCATTCTAGGAGCCAGTACTGTTCAGCGGTACTATTAGAAAGAACTTGGATCCTTTCGATCAATATCCTGATTCGGTATTGATAACAGCATTGAACAATGTGGAGCTTCAAGAAGAGGGAGGCGAAAGTTAGTTCATAGTTTATATATGACATAATAGCTAATTTAAAAATAAGTGGGTACTTTATCAGTTCTCTTGAAATACATAATGACGTTAATTGGGTAGGATTTATTATCAAAATATAGTCGTGCCCTAAAAATAGGTAATTATTTTTATTTCAAAATTGTCCAACGTATAACACCATGCAATGGGGTACATAAACAAGGGTTACTGCAATGAATACAGCACACAACGATTTTTTAAAATGCGCCCCTCGCGCTTATTTCATAAAGTCTACTCTACACAAAAGATACCGGTTAGTCATTGCTATAGAAATCGTCGCGGCGCGTCACCCTCCGTCTGACTCATAAGAAATTTTAGTTCTCGAAACGTAACTAGATGGCGTTGGGATCGAGATAGATCGCGCTATCGTTTGCTGCACGGCGTTTGGTTGGGTCGGCGGAGCGCGCCAGTCGAGTCAACTTTGCGCAGAGGCAATATCGTAACCAATGAGGTTAATCCGAGGTGCGATTATTGCTAGTTGAAAACTTTACCAATACCCCGCCGTGTGGACGTGAAATACCGTCCGCGATGGCAATTTTTGAATGGCCGTAATTGGCCTAAGAATTACATGAAAATTCATTTTGAGTTTAACTCATTTATATGTTATATCTCAACGCAGTTTTTATGTTATCACAAAGACAAAGCGGTTCATGTGGGTAGTTTTATTACAATACAGCTATTATTTTGTTAAAATAAGATAAGTATTAGCAGGGCTCGATCGATAGTATTAACAACGTTAAACTACTGAATTTCAATTGATAAATAAAGAATATCATGCCGCGCCGTCATCCGTCAATCCCCGAAGGATTTAGCAAAATAATAATTTAATGCAAAAAATATCGAAATAGGGAACTATAATAGGTGATCTCTATGTAATTAAATAGTTTTGATCTATAATTCTGTATTTCAGAACTTATTGCGTATTTATTAAAGAAAAAAATAAAGGGTTTTAAAAATCTGAATATGGCATGGCATTATTTCTCAGGTCCTCTATACAAAGAAGTGTCAGAAGGAGGATCAAATTTCAGCGTGGGACAGCGGCAGTTAGTGTGCCTAGCAAGGGCTATAGTCCACAATGATAGAATCCTAGTATTGGACGAGGCTACAGCCAACGTGGACGCGCAGACAGACCAGCTCATACAGACGGCCATCAGATCGCACTTCAACAGTTGCACCGTGCTTACTATAGCACACAGGCTGAATACTATAATAGATTCGGATAAGGTAAGTTGAAAGAATTCATGACACACACATACATAACATTGTCGCGGAGAACCTAACGGGTAACCGGGGCTCCGGCTCGACGTGCAGGAGAAAGAACGGGGTGGTTTTTAGTCAGTAAGAGTCTGACACTCCCTCCCGTCTCACCCAGGCGGGAGCAGTCATTCGATGATTTTCCCCCCTTAAAAAAAAACATACATAACATCAGGCCTTTTATGGCAGATGGCAGAGGTGCACATTACGGCAATTAATGCCACTGTTAAATGTAACACCCACTTTCCACTATTTATGTTATGAGTCCCATGTAATAGGGGGAGAGAATTCGTGAGAAGAATTCATGAATCTCTACTAAAATAATAATATGTAAATGTGAACGTAACTCTGTTTGGTTTGCATTGCTTTCAATATTAAACCATCGGTCTGTTTATAATGATGTACAGATGTTACCTGACACAAATAAAGCATATAAGAATAGGACAAATAAATTAATTAAAGAATCAGTTTAACTCGTCGAGTACCGGTTTTATAGACACAATTAAAGAACAATAGGTCGCGGTCACCGGTGACCGCTTGGTATTTGACAGTTTAACTATCCGACGCAAGCAGTCTAAAGATTGCTATACTTTTGCAACTATGTTATATATTTTTATGGGATAAGCCGGTAAAAGAGCAGATGGATCACCTGATGGCAAGCAATCAGTGACGCCTATGGACACCCGTATCACCAGAGATGTACTGTACAAGTGCGTTACCGACCTTTTAGAGATTAGGAATTTGAGGGTTGTAGGGGATTCAGGGATTGGGGAGATTGGGGAGATTGTGGAGGGAGGTAATAGGGCCTGCGGTAACCTTTCACACGACGAAATATAACGCAAGCGTTGTTTCACGTCGGTTTTTTGCTCAGCCGTGGTCTCCTGTCAAGCCGGCCTATTCGTGCCGAAGCATGGCTGTCCAAATTCTTAGTATCTATATTCTATGCTTTATGTTAATCAAATTTCCCAGATATTGGTACTAGACGCAGGCCGTCTGATGGAGTACGACCACCCGTATTTACTGCTGCAGAACAAGCGAGGCTACTTCCGTAAGATGGTGTCTGAGACCGGACCGTCCATGGCATCGCATTTGCATAAACTAGCTGCACAGGTAATCTAGAGACCACAGTATAACCACTCATACATAAAAAAATATGTTAAACGATGTCAACGACCTTTCTATCAAGATCTTACGTCTGATATCCATAATAAAGTGTATCAAAATATATCAGATCGATCTGTCATCAAAAAGGTGGTAAAATTAAAATTTTTAAGACCCAAACTAACAAACAAATGGGGCAATTTTAAAATATAAAATAAAACTACCCGGAAAATACTAGGCTCCGTACATAAATAAATAAACAAATAAAATCACTATACAATTATGTGTTATATATTTTTTTTAATCCAAAATGATAATTAAATATTTTTATTATAATTTCTTGTTACAGAGTTACCAGAACAAGCAGGCCAGGGATGAAATGAAAGAGACTACAGCTGTTTAATTATTTACATGATATACTTTAATATTTTTAAATAATTTTTAATATTAACTTACTTTATAATATTAATATTTTATCTTAAACTACGTTTTTAAATAGTTAATAAACATCTGATAAAGATATAAACGAGCGCTTTCATATAATTTACATTTCTATTACATATTATTTTATAAGTGTAAAAATAAACGCAACACGTATTCGATGCTGTTTGCAGCTACAAACGAACATTATTTGTTTTAGAACTTTTGGGAATTCTGAGTACCAAGCACGAATAACTATCGCATTCGTATCGTAACAGTATCGAGCGAGTTAAGCGTTCTGATTGGTTGGTTCACTTGAGTCGGCCAATCAGAGCGCCGAACGCACTCGATACTATTACGTTACGAATGCGATAGTTATTCGTCCTTGGCCCTCAGAAGTTACATTTTGGATTTGAATATCGAAAAATCGTGAACCCAAAGTTGTTAACTAAAGCACCACCTGCAAGATCATGCGTTTATTTTGCAACACCTTGTATAAATCTCGTACAGCTTCATTTTTAAGTCTTGTGACCTAGCATTCATAAGTATTCATAAACAAATGATTATAAAATACCACGAAATCCATAATGTTAATCCATAATTATAAAATAACAATACTTTTAAAGCTTTTGGTTTTCAACCAAATACATAATTACATACATCAATCTAACTACTAATATACACATCACAGAATTTAAATAACATTTACTCATGTTAAACATATTCGAGGACGCTCGATTAGTTTCAAGGCATACCGGGATTCATAATCATGATTTGCAAGACCGACGAATATGTTTAAATGAATGTGTGTAAATATTAATTAAACTCAGTATTTATTAAGATATAATTATCTTAATAAATTATAGTAATATACAAATACAGTACTATATAAGTATCTATACTCCGTCTGTTTAGGTAGTTAACTATTTGTAAACAAACCATAAAAAGAGTTCTTTATAGTTGACATTTCCATGATTCAAAATACTTCATAAGAAAATAAAATTGTTTCCCTTTTTACGACAGTTTTCTCTATTAAATGTTATGTTTCTGTTCCTTTTCACTTATTTCTTAGTAAATATTATATATCTGCTTGAGGATATTAATTTAAAACATTTAAATAGTATAACATTTCATTACAATAGACACCATAAAGAGCCTAAAATCCCAGGTATCCAAAACTTTTCTTTAAGAACGAAGCAAAATAATGTTGTCAAATTAAAGAGTACAACTAAGATGTAGCGCGACAATGAAAGTAGCGTGTATTACGTTTAGTCGGTTAATCAGGCGCCATTGACAGCTCTCTCGTCGTTTGCGCTCGCGTTCCTATTTTGTTGAATTTATCTTGTTTCTTTGTTTTGTTTTTGTTATTAAGTTATTCAAGTTTAGGTTATTCATCGTTTGTAATTAATGTGTTCAAATATATTGAAGAAACTTGGCCCAAAGACACATCCGTACAAGAAAGAATGAGTACATCAGATTCAGAATAGTTTCTATTTAAACATGATAATGAAATAGACCCATAGGCAAGGCTCTTGTACGAATTAGGCATTTGTACTTGTAATGTGTGTATGACAAATGAACGAGTTTAAAGTGAATTTAGTTAAAATTAAAACACGAGAAATATTTGAAGTAATAGTAGGTTAAGTATCTCTGTGTCACGTGGTTTTCTTTGTTTACCTTTAGTTAATTACCTAAACAGATGGACTATAGTCTACAACTATACTTAGTATGTATGTATACGTTACACAGTCTCCATGTTGCAGTTCAGACTGGCGAGCTGGAGCTCCATTCTCTTCTTGAACCCTTGCACTATTGTGTCCATTCGTCTGTGACATAAAGACAAGTAGGTGTTAATACTTCTTTCTACATTTGGAAGTGAAAACACTGTAAGACAGAGTTTGATTTACTATCGAGGACTCATATTACGTATCCATCTTTTGGACTGTTAAAAATGGCATCTAATAGACAGAATCGGAGTCAGAATCGTATTTTGTATGTCAGTATTTTTATATTTCTTTTCAAAGTCAAAGTCAAAATCATTTATTTCAATTAGATCAGGAATCACTTTTGAATGTCAATAAAAAAAGTGAAGCTATTTTCTCATTCCAAGGTGTAGATTCCTATGGAGAAGAACAAGCAGGAAATTCCATATATTATTCTTTGTTAATCTAGTTTACAATACAGTTATCTAATTACATTCTTCTGTTGGTTCAGCGGTGTGAGAACAATGTAACACCAAAGTCCAGTCAAAGAGATCGAAAAAGAAAATAAACCTAAAAACATCAATAATATTCCTATCATTTAATATAAGCCGCCACAACATCAACAACATGAAAGATATTCAATAATGAATTAATTTAGATATTGAATTTTTACACCTACTTCTTTTCTTCTTCGCTTTCTATAGGAGGAATACCAGCTAGCGCTTCCATCAAGTGGTTTCTGAAATTTAAAATTATTAATTAACCAAAAATATTTAAGAAAGAATACATACTCACATTCTTCATCATTTTAAAACAGAGATGTCATACGCCTAGGTCCATTACTAAAAAGATATTTTGAATAGTCAAACTGTCAAACTCTAAAGCTATTTGCTGTGTTCAGAGTAAAGCCGACCAAGGCATGAATGAGAAATTCTATTTCGAATTTTTACATGTTACAGCACTTTTATACTATTTTATAGGTATATATCACATAATATAGTCATCCATATAATTTTATGTACGAACTAGGTCTTTCCGATTTTTTTAGATTTTAGGAAAGTGAGCAGAAAGATTGCCTCGTTGGCCGAGTGGTCGCAAGTGCGACTGCCGGGCAAGGAGTCTCGGGTTCCATTCCCGGATCGGCGAGTATTTCTGTCTTTTTTTAATTCTCAGCCTGGAATTGTGCCCGATATATGGCAATAGGCTCACCCCCTATTACATGGGACTTATAATATAAATAGTGAAAAGTGGCTGTTACCAAACAGCTGTACAATTAGTGGTATAATGTGCACCTCTGCTTACCCCTTCGTGGATAAAAGGAGTGATGTTATGTTATGTTATGAGCAGTAAATTGTATTTTATTTAATTAAAGAAACGTTTACTAACTCAGCTTTTCTGGTGAGATGCTCAGCGCAAGCGAGGCGTAGCAGTGTGTACTCGAGGCGAGCTTGGAAGGCGGCGGCGGGCGACATCGGCGCGCCCGGCGACACCAGCGCCGCCAGCCGCGCCAGCTCCTCACACACCGTCTCACAGATATCGCGCACGTAGCGGGAGGACGCCGCGCCGCTCACACTGTCCACCTGAAAAACATTTATATTTCGGGTAATAATACACCTAACTGGGCAAAAATTAAAGTCGTCTAAAGGCCGATTTTTTAATCTTCAGTTAATTCTTAACTGTAGAATAAAATTGACAGTTGACAGGTTTTACTATGGAAGAATTGTCAAATGTTCAAAGTTATTTAAACAAGCGAATTAACGAAATAGAAATAATGAATTTATTAAATTCATTATTTGTTAAATTGTTAAATTCAATTTAACAATTTGACTGCATACTCCACACAAGAGAATTTTAAGTAATTCTTAGGCCAATTACGGCCATTCAAAAATTGCCATCGCGGACGGTATTTCACGTCCACACGGCGGGGTATTGGTAAAGTTTTCAACTAGCAATAATCGCACCTCGGATTAACCTCATTGGTTACGATATTGCCTCTGCGCAAAGTTGACTCGACTCGCGCGCTCCGCCGACCTAACCAAACGCCGTGCAGCAAACGATAGCGCGATCTATCTCGATCCCAACGCCATCTAGTTACGTTTCGAGAACTAAAATATTTTTTCAGAGGGTTAGATTGCCCTTTGTACCGTGAACCGGTTTTAAACGTTAAATAAAATATTGTGTGACGCTGTTATGATTTAAGAAGTGATAAAACTAATAGATCAAAGTAAGCGACTACGCCACTTTAGTGACTGAATTTCGGTCACACACAGAATACGACATCATATTAGACAAACAATAAAGGAACTTGAACGTTAACGCCCGAATACTGATCAATTAACTATGTACTTAAATATCGTGCCATCTCTGTCATGTTACAAACAATTTGTAGAGACAGAACTATACTTAAACGCCTTTTAAATTGAATGACTTTTGAGTATTTGGACACAAGACCATAATTTAAACGTTACCTCAGCGTGAACAGCAATAAGATTATTGATGATTTCATAGACGTAAGGCCGGGCATCGTCGACAATGGCGTCGGCATCAGTCTTATGTCGTCCCATATCCATGCTGGGCTCTATAGTGCCGACTAACGGATCTCCTTTGTGCTCTAAGTACGTCTCAGCGATAGTACTCTCCAATGTACTGAGAGCTTCCTTCGTCGCCTGCAGAGCTTGGTTCTGCTTGGGGAAGCCGAAACTGAAATGTTACGAATATGGTGATTATATTTACTATATAACATGTTATTTGTTTTGACAAAGATAATTTGGAAAATAAGGAATATGGAGACTTCATTTTTTATTGAAAACTTTTGTGTTCAGTTGTATTTGTATCCATCAAAAATGTTGTGTATAGTTCTTGGCGTTAAAGGCTTATCACTTTTATATGATATTTGATAATTTTGTTTTTCTTTTTTTCTTTTCTTTTGTTTTAAAAACATTAGGATTTTCTTCTGTGACGTGGGTGCGTTTACAAACATACAAGTTCACATACACAATGACACCCAGGCCAGAAACAACAATTTGTGGATCACACAAAGTGTTGTTCCGTGCGGGAATCGAACCCGCGACACGTTGCACGGCAGCCGGTTGCCCAGCCACCGCACCAACCGTGCAGTCAACTAGTATTAACTTATAAGGAAATTGTTAACTTAAATGTTTTTATCACCACATTTTACACTTTTTATCGCAATGTAGTCATGCAAAAATGCATAAAGTGAATATACATGTTTTTTTTTATATTTGATGAGCTGACGTTTGGCCATTATCTCGCCTAGTGGTAAGCGATGAAGCGGTTAATGTGAACCAAGTGTTGCGAGATCATTCCCCTATACAAAAAATAATGTTAATAGTATACAGTCTATGTAAAAAACTAACATTGAAATACAGGAAAAGGAAACAAAGAACAATTTGCACGTTCTTTGACGTGTCGTCGCAGGTTTGTGTGATGCGAAGTTACATCGCAGTTTTTCTTATATTCGGATGGCATTCGGTCACTATCTCGCTTGATAGTAAGTAATTGTGTGTATAAGGTCTATTAGCTGTAGTAATAGCGGTTCAGATCTTACGGCGGTTGTAAGCAGTATGTGATTACAGCAGGACCTCTTTAATTCGAACCCCCTCTAATTCGAACTCCTCTGTAATCCGAACAACCCCGCGCGTTTTGCAATTACGAGGCAAAGCATTTTATTCGTCATTAAACACCACACGACAAACCAAAATACTGGATTTCTTCAAAATCGCTGAATAAAATATGTAACGTTTATGATGAATACAGACTTTGTATTATTTATGTACCTATTAAGTAGTTTTATTCACAAAAATACCCTTATCATCTATACTCTTATAATCCAAACGCTCCACTAATCCGAACGGAGGTAAAATTTTCAGAGTTCGGATTAAAGAGGTCCTGTAGTTGCTAGCTAGTTGGCAAAAGAACATGACAGGGCAAGGAAGTAATCCGGAGCTGCGAGCAATTTAACGGGTTACCGGGGTTCCAGCTCAAAGCGAGAGGAAAAACGGTGTGGTGTTCAGTCGGTAAGAGTCGGACACTCCCTTTCGCCTCACCCAGGCGGGAGGCATCATTGGATGCTTTTCCCTCTTAAAAAGGTAAGGAAGTGAGTGTGTAAGTACTTGTGTATGGCAGTGGCGATGGCGGCGAGAGTGTGTCGGCGCGTGTAGGCGGCGTTGGCCCCGCCCAGCAACAGTCGCAGCTGCCACGCCGCTCGCCCCGCCCCGCACCCCGCGCCGCCCGCGCCGCCCTCCTCCGCGCGCTGCTCCAGCGCCACCGACAGGTTACTGTTGTTGAACTCCTGCACATACCGCACAACTATACAATTAAGTACTTTCCTTAATCAAACATAAATTATTTCGACTGTTCAATACAATAGAATATTAAAAAATAATCACACTTTCATTAATTGATTTTATGACCAACTTCATTTTAGTATTTTTCCAGCATTTTTTTAAGAAATATGTACACCGTTTGACGCTAAAAACGCCGTGACGTCACAACATACAATCGCGTACAAAATTCATAGAAAACTGTCGTTTTTGACAGTTTGAAAAAAGTATTGCTAATATTAATTTGACTAGTTGTCAAGTATTAAATTCAAAAATAACTCTCGACAAGACTACGTTCTGTCTATTGGCTGTAATTAATAGCCTGAAAATAAATGTGAAAAATATTATATTAAAATACACTTTTGATTAATGATATTTATCCCTGTTAGATTATAAGTGAACCACACAATTTAAAATCAAAAACTCTTTTTAACTTGAAATACAATATATCCACAATCAGACAAGGCAGCAAATAATGATTTCTTTTTCTTAAAAAAACGTTGCCCCACACTAGGATTTTCACCTGTATCGTGGATGCGTTTACAAACATATAATATCACATACACGTGACACCTAGACCTGAAACAATAATTTGTGGATAACACAAACAGTTGCTCCGTGCGGGAATCGAACTCGCTTCACGATGCGCGGCAGCCGGTTGCCCAGCCACGACGCCAACCGTGCAATTAAAATTCACACCTTACTTACGTACGATGCACATTCTCAAAGTAAACATAATGTACCTGGTCCTCATGATTCAAAGCCAGGTCCTGTAGTACGGTGACATATGCGAGCAGTATCTGTTGCGTGTGTTTCTGCAAGATGGCGGCCGGCTCGCTGTGCTCGGCCAGTAGGGGGCTCTCGCGGCGACCACTCGTCACCACGCACTTGTGGATCGCTGAGAAAGCCTCGTTCAAGTATGTTTCTAGTAGATTTGGCTGAAATCAAATTATATTGATGGTGAATATGTTTAAAACTCTTTTATTACATTTATTTATTATACATACATACATATGGCAATAGGCTCACCTCCTATTACACGGGACTCATAACATAAATAGTGAAAAGTGGGTGTTACACTGTACAGTGGCATAATGTACACCTCTGCCTACCCCTTCGGGGATAAAAGGCGTGATGTTATGTTATGTTTATTATACATACATAAATACGGATCCATTCATATCCGCTCTGTATGCTTCTTTCGTTACTCTACTTTCATCCATCATTTCTACATGTCCAAACCATCGCAACATTCCCTTTTCAATCCTCGTCACTACATCAATCCACACCTTTTTCTAATAACACTTACACGCTCTTATTTATCATAAACTATATCTATATACAAAATGACAACTTTTTTAGACTAACTGTACTCATAACACAGGCGTTTTCTTACAGACAACCCTTAGTCAGATGAAGCAGTAACAAAGAATCTGAATGGGTTATCTACATAACATACTAAATGGTTTTACACAGCCAAAGTTTTTCTCCACACCATCTTTTCTGCTCTTGAACTTAGAAGTCATTATTATTATTCGCTTAAACTGTCAAACACCGCGAGGACACCGGTGACCGAGACCTATTGTTCTTTAATTGTGTCTATAATTACGGTACTCAACGAGTTAAAACGTCTCCCTTCTGGAACAAAGCAACAGTCCTTCAAAACCACTTGCAGAAAATGACACAATAGTATATTACACCTTAGGACTGTATTGTACGATATTTTCTGCATTCTACATCCTTACTAATATTATAAATCGGAAAGTGAGTTTGTTTCTTTGTTTGTTCCGCTTTCACGCCGTAACTACTTAACCGATTGCTTTGAATTTTTGCAGAAGTGAAGTTAGAAGTCCGGATTAAATAATAGGGTATTTTTTATCCCAGAAAAAATATATTTCCGAGGAAAAACAAAAGTATTGGTATAGATGGTGCTGTGTCTATTGGTATACGTCACACAGACTACTTTTTATCTTTTTGATACGCGAGCAAAGCCGCGGGTAAAAGCTAGTATAAAACAAATTGCAAACACACAACAACTTTACTTCCTCCCTCTCTACTCACAAGATTAGTAATAGCTCCGTAGTCAGAATACTCTTCTATCTTCCACGTCTCCTTCTCTGCAAGCCCCTTCACGCGTTTATGAGCTCGCTGCAGGAAGACTGTCATACCGTGCACACGGTAATCGAATATCACTTTCTCTACGATACTGAGAGGCTGGAAATGTGAAGAAAATATGATCATTTACTACAAATGTTTGATCTTTGAAAACTGTTATTTTTTTTTTCTAAAAACCACTAGTTTCCAGGATCAAACATTATGGACACAAATATTATTATGCACACAACCAGAAATCATTTCATTTTTAACCGACTGTAGAAAGAGTATTGTTTTAGATACATAAGTGATCGGTGTGATCATGAGTGGTGTTCATGGCACTTACTGCAAATATTTGTGTTTCAGGTATCATGTAATCAAAACATAAAATGTGTGTCACAAAATGTAATGATTTCTTAACCGATAGTTGTCACCACACCAACATAGAAAAGTAATGAACTGCTAACAATACCTGTGAAGGTAGGTCCAGTTTGAGTAGCGAATCGTAAGCCTCCCTCAAGTGCCGGAGGTTGGCCACGAGTCGCACGCGCAGGGTGTCGGTGGGCACCGACTTGGCGCCGCCCGGGGACAGCAGGCAGGCTCGCATGTGGGACGAAAATAGTTCCACTGCTGCTATTATCATTTCCTGTAATATAGCAAATGTCATAAATGGTAGCATAAATGTAAATTTTCTTTTCAAAAAACATGCAGACGACTTGGAAACTCAAGTCCTGCGGCTTGGGTGTATTTACAAATAAACAATTTGACATACCTACAAATTCATTGCCCACCAGAACCAAAATAGGGTTACAAGACAATTATTAATCAACCTATATTTGTCTGATGATGAATGAGTGGAGATATGGCACGGTGGCAGCCCCGTACCTTGAGGTCGGCCTGTCGCTGCGCGGAGGCGGGTTCCCCGGCGAGGTCCCCGGCGAAGTAGCGGCGCGCCAGCGGCCACAGCGCGTGCAGCTGCGCGGCCAGCGCGCCCGCCGCGGCCGCCACCCAGGCGCCGCGCACCGCGCCCCACCCGCCCAAGCACTCGCTCTCCTTCGACTTGCGCTTGCCTGGAATATTATATTATACACATAAAATGCACGAATTACCATGAAATATTACACTGTTAAACTCAAAATCATGTATTAAATTAGATCAGGAACATACCTTTGAACATCAAATAAAATATAAAAAATGTCAGTCTATCGGTCATTCCATAGGTTATTGTTTTTCAATCAGGTCCACAGTACAAGTTTTGGTTACTTCATTGGTTCAATAGGGTAGATGCCTAATTTTTATTTTAATGTCAGTCTGGTAGATTATTTTAAATCCATGAGACACGTATTTTTTATTTTCTTACAGAAAGGAATACTTTCGACGATATATTAATTTGAAATGTCGCGTGATGTCACTTCTATGTAAATTTTATACGTAGAAATGACGTTTTAGCCCCCACTCCCAAACTTTGATTCGTTTAATCTAAGTATTGTTTTATTATACGACAAAATAAAAAAATACGTGTTTGAAATTTTTCATTGCGTAACTTATTATATTTTTAATTTTTATTCCCTGTCATCATCCCACTTATGTGGTTCAAGTAGTGTTGGTTACTTTTATAAGTGCTTTATCATAAAACTATAATGAATTATATTCATACTAATCAGCCTTCAGCTCACCTTTCTCATTGGACTCCTGTTCCTCTTTTTGTTTGAAGTGATCTTTTACCTTGTTCATCAGACTCATGAGATACTCTTTCCGACTAGTTATAGCGACCCATGCGGCGTCACCTTCCCAGTTCAAGCTTATCAGTAACCTATAAAATAAAAATAATTAAATTACAAATAAATGATCCAATAAAAGATATTCCTTAAAAGATGAGCATTTTAAAATATGGTAACATAACATCACACCTTTTCCCCCGAAGAAGTAGGCACATGTAAGTAGGTGCACATGACGGCACTTAATGCTACTGTACAATATAACAGCCACTTTTCACTATTCATGTTATGAGTCCTTGCAATAGTGTGTGAGCCTATTGCCATATACCGGGCATAATTCCAGGCTCCGTTCTACCCAGTAATACTTTACCCGACTCGGGAATCGAACCCGAGGCCCGGGGTCAGGTAAAAGTCAGGCAGTCTCACTTGCGACCACTCGGCCAATGACCAAAATATGGTAATGGATTACAAAGTTAAGTACTTATTACATTACAGAGCCGTAATATTCCTAAAGCAAACTAGTCAAGTGCATGAGGCTAAAAAAAAAAAGTTCATGGGGCGCCAACTTGCACAGGGACGCCGCGGTGTGCGCGCGTCTCGATGCTTGAGATTGAGTACGTCAGAAGTAATTACAATAAAATCTTTACCTTATATACTTGGTCTGCTCTTGAACATTGATTGGCATGGTTTTCATTCTCGTATACAATTTCTCTTTTAAATCCTCTATCTTCTTGTCAATCTCAGCAAGAATTTTTTGGAACAACTGTAACGAACATCACACTAATATAATAAATGTGAAAGTTTCTTTGTTTGTCTGTCAATCACGCTGAAACTAGTGCACGGATTTTCATGAAATTTGGTATAGGTACAGACATGGCATGGTATGGGCTGACTTAGGTGATAGGATACTTTTTATCCCGATTAAATGCTCCCATGGGATAAAACAGGAATCATACATATTCTACGCGGACGAAGTAGCGGGTAACAGCTAGTTTTATATTTTATTTGTTGTGTAATAAACTATAATAAGGAACAGTGAAAAATGAGCGGTGTAATATCTAACTCAATGTATTTTCATTAATTTCATGACTACAACTACACAGCAAAAATACTATGTTCGTACATCTTGTTTTAATAAATATTATTAAATAAAATAATGAATAATGCTCTTTTCAACTTTACATTCTCTTTATTTTCTAAAAGAAAAAGAAAAAGTAAGTTAGTAAGGTTTTCAGAACTTTGTTTACTATTACTTACTAGTGTTTTAGTACTTTATGTCCAAATACTCAAATGCCACTCAATTTTATGTCGCGCTTGAGTGTAGTTCTGTCACTATAAATTCTTTATCTATCTTCTATCTAAATATACAATTATGAAACCCGTTTCCCATTGTCACGCTATAACTTGCTTGCTTGCTTGGCTTGACCGATTTGGCTGATTTTTTGTTTGTTGTGTTTATTATTGTTAGGAGAATGTTCTTATGACGAAAAAAAAATCTGAAAATTCTACGGGAACGGGAGAAAACGGGATTGCACGTATGAAGTCGCGGGCAGAAGCTAGTTCTTTATAAAAAGACAGAGATGGCACGATATTTAAATATAGCTTAAAATTGAGTTGGCTTTCAGTCGGGCGTTAGTCAAAATTTAATGAATGGATAAAACAAACCTTAACATCAGTATTGCCAAAGAGATTCTTGACTCTAGTATAGTCGTTGACCACGAGGTCATACTCCTTCTTCCTGATATTTCTGTCTATGGACGCGGGCAGTTGGAACAGGAACTTGTGACGGGTCAGCAAAGAGAGCGCCTCGCGAGTCTTGTCGGCGTTATCTTTCCTCGATAATATCTCCGAAAATAGAGAGTCTGCTAGTGTGATCGATTCTGGATTGACAAGAATTAATTGTGTGAATTATTTAGTAATGGGTTTCTTTATTGTTAAGAGAAAGTCAGAGAAAGTCATATATGACAATTTCAAACAAAAACTCTTTAAACTATGAATACATATGTAAATTACCTTCTATAGCAGCCTGCAGGCTAGGTAGTGGTTCCTTGCCATTCTTCCTCTCATCCTCTTCATACATGTTCTTCAGCAGAACAAGCCGATCCAGCTGATCCATCACAGCTCCTGTGTTTGCCTTCAGGAAACTTAATTGACCTTCCTTTTGACCTTCCACCTGGAAATAATGGATACTGCTATTAGAAAAATATAACTGATATTAAAGTACAAAGACAATTTCTTTTTTTTTATGGACCAAGAAGACACTTTTGAATAAAAAACAAAATATTAAAAATGTCAGTCTGTTGGTCAGTCCCCTTGTAAAGTTATTTGCTTGTTCCAAAGTGTAGATTCCTATAGAGGTGAATGAGCAAAAAAACTTTATAGTTTACTCTTTTTTAATTAGGTTTACAATACAGATCTTGGTTTCATTGTTTTGTTGGTTCAATTACATGAAGACATTGTAACACCAATATTCAGTCAAAGAGATAGAAAAAGAAAAATAACCAATAAGTTTGGAGGAAGTTATGTCAAATTCATACCTAAATAATTTGAATCATTTTATTTCATTTTTTTTTGGTAACCAACAATAAATAATTGTTTACACTGTATAAACTACTGGTTAAAAGAAACATTAACAAGAGCAACAATTAATTATAGTATATAGAGCTACCAAAGTGTTATTTATGTTTACAGTTTCTATAATACTGTGTATGTATATTCTGTCAAATACCAAGCGGTCACCGGTGACCGCGACCTATTGTTCTTTAATTGTGTCTATAAAACCGGTACTCGACGAGATATATGGCATACAAATGAACTGGTTGAATACATTATAGTATAGGTCCATATAACTAATTCATACTATAGAAAAAATTAAGCAAAGTGTACAAAATTCCTGTATAGATCGAACTTTTTTCATACCTTTCTTTGTAGAAATACCATTCCAGCTTTGAGGTCCTCATATGAAGTATTGCTGTGGTGTTCTAGCAAATACCAGCCAGGCTGGAAGTTATCATCAGACAGCTTACCAGAACTGAAATATTACACAATAAGTATTAAACTTTTTTGGTAGAATAATTCAATTACTTTCATTGTAATCTCTGTAATCTCTAGTCACTGCTTGAGTTGTGGAGAACCTAACGGGTAACCGGGGCCCCGGCTCGACGTGCAGGAGAAGGAACGGGGTGGTTTTTAGTCAGTAAGAGTCTGACACTCCCTCCCGCCTCACCCAGGCGGGAGCAGTCATTCAATGATTTTCCCCCCTTAAAAAAAAAGTCACTGCTTGAAGTCTGAATATAGTGGATTCATTTTTATATAGTCATTATTCTAAACACTCATATAATTCATTAATCTTTTTAGGATATTATTTCATAGGTTACATTACAACAGCATTAATAACTGTGTAACCAGACTGACATGCTACAGATTACAATTGAAACATAGTAGTATTTTCAGTGTAACTTTACATACCCATCAGGAAACATTTCATTCAACTCTTCCTCGGGAAATTTACAGTCATCTCCTTCAGTGGAGAGTCCTAAAGGGTCAGGAGGTGTGTAAGTAGTGGGAGACATGGGTCGTCGACCCCATGGCAGGGAGGGCGGAGCTGCCTCCTCTACCCATACTGCACTCTCTTTCACAGGACCTATTGATTCATGATAACCTGGAATTATACAAATACAATGATTTTAAAAATTATCCTTGATCAAGTATTTATTCCAATTTCCAATATACATATTATTAGGGTAACAATTATTATTTACCTCTAAACTGCACAGTAGAAGTTCCTTCTCCACCAGATCGTGTTGTCACTATAATATCGCCCCGACCCTTGCACGGACCCGAGCGTGCCACTATTTTGTTCTTGCTCTTCCATTCCGCTGACAGTAAACAGTCACATCCACAGATCTTCAAGCCTATAAAAAAAAAATACAAAAAAGATAAGTGTTTACGCCCACCTGTCTAATAACTTCATGGAATAACACGATTAAAAGTCCACAATTAATAGGTTTTCCAGTAGAATGCTACATACCTATGAGATCTGTTGCGCTAGTGCCCAGAAATTCTCCACGTATTGTAACCCTGGTCCCTGGTGGACCTTCTTTTGGAGATATTCCTGTAACTACCGGCGGAGGACCCATATTTTATTACTATTTTGATACTATCTGTAGTGTGTAGTAGATTCAACTGCAATTTAATCTAAATTCCTTGTCGTAATTCTCTTACACAAAACTTTAATATAAAATATCGCTAGAAATAAATTAATGATTTCGCTTGCTGATTATTATTGTGTCACTGTCAGTGTTAATATCAAGTGTCAATTTGTCAAATAAATGTCATTTTGCTGCTGTGACGGTGGGTGACGAGATGGCTTGTTGACGGCTTGTTGATCTGAAGTCTAAACTGTGGAACTATTTGAAAGTCTTTAGTAATACTAAAGAATTTTATAATTACAGTGTACAAAGCAAATATTTGTTTTTTTTTTCTCTATATCTTTTGTACAACATAATAAAGTTCCGGACGTAACTAAAAATGTCACGATACTCATTAATGTCAGGTGTCATAGTAATTTGAGTCATTCTCAACTCGCCTCATTTCATTCAGTTTCATTCGAGTTGAGCGTCGAGATTCATTCTATCAATGCAAATTATTGATTTTGTCTGACTTTTGACTTGCATCAATCATGTGGGGGTGACGAAGTGGGGTATTTGGGGCGTATTTAACCAAAAACCAAACCTATAATCCACAAATTATTATGCTGGTTGAGTGCATCTGATAATCCATTTTAAAGAACACAATGGCTAAATCATATTTCGGGTATGGTGCTAATTGTATTGTGTATTGATAATAAATTGGTCATAATAATAGTGAAGTGTTTACTAAATTATCATACTTTTGCTTTTAGTGCGGTCGATGAGTACGGGTTTGAGAGGCATGAGGACTTCGATTACGGTAGCTACGAGGCTTTTATGTCGAATTACTTGAAGGTACTGGCATCGAGGGCGCAAAAATGGGCCATTCTACTTGGCGATGATGGAAAGTCGGTCAAACGCACCACAACTGTGAAGAGATACGTCCGCAAAGGAATACCTAGTGAGTATCTTTCTTTGTTTACATTAAAATGCCGTGTGAATATTGCCGCACTTTCATTTTTGTGCTTTGTGTTATACAGAAATAGTTTATGAATGCCATGCTGTGTTATGAACCCATAGAAGTATGTCAATGTTTTAAAAGCATTTATATTGAATTAAGATACTGTTCTTTTTAAATTAAATTCTATTGACTATGTTAAATAGTTATCTAAATGTTATTAACATAATATTAGGCACAATGAGGTTTGATAAAGCATCAAGGTCTACCTGGTTAACATTTGAATGTAATACAGTAGGCGCTTGCTAATCCGGCACCGGAAATTTTTCCTCTATGCCGGATTGTCGGAAATGCCGGATTATCGAATTAGTATAGGAAATAAGACTTCATATTTAATATAGTAAGTTGAATTTATTATAAAAATAAAACTACATAAATTAATTAAAATATTAATTAATTATGTATTAAAATTACATATTAGGTTCATCATTTTTATCAACCTTATCACTCCTGAACTTCAGTGTGCGTACCATTTGTATGCGGACGACTTGCAGCTGTACCGTCAGTCTGTGGTGGACGATCTGCCCAGTGCTATCAGTAAACTTAATAGTGATCTAACAGCTGTTCAAAATTGGTCAGAGAGGTTTGGCATAGCTGTAAACCCAAACAAGTGCCAGGCCATCATCATAGGTAGCTCTCGGAATCTTGGATCGATTGACGGTGCAGCACTGCCCCCTATCTCGTATAATGGTGTGACTGTTCCGTTCAGTCGGGACGTGAAGGACCTGGGCCTGATTATTGATAGTACATTGAGCTGGCGTGCTCAGGTCACAAGTGTTTGCCAAAGGGTGACTGGATCGTTGCGGGCTCTGTATCGTCTGAGGAACTTTCTTCCGTCCTCTGTGAAGACGCAGCTTGTGCAGACCTTGATTTTCCCAATTATTGATTACGCTGATGTCTGTTATTACGACCTGAATGCAGATCTACTCAATAAGTTAGACCGACTGCTAAATAACTGCATTCGATTCGTTTTCAACTTACGTAAATATGATCATATTTCTGCACATAGGATGCAACTGAAGTGGCTGCCCATACGCTTGCGCAGGCAGCAGAGGGCATTAACCACTTTATTCTCTTATCTTGACTCTCCTTCTTCACCTACTTACCTTGCTTCTTACTTTCAATATACGTGCGCAAACCACACAAAATTTCTTCGTTCGTCTCAAAACCGACATCTTCAATGTATCTCTCATCGCACTGACTTCTTTCATTCTTCCTTTTTCATTCAAGCTGTTATTCTATGGAATGCGTTGCCCAAGGAGATCAGAATGGCAACAAGTCGCAATACCTTTAAATTTAAAGTCCGTGAGCATCTACTTAAGCATTGGCAAACTCAAAACAATTGAGGAAACTATTCTAACAACGTTCTCTTTTTTTTTATATAATATATTGTAGTATTTATGCAGTATAAGTATTTGTTTAGTAGTATATATTATATGGTATGTATTTGTCTATTTATAAAATATTGTATTAATATATTTATTCTATAGGTATTTATGTGTGTAGTATACATATTACATAATCTTTTTTTTTTATTGTTGTCTGTCTTCGCGTCAACCACTTCATTTCTCTGCACTTCCCTATGGTTGACTGTAAGAGAATGCCTTAAGGCATTAAGTCCGCCATTCACCTTATTTTGTGAAGAAGAAATAAATAAATAAATAAATAAATTTGTGACGTTTTCAGCCGCAGAAGAGGAAGACGACGCTTTGACCAAATAATTGTCAATTTTCACTTGCTTCTTGCCATAGTAAATTTTTTTAATTATCATTTCTCTTAACTTTCTCAAATTCAGTAAAATGTCGTTACTAGCGTTATTCTCCTCTGCCCAGCGAATACTGACATCTATTGATTTCAGGCCATCTTCAGCCTTCACTGAAGGGCTCGTGGGACTAAGCAAGGTCATTTCCAAATCATCTTGTTCAGAGCTAGAAACAGCATCATTTATTATTTCTTCATCGGTCATTGCAGGAAAAGAATCCGAGTTTTCCGCAAACCATTCCTCAACATCTTGTTCAGTCAACTCTGTCTGATTTTTTTGGAACAACATTTGCTTTAGTTCTGCAAGAGGTAATTCATCTTCTGATTCCCACTCTTCTTCTTCCTCAGGATTTTGGTTTAGTGAAGGCCATAATTTTTTCCAGGACGATTGAATCGCTTTTTGAGGCACCATGTTCCACGCTTCAGTTACGTTAAAGACCGCATCTTTAAGGTTCATGTCTTTCAGTGTTTTAGTGGCATCATCATCCCGAATAACAGCATTCAATAACAGTTTCTTCTTGTAGTTACATTTATCATCTGAATTACATTTTGGTCCATAGGTTGAAGTAACGGTGTGCAATTAGGTGGCATAAAAAGTGTTTGAATCTTACCATCCCTAGATGATAACTCATCATTTGGTCCATGGGCAGGGGCATTATCCAACAACAGAACAGCTTTAGGTGGAAGATTCTTGCTTTTCAAAAATTTACGTACCGCAGGCACAAAATCATTGTGAAACCAGTCAACGAATAATTCTTTAGTTACCCATGCCTTGTTTTGATTTTTGTACACAAGTGGAAGATTAACATTTTTGAAAGCTCTAGGATTCTTCGCTTTTCCAATAAACAGCAGTTTAAGTTTATGAGTGCCACTAGCATTTGCACAGGGCATAATAGTGACCCTGTCTTTTGACACTTTCCTGCCTGGAGCTTCTGACTCCTTTCTATAAACATAAGTTTTGTTAGGTAAAACTCTCCAAAACAGGCCGCTTTCGTCAGCGTTATAAACTTGGTCTGGTGTTAAACCAAGATCGTCAACTTTTTTCTTAAACTTCTCGACAAATGGAGCGACGGCTGATGTGTCACTGGATAATTTTTCGCCGGTTATAGTCAACAAACGTATTCCATATCTTGACTTGAAATTCTGGAACCACCCATCACTAGCTTTGAAGTTGGCATTCTTGTATATTTTTTCATAAAAAGTTAAAGCTTTTTGACGAATAATATCTCCAGTAAGAGGCGTATGACGAGCTCGTTCTTGAAGAAACCACGTATACAACGCGTCCTCCATAACAGGATACTCTCCAATCTTCACAGTCTGTCGTGAACTCGTCCCGGCGTCAGCAGTGTTGGCGAAGTTTTCAATCTTCTCACGATTCTTTTTTATATCATAAATTGTTGCACGGCCTACACCATATTCACCAGCCAACTTCATCTGATTTTCACTACTATCCAACTTTCGCAAAATTTCCATCTTTTTAACTAAACTCAATGTTTCGTGTTTACGTTTTTTGTCCGCCATTTTGTCAAAGCGACGCTGCGAGTTGTCAAAGCGACGCTGCGAGTAAAACAAACACGTGGCTTCACTATTGAGGTTAGGCCCGGACTGCCGAGCGAAAGAAACTACTCGAACAATTCAACCGCCGGCCGCGCCGCTCAGTAGTCCGGCGTTCAGCTGTGTAAAATGCCGGATTATAGAGCGGGCTGCCTGAGTCCCGAAGTGCCGGACTACTGAGCGTGCCGGATTGTCGAGCGCCGGATTATCGAGCGCCTACTGTACTTGTTTCTATGTCTAGACAAAAATATGTATTGAGCCTTACTGTATTTTATTTACTCTATGACCTACTTATGAAACTAAAACCACATTCAAACAAATACAAACATATTTCAGGTGAGCATCGACCTTCAGTATGGATGGCAATTTCTCAGGCAGAGATTATGAAAGAGCAATCTCCAGACTTATATCAGAAAATTCTGGATGGACCGTTTGAAAAGGAACTGGTGGATCTAGTGAAGACAGACTTGCCTCGGACATTTCCAGACAATATATACTTCACCAAAGAGGCCAACCATCAAACACACTTGTTTAATATACTCATAGCTTATGCACATAACAACAGAGTGGTTGGCTACTGCCAGGGACTCAATTATATTGCAGGTAAGATTTTTACACACACTCATTAAAATTAAACTTTATATCCTACAAAATAGAACTCATTTTACTGTAGGTGAGATTTCTACACACATTAATTAAAATTAAGCTTTATAATCTCTAGAATAGAACAGATTTTAACATAATATGTTGTTTGGTAAATTTATAATCATATCAGTCGAGTCTATAGCGATGATAACTTTGACCCTGAACCTATTAGGTGTCATTACCACCTACACACTATCAGATACTGTTCCACATTTCGACCTCAAGATTTACATCAATCGGAGCAGGTCAAGTAGTAAATAGGGGCTAATTGTCTCATTACAAAGTGTGACTAAGTTTTTAAATAGATCAAGAGCTAATATTCTACACATTCAAGGCACTGAATGTACTAGAATAGTGATTTTTCTCCAAAAACCATAATAAATTCTATGACTAATGCAACATAAAACTCTGCTACTGGCTCCATTAACTCGTCGAGTACCGGTTTTATAGACACAATTAAAGAACAATAGGTCGCGGTCACCGGTGACCGCTTGGTGTTTGACAGTTTAATAGTTAATTTGATTGAAAGAGATGGTTTAAACAAATTAACTTGTAATTGGATACATCATGTGTGTATGAATCATTTCAGCTGAAACAATTTTAGAGTAGATTTGTTTAGTTCAAATGACTCCACCAGTTGCAGAATTGTACATTATTTTGTACTATCTTGTTACTTGTATTCTGAAATGATTTTCCTTATACCTACTCAAATAATTCATGCTTAATTATTTAATAGTATGATTAATTTGCTAAACATGTGGCTCCCCATTTATATATTCAGTCTTATTAAATGGTTATTTTGAAATGTCGGAATGGTAACAATAATTTTATTTGCTACGTAATCACACTTATTTCTTTAGCAAAATACTAAAACTAAGCTTATAATCGAAGCAATTAATGATAAGTTTAAAATTAATGATGAATGTATCCATTATTTTTAGATACTATGAATAGGTACAATTTACTTTGGATTGAGGAAATTTATATACATGTAAATACAATTAACATAACATTCATATTTTTTTGTTCATAAATTCATCAGAATTATCTGATTAATATAATGGATTGCCAGAATATTTATCATTATTATGTTTTATCACGGCCAAGGCAATCTATTCACAGATAAATTAATATTGACTGTCTAAAACAAATTACTGAGTCAAAACAATATAGTGATTATTTACCATATCATGTAATGAATTTGATATTATCTTAATGACATTGATACCTAATTTTCTCTGTAATCAATATGATATAAGAATAATGCCTATCGTGAGTTTAAACCTTTGATTATGAGGTAAATGAATTACATAAATGTTCTAACTTATTTTAAGGTCTTCTGCTCCTGGCAACAAAGAATGAAGAGACATCATTTTGGCTCTTAAAAGTTCTGGTTGAGAAGATCTTGCCAGATTACTACACAAAGACTATGGACGGCCTCATTGTGGACATCGAAGTGTTGTCAGAACTAGTCAAGTCTAAGGTGCCTGATGTACACCAACATGTTATTAATTTGGGTATGTATCTTATATTATGCATATTACACACATTTATTATATAAAGCTGAAGAGTTTGTGTGTTTGAACGCACTAATCTCAGGAGCTACTGGTCCGATTTGAAAAATTATTATTGTGTTGGATAGTCCATTTATTGTGGAAAATTATAAGCTGTAAAACATCACACCACAATCAAAAGGAACCGAGGAGAGCAAGTAAATTCGCGCGGAAGTAGCTAGTTACATGTAAAAATATTAGACTACCTTCATGTCAAGTGGTCGCTAATGCAACAGCTGAGCATGTTTTCGGTCCGACTACAGGAAAGAGCAAAAGATTATTAAGAATTTCTTGTTTTCTAATTATTAGTAATGGCAAGTAGTCTTAAATGCTGCACAGACCGAGAAAATAAATATAATGCACCTCCACCTCTTGTCAATAGACAATGTGGTCATGTTTTTACCGACTTCGGATATAAAAGTATATAGAAAACAATAAATCAACAATATCGCTAACATTGAAGATGGTATAATCTTCACCTTGAAAGGAGACAAGCTAGAGGCATTTTATCTCTTTAATCCTACAATCAATGTAGTTTACATCACAAGAGCTGTGTTTAATCTCAGGCGTTGAGTGGTGATAACTACTATCTGATACTTGTTACAATTTTCAAATTTGGATGGCTTTGTCTGGTTTTATTTTGTACATCTGTGACTCTATGTAAAAAATTTGGAATTTTAACTTGATAATTTTATTATAAAAAGTCCATTATTATAACAATAAACAAATAATAAATTACACATTATCGAGATCTGATTTCTCCATTCCATGTTTTCAGGCTTACCATGGGCAGTGATAACCACAAAATGGTTTGTCTGCTTGTTCGCCGAAGTCCTCCCCATCGAAACGGTACTACGGATATGGGACTGTTTATTTTACGAGGGTTCAAAAATTCTATTCAGAGTATGTCTGACTCTAATACGGCAGAATAGACAAAAGATAATGTCATGCAATGACTTCACATCCCTGGCGGAGTGCTTCAAGTCCATTGTAAAGGATTACAGCGCATTGCAGTGTCATGAATTTATGGAGGTTTGTTCTTTATATATTTATTTGGTTTTTAAAGTCATAAACAATATAGAAATAGAGAGAAAATACATTATTGAATGAAGTTGGTTAAAGACGTCTTCATATCTAAAAAGGATTTATTTTTTAACTGAGGCTCTCATAATTTCATAATTATCATCCTATCCTATCAAATCAATGAGGAATATTTAATCCTATCAATAAAAGTGATATTTTTACGTATTTCTTTTCAGAAAATATTCACCGTACCTGGCTCTCTATCGAACTCAACTATAATAAAACTGAGAGAGCGGTTCGCGAAGCAGCGCCGTGAGCAGCAGCAGAAGGAGCCGCCGCGATGAGCTGCCGTGGACCACGCCGACAATCGTGTTCTGATCTCAAGCCACACAACCAAATTGTACATTATACACTACTACTTAACACCTCTACTTATACACTATGACAACATATATTTTGGATCTCTATACTTTTTATTACCAACAAGTAAATAAATGAGGTCTATCATTCAAATCCTACGAATTTGTTTCTTAGGATAGAAATATAGAGAGGTTACGCTAATGAAATATTTACATTCATAGCTTGTTCCAATTGTTTTAATAGCTTTGTATGGCGAAAGGTTAATCGCCGCAGTTATGAAACAACGTATATCGAGCTTGTTGCGATTTTGTACAAACATTTACTAGTCTTTATATCCTTGCATGTTTAGTAGCTATTAATTGAATACCGGACAAAGAAACGAGTTGCGCTGAGGTTTTTTTATTTCCTAAAGTCATGACAAACTCCTAATGATATGCTCTGAAAGGTCAATCATCTCAAAATATATCATTTAAATGAACTTCATGACATTAGTTGTTGCTAATGTGGTGTTCCAGCTTTATCTGCGATCCTGAATTCAGGATTGCAAATAATTTTGCTAAGATAGTGTTAAGTTTATAATGTTGTTTTACATATCATTAAAGTATTTTTGTTTGTAGTATTATTTTTTTGCTGTTAATTAATGTGTCAGTTTTATTAGATTTGTACCTGTAAATTGTAAAATAAGATATGAACAAAGTGAGCATTTTACTAACTATTTTACTAATAATTTCCAAACTAATTAATGGTTATAACGTAAATGGAATGGGTTCGCTGCCATTTGCGGAACTAACATTGAACTAACTTGTAATGGGTATTGGTTCCCTTTATAATAAAAATAAGGGAGTAGACCATCAGTCACTGTTTACTTCGGACTTGTCAGCCAGCAAAACTACATTTTTCTTTAGTAAATAATATGTAGGAAAAATATTTAATATTTACTACTTGCATTTCAAAAAATTTTGGTGTTTAAACACTATCTTTATTCTATGCTTTACTTCCTAACAGTTCTAGTACACTCACCATGCTTATATTGGCTGACTTATGTCCAAATACCCAAACGCTACTCAATTTTAAGTCGCGCTCAATTATTGTATGTCACTACAATACTAAATTCGTTGTAAAAAGACAGAGATGACACGATATTTAAGTACAACATTAAATTGAGTAGCCTTTCAGTATTTGGGCGCTAATTCGTTACTTTTGCCTAATGCGACTGATGCCCTTTTAGGTTTTAATGTAGACTAAAACAATTGATATTTTTCGTAGTTTAAAAATATTTGCTAACCTTGTTATTTAAGGTTTTTGTTCAACTTCTGCACAGTAAATATATTTTTTTATACATGTATTTACTAATAAATAGGTGCTAAATATTTATGTATGCATACCAATTAGCTACAAAAATCGTACAATCATTGATTAAAAATTAATGTATTATTATAGTTTCTGATATTTATTAGATACTAATTTTGGATTTGGTGTAGTTATTGATAATTAAAGTGTTTATTGTTCATGTGCGAGCCTATTCAACATAGCTAAACATGTTGTTGTGCTAAGTATAACTTAGTTTTACATGGCTTGAATTTTTTATGCAGTTAGTTAATGATTTGCTCAAAATTATCTGTGTTAGGTATGTGTATAGAAATTGTAATGTCATTATAACAATAATATAATTGTCACACCTTGTAATCCCCAAGGAAGACGGAGGTGCACATAAATACAATGTAATTACTCGTACATCATTGTATTTTACAAAAAAGATATATTTTCTCTATTAGCACTTAAATTTTTCAGATTAGCATCATTCATTTTGAACACAAATGTGGACAATAACTTTCACATACCATTGATACCATTAATTAAAAATTACAAACTTTATAACAATTTTATAATCTAAATCCTAAATTGAATAGTACATAAATAGGAATTCTGAATCAATTTTGTCAATAACTAGATTCATTATAAATGTATCACATGTTTAGTATAGGATGTACTATGAATGTATTTTCTTATAACCTCTTTTGATGGTTTCTCTTTTGGATCCTGTGTATTGTGCTGTGATTAGCAAGCTGCTCTACCCAATTCCAGTTTACTGTTAGGATAGGCTATGGAATCTGTATTTGGATGTTTAACATGACAGAATAGACTATTGAGATGTTCAAATGAATTTTATTTTTTATTTTACCCTTATAGCAATGTAACAAATATTTAACTACAATCTTCCAGGCAACTCCAGCAAAAACTGCTCACTACATTTATCTATAATTGTTTGATGTTCTATTTACACAAGGTAACCACTACTATGAAGCACAAGTAGCCATTATGACTTCCCACTTTCCAAGAGGTCTTTAGCTTCATTGATCTTGGCTGCAATCAAAGGAGAGCCGCCTCTATCCGGATGATTGAGTAACATTATCTTTCGATGCGCATCTCTTATCTGTATCAAATAATAACAAGTCAATGACACAAACACTGCTCTACTGATACTATACAAACTTACTACTGGTTAAATACTCACTTTATTTTTGTTAGCGGTAGGACTGACACCCAGAATTAATGCAGCTTCTCTTTTAGTCATTTTCGGTTCAAAGCCTCCCTTGTAATATTTAGAATGGGCCAAACTTTCCGCATCAAATTTTGGTAAGTTTTTCATTGCTTCTGCAAATTTTGATGAGGCATTGGGCATCTGCCGTAAGACGTAGCGGCCGGCGAAGCCCACTGCTGCCATACCTAACCCCGCTAGAATTACTGAACTTGCCTGCAAGAATAAAATTATAAATATGAATGTTAACATTAAAAAAACAGTAGGTCAAGATTATCTTGTTAGTGTAATTTTTGATTCAAGTTCGTTCACATGCAAAGTTGCATAAAAAATAGTAATTTAGTAGTTTGGTAAACCTGCGGATTAGCAAAGTAAGATATTTTATGAGTTGAATAGGTTACGTACTTACCATTTTTTTACTGTTATACAATTACGATTATGGTTTATAACTTTAGCATGTAATTTTATGAATTACGCATACTTTTTAGCGATGTTACGCCAAAACTTATAATTATTGCACTATTGAATCAAACGCATTTTCTCTTCGTTATCGATTTTGACTTTGACAGTTGGGTACCTTTTTTGACAATGACATTATTTTATTTTCCCTTTGGAAGTTTGGAAAAGAGCAAAGAGCATTGTAATCATGCCAAAGAACCAAGCCATAATTTTTAGTATCCGATTTCGGATATCAAATTAATATAAATCGTAAAAAAGATAAGAAGAGATATTATTTCAGACAATTTATAAATTATTTCAAATACTAAATTGCACTGCATATCATTTTCGAAATATGTAATTAATATTCATAATTAATCACATGTATTAATAATTTTAAATATTATTCATTTCTAATAATTAATACGCAAAAGACCATAAACTAATTAATCGACTAATTCACAATTGTTGTAATTAAATAATACTGGCAACACACTATTAAGAAGTGAAGTGCCCAGCCAGATAAAAGTTTATGAAAAAAAATCGGGCCTTTTCGAAGAGGTTCAACATGGCAGGAGATCAGGCGCAATTTTACCAGTTACTAAATACTTTATTATCAACCGATAACGACATAAGATCCCAAGCCGAAGTAAGTACTAACTGTGTTTTACGTTTTATTTATATTATAGCTTAGAAATGTGTAAATTGGCCGGTTTAAAAGATGAATATCATCTACGAGCCTCGTGTCAAAACGTGGTCATGGAGGATTTTCATGTTACTTTTCAAACAACGACGACTAAATTCTGATATTGCTCAACTAAAATACTAAATTAATATGTAAGAAGATTGTACTTAAAACATGTAAGTTGAATAATTAACTTGTTCATGTTTACACGTTGCTAAACGCTAATAATTATAGCGAATCTATTGTTGCGGCCGGGCTAACGTTCAATTTATACATGTGGTTTTATAGCTTGGAATATCTGTTGCTTTGTCCATTATTTTAAAAAATATATTTAAATATGTATAACTTACTACAATTCCTAGCAAAAAATAACGATGACGCATTGCCCAAGATGTAGATATTTCAACATATCTCTGAATATTTTTTATTGTTGCATCTATTTCAATTTTGGTGCAACAAAACAAGCTGTTAAAAAGTATTTATTTTATAGAGGACTAGCTTGTTGCCTACACATGTCAAACTTTGTCTTTTTATTTGTAATTTAAGACAAATGATTTAAAATGCGGTTTTTGCCACTATCATCATAAAAAAAAATGTTTTAGTATTAGCAGAAGCAAACTTATGTTTAGTTTTATTACATAACTGGTTCTAATTGTTTTGTATTGTATTAACAAGTACTAAATAACCTGCCCTTCAACTCCAGTCTCAAATATATAATAAATCTGAAGCATTAGAAATGGCAGATAGTAATCACAATAATCTATTCTTATATTTTTTATAGCATCAAGAGTCCACTTGTATCAATATTACATTTCACTTATTAATTCAACTGAAAAATACTTTCTACATCTTCCCTGTGTGAATGTAAAAACTATAAATAGTAAGGGATTAAATGATTAGATACTTAGTCATATCTGCAGTGCAGCAGTCAAAATGTCAAAGATGTCAATATCCATTTATCTCAACATGTTCATTCTGCTAGACTTTACTTTATAAAAATGTTTGTAACTTTTTGCTGAACAGGAGGCATACAATAATATACCAACTGAAACAAAAGTAGTACACTTAGTGGGAGCTATCCAAAATGGTGATGTTGGTGAAGAAGGACGTCAAACAGCAGCTGTGCTGCTCAGAAGATTGCTCAGTGCAGAGTTCTTCGAATTCTTCCCAAAACTACCGTTTGAGCAGCAGTCAGTCCTCAGAGAACAACTACTCCTTACACTGCAGATGGACGTCAGTCAACAACTCCGCCGCAAGGTATGTTTTGTTATGTAAACATGGAAATTTTTACACTCATACATTTTCAATACATTCTTGATAATGGCTGCCAAGTAGTGTATTTGTTATGATATCTCCATCCTGAACACTAAAATCCTTCACCTTATTATAGTTATCAGGTATTAAACATGTAAACTAGAATTATCAAACATTAGTCTTTTATTGCCAATAGTATTTAGGACAGATAAAATTTATCTTCTTTAATATAAATTTAAAAAAAATTACACTTATAAACACTAGGTTAGACAAAAAAGTAAGTATAGACCTTACAAAAAAGAGCACTAGCATCATTATCATTGTTAATTGCTCTCTAGCGAGCCGTGTGATGAATCAGTTGTACTAAGTACATACTACATACTTAATCTAATTTCATTCTATGAGTACATAGTAGGATGACTCATCCGCATTCCAGAGGCATACTGTGAAGCTTGAAGCCATAAAAAAATCTACATTATCATAAAAATCTGTTGTTCATGTTTGTTCTTAACAATATGCTATATCAAATATTATTATTACAGTAGGATTGTCAATAAGATCATTTATTATTTTGATAAAAATAAAACTGTACACTTAACTCTGCCTAATGGTGACTTGTATTAGAATATTAAGTCTTATCTCTAGGTCTACATTTATAAGCAAAGCAATCAATTTAGAATTAGATGAGGCCAGAGTTCCCAAGTTACATACATAACTTCACGCCTGTCTCCCATGGGGGTAGGCAGAGACTAAGGAACGCCAATTACTACGATTCTTACATACCTCTTTCGCTTCATTAACAGTCATCAATCTTTTCATGCATGCTCGTCGGTTAAGGGTACTTTTAATTTGGCCCTTCTTTAATATATCGCCAATCTGGTCACTATATGTCCGTCTAGGGCGCCCTCTACCGACGGCTCCATTCATATCCGCTCTGTATACTTCTTTCGTTACTCTACTTTCATCCATCCTTTCTACATGTCCAAACCAGCGTAACATTCCCTTTTCAATCCTTGTCACTACATCGTCTTTCAATCCACACCTCTCTCTAATAACACTATTTTTCACTCGATCACTCAATTTTAGTCCACACATACTTCTCAGGGCTCTCATTTCCACCGCATTAATCCTGCTTTCATGCTTCTTCTGCCACACCCATGATTCACTACCATACATAAGCGTTGGTGTCAATACACACTGCATTACAGCAAGTCGAGCTTTGCTGGATATTATTTTACTCGACATTACAGAGTGTAAAGCACCATTAACGCTATTTCCCGCTTTCACTCTCCTTTCAATATCCCCGTCACACTTTCCATCTCTCGTAAATAGTGATCCCAGATACACAAATTCATTCACTTGTTCCAATTTTTCATCATTTTTCATCAATATCATAGTTCCCAAGTTAATAACTGATAATTTATCACATTAATAATATGTTAAAATAAAACTTAATACCACTAAAGTAAAGCATGATATTATAATGTTCTTTGATTTTAAATCAGAAACATACTTCTATCAGTTACATGGCAACAAAAAAATTGTCTATAGTTACAAAATATATTTTATAGCACATCATTACGTAAACCTTTTATCTTAAAATGTGTTACTGCCAGTATGTGCAACATTAAATTGTGAATTTCGCTAACACCATCCTCTCAATAGGGTGGAGTTTGATAGTACTTCTCCAGACAGTTACCCAATTTGATAAGACAATGAGTCATTTGTACAACATTTCAAAAAGTAATTTAATACCTACTGAAATAATTTTGTTGATTTGAATGACTAGTCTGCTTCATCAGCCAACTGGTCGCAAATTAGTAGGACTGCCGAGACTCTGGTTCGATTCCCGAGTCTTCGATAGGGGTTAGATTTTATTGTTTTGAAATTTTTCGTAATAGACCAATACAAGCAATAGGGTTTGAAAGTAATGATTATAATTTATTTGTCTAGATCTGTGACGTCGTATCAGAATTGGCCAGAAACCACATAGATGATGATGGTGTTAACCAATGGCCAGAGTTTCTACAGTTCATGTTTAACTGTGCTGGTGCCCAAGATCCCAACATCCAAGAGGCTGGCATCAGGATGTTCACGTAAGTATTAAGTAAAACAATACAAATTAATGGGCTGTCCCCAATGTATAAATTAAAACTAATTCTTCTTTGTTATAGTAAAGTCTGGCTCAATGTCAAGTTCGCAATAGTTTATTCTTGGATTAAGGAATAACTGAAGTTTGTTTTGTCATTGTTATGTGTAGAAATAATAATTAATTCAATGGTTTATGAAACAGGTCAGTGCCTGGTGTGTTTGGGCACCGTCAGAATGAAAACCTTCCTGTGATCAAGCGCATGTTGCTGACTGCTCTTCAGTCCACATCGGAACCTCTCCGCATTCAAGCTGTGAAGGCAGTTGGCGCATTCATATTACTCCACGACAAGGAGCCTGCCATACACAAACATTTTAGTGATATACTGATCCCTCTCATGCAGGTATGTTATTCTACCAGGTAAAATGATTCTACTACACAACAATTCTCTTATGATCAGTCATTGTTTGAGGTTTATAAAATAAAATGTAGCTGACTACATAGAAGAATAAATAAAGATATTTTCGGTGCGGGAATTGAATCCGTGGAACATTTTACAGAACCATACGGGTGGCTGTACAATCAAAATACATACAATAGTAAACTTACCAATAAACTAGACTTTAGGAAAGTCAGTATAGCAAATAAATTATAAATGATAACTTTGTGGCATGCAAACAGTAATTGACCACTTATAAATTCAATGCACTATGAATTCGACATTGAATGATCACAATTGGCTCTATTTTTAGACAGACTCGCTGATAGTTGATTTTTATCACTCTATTGTATTGATACTGTTGGTACTTTGTGTAGTGTTACAGATGTATATAATACTGTTTCACAGTTTCAAAATGAATATCAATAACCTCTGGACCATGTAGTTTATAACATTTTAATATGTTAATCTAACAAAGAAAAATGTATTAATTACTTACATAAAATTATGCTGCCTGGCTGGCTTTTGGTACACAAATTTAAAGAGACTTGAATGCCAAGGAAAATGTAACATAAGTAATAGATTCCTCAAAGTCAAAATCAAAGCAAAAGAAATAAATTTCCAACCAATTCAACCATGATTTGGTACTTTTGAAACGTCAACAAAAACAAAATAAATAGTAGTCTGTCAGTCAGTCCGTCAGTGAAGCTAGGTGAAGCTCAGCACATCATTTACGTAACTTTTTTTTATAAAATGTGTTACTGCCAGAATGTGCAACATTAATTTGGGAATTCGCTAACACCATCCTCTTAATAGGACGGAGTTTGATAGTACCTCTCAAGACACTATAATAAGACAATTTACAACATTCAGAACATAAAATAGTTCATTTAATTTATAATGTTTTTTGTCTATTTCACAGGTTATAGTTCAGTCCATTGAGAAGAGTGATGATGACGCTGCTTTGAAAGTTCTTATTGAACTAGCTGAATCAGCCCCAAAATTCCTGCGCCCGCAACTAGAGCCTATCTTCCAAGTGTGCATCAAGGTTGGTACATTGATATAAATAAAACTTAAAGTATTTTAAATTTAATTTACATTAAAATGTGTGTTGTAAGATTCTTTACTGTGTGGCTATATTTGTATAATACAGCTGCAAAGAATCTTACTAGAAAAACTAACAAGATAATTAGCACTCGATGTTCCTTATACATTTGGGTGTCAGTCCCTTGATGACAATGATGTTTATAAATAGTTCCACATATGTTGTTAGTTTGTATGTGAGTAACATGCATTGTTTTTTTGTTTGTGTTAGGTGGTTGGTGACATGGATGCAGAAGATAACTGGCGCCAATTAGCTTTGGAGGCAATGGTGACCCTTTGCGAGACAGCTCCTGCCATGGTACGAAAGCAGGTGCCCAATGGAGTGAGCTTGCTGACGCCGCTCGTACTCGAGATGATGTGCGAGCTAGAGGACGAACCCGACTGGTCAATGCAAGACGACGCAGCCGAGGACGACAACGAACAGTTAGTATACTATATTGCAACATTCTGGCTTAAAAATAAATATTCTTTATAAGAGATATAGGTCTTAAACTCGCCTTTTCAATATTTCCACAGAAATTATGTAGCTGCTGAGTCAGCTCTGGACCGCATGTGCTGTGGACTTGGTGGAAAGATTATGCTGAACCTAATCGTAGGGCGGGTCCCTGAAATGTTGCACCACGAGGACTGGCGCCGTCGCCATGCTGCGCTCATGGCTGTGTCTTCTGCTGGCGAGGGCTGCCACAAGCAAATGGAACAGATGCTGGACCAAGTAGTCTCTGCTGTTCTCAACTATCTCACTGACCCTGTAAGATATTTCTCATACATTAACTAAGATTTAGTAGCTGTTTAAATTCCAATGTTCGTTAGTGATGTAATCATTAACAAGGTTACATCACTTCCATAGCATTGGAAGATTAAATGTGGCAATTGCTCCATTTCTCTCTAGTTCATAGAAAGTCACGGATCTCAGTTCACAGACATGATAATAACAGGGAATAATGAACTTTCTATTTTAGTTGATTGGTTGTTATAAAGTTATTTTAATGATTTCAGCACCCTCGTGTGCGTTACGCTGCTTGTAATGCTGTGGGTCAAATGTCGACTGACTTCGCTCCTGTATTCGAAAAGAAGTTCCATGACAAAGTAGTGCCTGGCCTCTTGATGGTGCTGGATGACAATGCTAACCCCCGCGTGCAGGTAATTACTACAAACTCATATAGTTTTCATTCTTTAAGTTAATTAATGGTTTGTTGCTGAAAGTTATTGATTGTATTATTTGTTGTCTTTTCCAGGCTCATGCGGCTGCTGCTTTAGTAAACTTCAGTGAAGATTGTCCCAAGCCAATTCTTACTCAGTATCTTGACCCCTTGATGAGCAAACTTGAAGTAATTTTGACCACTAAATTCAAAGAGGTAAGACAATGATACGCTTCATAAGCCAATGTTCGTTAGTGATGGAACTATTCTTAAAGTTCAATTACTTCCATAGCATTGGCAGATAAAATGTGACAATTGCTCCGTTTCTCTCTTTTTATAGACAGTCACGGATCTCAGTTCACAGACATTTTATTGATAGTAAAAATTGTATATGATATGAATAAGTAAATATAAGAATACTTTAAAAAATATAGTCTGCTTGCAGTTGGTGGAACGTGGCACAAAACTCGTGCTTGAACAAATAGTAACAACAATCGCGTCCGTCGCCGACACTGTGGAGAAAGACTTTGTTATATACTACGACCGGCTGATGCCTTGCCTCAAGTACATCATTGCTAATGCTACCACCGACGAGCTCAAGATGCTCCGCGGCAAAACTATTGAGTGTGTCAGTCTTATTGGTACGTAATTACAACACTCATGTAAACTAAACATTCCAAATTATTTGTTAATATTATCTATTTATCAAATGTTTGTCCTTCATTAGGTTTGGCTGTTGGTGAGGAGAAGTTCACGTCAGATGCCTCTGAAGTGATGGATCTGTTGTTGAAGACGCACACTGAAGGTGAACAGTTGCCTGCCGACGATCCGCAGACATCTTACCTTATCTCTGCCTGGTCTCGTATCTGCAGAATTATGGGTACGTAATGAACTAAAAATTTATTTTTCTTACATAAAAAAAATATTGTTATTACATGGCAAGGAATCTGTAAAACTCGGAATATTTGATGTTATGTTTACTTAACAGGGAAGAAGTTTGCACAATATCTGCCCATGGTGATGGAGCCGGTAATGCGCACCGCCGCCATGAAGCCCGAGGTAGCATTGCTCGACAACGATGACTTGGAAACCATCGAAGGAGATCTCGACTGGCACTTCGTCACACTCGGCGAGCAACAAAACTTTGGCATTAAGACTGCGGGTCTGGAAGACAAGGCTTCAGCTTGTGACATGCTTGTGTGCTACGCTCGCGAGCTCAAGGAAGAGTTTGCAGAATATGCAGAGGATGTAGTGAAGCTAATGGTGCCCATGTTAAAGTTCTACTTCCACGACAACGTGCGCACGGCCGCCGCGGAGTCGCTGCCCTACCTGCTGGAGTGCGCGCGCATCCGCGGGCCCCAGTACATTCAGGGCATGTGGGCATACATTCTGCCAGAGTTGCTCAAGGCTATCGACTCAGAGCCTGAACAGGAAGTCCAGGTGGAACTTCTCAACAGCCTCGCAAAAGTATATATTTTTCTTATGTACTTTTAAATTCAATAAATTGTATGTGTTTTTAATCAGTTTTTTAATATGAGTTATTTTGATTTCAGTGCATAGAACTATTGGGTGGTGGTTGTCTCCCAGACGAAATGATGGCGGAAGTACTGCGTATATTAAACAAATTGCTCACCGAACATTTTGAACGTGCCACTGAGCGTCGTCAAAAACGCGCTGACGAAGATTACGATGAAGTGAGTATTTTTATTGTAGAAAAAGTATCTAGTTATTTACAGACTAACTAATGTATTTTTTACTAATATTATCTTAAATTGTGACAAAGTACAAGAGTGTAAAAGATATACTAAAAACTGAATTTTTTAACTCAGGTAGTGGAAGAGCAGTTAGCCGACGAGGATAACGAGGACGTGTACGGTCTGTCCCGCGTGGCGGACGTGCTGCACGCGCTGATGTCTGCGTACCGCGAGAGCTTCTTCCCGCACCTCGACAGTCTGCTCCCACACCTCGTGCAGCTGCTCGCCCCCGGCCGCCCCTACTCTGATCGCCAATGGGCTATATGTATTTTTGACGATGTTATCGAATTCGGAGGTAAAGATTGTTAGGCATTGCATGGAAAACAGTCGTAAAGATGTGCTGGTTGTCGATTTACATAAATGTTTGTCGTTTTAATATTACGAAATATCGTGTTTTTTCGCTGGCAGGTCCTGCATGCATAAAGTACCAAGACATCTTCCTGGAGCCGATGCTGAGCGGGTTGCGCTCGGCCGAGGCGGAGGTGCGGCAGGCGGCGGCGTACGGGTGCGGAGTGCTGGCGCAGTTCGGAGGCGCGGCCTTCGCCGGCGCCGCCGCGCGCGCCGTGCCGCTGCTGGCCGCGCTCATCGCAGAACCTGATGCACGTGCACTAGAAAACCTTAACGCTACCGAAAACGCTATATCCGCTGTTGCAAAAATCATCAAGTATAACCACTCTCAGATTGACAGGGATGAAATCATTAGGCACTGGTGAGTCACAGCCTCTTTTCGCACTAACTTGTCATTTGTTTATACTTTTCATGAAAATTATTTATTAGTAAATATACCTACATGTTTTTACTTTACCAGGCTAACATGGCTGCCAGTGACAGAAGACACAGAGGAAGCACCACACGTATACTCCCTGCTGTGTGAACTCGCGGCGAGTGGTCATGCGGCGCTGGCATCTCCTGATGCACCTAAGCATGTGATCGCCACACTCGCAGAAGCATTCTTGAGGGACGCTGTGCCTACTGACAACCCAGTTTATGCGCAGATGGTTGCTCTCGTTAGGCAAATACAGGTAAGCATCAATTACAACTTTCTTACAACAAAGTAATCAAATGAGTGTATATTGCACGAAATGTAAACATAAAACCTTTTTATTTGTTGCAGAGCAATGCAGAATTATTTAACGCCGTACTGATGCAGCTGAGCAGTGAGCATAAGGAAGCCCTGCAGCTGGCCCTGTCCACGTAGTGGCCGAGCACATATTTATTACCGCCAGTACCGCCACACGTCACTCTCTCGGCACCCTGCGCTCATCCGTTGCCAGTCACGCTCTCCTCATCACGCCCATGTCTCGCGCATCACTACTAACCATTAACCGCCTTTAAACCAACTATTACCATGTGTATAAAAGTTGTATGATGTAATAATTGAAAATATATCTTTTTGTGATTTAGACGAGTTTTAAACCATTTCAGTTTTATAAACGACTGATGTCCGATAAATTATAATGTTGTATACTTTCATGACGATTTGTTCTTTCCTTTCGAGGATTTTTTTCTTCGATCTCACTCAGCAACTTATCAGTTGGGCTAACTTAAATTGCTGTGATATATTTTTATACTAATTTTTGAAGTAGCTTCATGCTTGATCCTTAAAAGTGTTAGTACCTCTTTGAGCATTATTCATTGTCTTTATATGTAGTTCTTTTTCGTAATGTCGATATTTTGTAAGCAACTATAATGGGGATGGTCCAATTTATTGATAAACAAATGGGAAGTTATCAAAGTTGTTTAAAAGTGTAAGGTATATACTCGTTATAATTATTATATTACAAGCTAAATGTTGTAAAATGAGTCCCAAAATGAAAAATATTTACCTACATTGTTTTCTGATATGTATGTGTATTTTATAGTCTAATAGAAAGTTACTGTTATAAACTTGGCGTTATGTTTTCGAGAATTCGTTTTCAAAATCGTTAAAAATCGGTGACATGTTGAAAGCTCTGCTATGGGAGCAAAGACTGTATTGGGCCTAAAGGCAAAGCAGCTAGATTAACATTTTAGTTGTAATACATTTTTCATGCGTTCTTCGTGATTTTATTATGAAAATAAATATTTTTATAAACAATTGGGCCGTCTGCATTTACGTTTTATTATATAGTTTGCCATATTTCGGCTATGATGGGAACTTGGTGGCTGTTTCTCGCAATGGACGAGGCGTCATATCTGTTTATAAGATATAATTTTATTCAATAAACATACCTATATATAATATTATATATACATTTCTTTGTTTAACTAAAATAAAAGTTATTTGACATGATAATGCTTGTTTTTGTAGAGGAAAATAATTGCACAGAGGTAAAACTGAACCAAATAGGAAGCTCGCTACTTCCTAGAACTAATTTAGGAGGAGACGAATGTGCGCATCTTCCATAAACAGAAACAAACATTGAAATGGTGGTTATGTTATCCTACATTACAGACCTGCCGGTTTTGTCCTACTTGTGTTAGTTTTGGTTTTAGTTTTCACCAAAACTTGAAAATATTTTGAAAGGAAGAACCAAAGAGTATAATAAGGTAAGGACGAAGAGCCCCGTTGCTATTTTTCATATAATTCACTGATATGATAAGATATAATTAAATGAACGCGCGGTTGTAACGCGGCCATCGCACATAGTTATTATTATTTAGAGGATTTAGGATATTACCGACTGCAAAAACAGATGATTGGTCTGTTTCCGTAGTTTATTGGGAACTATTTACTAGGTAGATTCACAGTTTAGAAACTTATAAAATACAAACCATGAGAGTAGGTTTTTGTGAGTATGATAGTGGCAATACTGGTTGGAATGTCAGACGCACACGTCAATGTCATCTTTACTTTGCTCATTTTCTCAATCGTTTTGGCCTGTCAAAGTTGAATGTCGTAATATAAAATTCTGTATTTACTTTACTTTAACCTGTATTTGGAATTGTATAATATTGTATAAAGATTTTTCAAAATTACTGTATTGAAGACCAAAAACAAAGATATACTTTAAAACATTTATGATTATAAAAAAAGCATTGAATTCACGATTTGTAACAGTTCATTAAATAGGTAGCTTCACCGCTTGCACGTTGTCAGAGTTAAATACTTGGAAACTGTGAGTTGAGTTTTCATTAATAACAATAAAAATTACGACAACTGTTTGCCTGCCCGAAAAATTTGTCATTAGTGAACCACATTTACAAATACTCAAGTGAACAATACGCTGAGGCTAATTACGCCGGCAGGCGATGTCATAATGTCCCGTAAGAGGTCCCGACTCAGCAGTGAAGAAGAAATGAGTTCCAAATTATCAGATGGTGGATGTGGCGAGGGTCAAAATGGGAGTGACACCAGCATAACCAGCGCGACCAGCCAAGCACCGATAGATGCGTTGCAGGTTAGTACCAAACGTCATGTCAACTTCCGTGCTTCTATTCCAGCAGGCTGCTGGCACTTGTCAACTAAATTCTAATATAAAAACTTAATAGCAATGCTGAAATCAATTCTTATGCCATTTGTTTTAAATTAGCATGAATTGATATGCTCTGCCATATTATGGCATTGTATGGAAGAGTTGAGTAATAAATAAACTAGCTTATTTGAATCTGTACCATTTGATGAATGCAATATGGTTCAAATTGGTATTGCCTGAATTTATGTTGCAAGCAACCTTCACTATGATGTGGCTAGGTATGTGGCTATACCTCTAGTGAGAGAACACTAGCACTGTTGATGACTATGAGCATGCTGGTGATGAATCATGTCTATTGCATGACTAACAGTCATGAACAGATTTTAACTAGAACTTATCTGTTTATTATGATACTGTTGATAAGACTAATGTATTGTGTAACTTAAGTACCTACATCACTCATTATGAGTAAAACTGAACATTAGTAAGGTAAATCAGTTAAAAATTAATCTTTACTGAAATAAATGGAGTGAAACTGCATAGATAATAAATATTCTAACTGGAATTACATAGTAAAGTGGATCAGGTTAGTTCATTGCTCCAGTGACCTTAGAGCTTAATCTGTTGAACTACTGAACATAAGGAGGGTGAAGTTAATCCAATAACTGCTCTCAGCTTTACATCACTATTTACTATTTACTCTCCGGGGACTGGATACTCGTTTTAATAGGAATTAGGAAGTTCAAAAAGATGTTATTATTTCAAAATTAAAATCTCGATAACAAATGTTACAACTATTGTTACCAAGTTTAATTTTTAAATGTAAGGATATGTATGTATGTACGTAAGTTAGTAAGATTTTTTTTAAATTTTATGTATCTAATCATTTTTTAATGTTAAATGTATACCAAAGAAATTCCTTAACAAATGAGAAAAGGCAAGTATAACTAGATCTAACTAACTTTTTCCTGTATTTAGTTCCTTATATATTTAAGGGAAAATTATGTTTCCATTGGAATTGCTATAGTTACTCTTCTAACTATGCATTCTAATAAGAAAAATACAACAATTAGATAGTTTGTGTGAAAACATGTGGATTTTAATTATAAATCAATAGTAATTTTACTAAACTGTATTTTTGTGCTGGAATATTTTTTATTTTTTGCAAGGAATTGATTTAGGTTTCTGTTTGTTAACTAAATACAAAAAAAATTGTAATATTCAATTTTTCTGACACCAATCACAAGGACTTAATTATGCCTAGGTATTATTTTTTACATTAGGCATATAAAACGAATGTAGTATAATTAATAATCGATAAAATTAATACCCCAGGTAGTATAGTAGTTTATTTAATTGCACATAATCACGCGTCGTTTACTTCGCGGCATACTAAACACGATACGGATACAGTGATACTCTGGACATTGCAAATGTTCTACGGGCCTGTATACGTATATCGTGTTTTCATTTTACAGGGATATGAAAATGAAAGCTAAATGAATCAATAGTTTGGGCTCGGAGCCAACTATGTGGCGTGATTACTGACCGCGCCACTCGTTTGGATACCTCACCTACGACGCTCTACCGCTCTACACTGCACATACTAATGCACTAACTGAATACATGCATCACTAGCTAACTACCCGACTACACAGCTATCAATTGTAATTTATGACTTCATGTTCGCATGACCATAAATACGAATGTGCCACTAAACCGATTCGGCCGACGACGTAATATTCTTTCTTGGATTTTCCATTAGCGCGTGACGGTAGCAGATTGTAGTTTTTGTGTTTATTTTCATCTTAAAAACCCACGCTCTACTGATTGCCAAATCTAGTTTATTGACGGGCGAAAAAATTGTAAGTGATGTCATAAACTTCGTGTTTATCAAAATGATACAAACTCTTACATCAGTACTCGAGTATATCTGTGTACCGTTGCTCCACTCCTATCGTTTATCGTATTAGTCTATTTGCAGTTTCAATTATGTCACTACTATACTCTATATTACAAAATTACCTTTCTTCAGTGCATGCTCTAATGACTACGACAATGATGTGACTGATAAAATTCTGCACACTAAACCTTAGCTAGAGTACGAGTGACGTACGAGCCTGCCTCATAATGTTATGTGTCTTAATAAGCACCGACTGAATGCGTACATGTGGTACATGTGCACTCTCGAAGGCTAAAGTCAGTAACGGCAAAGAACCAAATCAAATCGTTTGATCGAATCATAATGAGCATTACGTAACTCATTTCTTGACATTATTCCCATTTTATCATCAGCTAACAGCACGTCATGAAAACGTGTCATGCGAGTGCGACGATGTGCCGTGACCAAATTGATGCAGCCTTGAACCATTATTAAGAGCGCACTAAGAAGGTGGCATTCCGTTAACTCTTAGTTTTTAGCCCTTGTGTGTATCGTATCATCCACGTGCAATGCCAGAAATAGGTATTGCAAGACTCGGTCGATCACGTATTTTATAATGTGATTTCATAAAAAAAAACAGTAATTTCTACATACAAGAATGCTTAGTATGAGATTCCATTCTTCATCGTTAGAATGGTATCTATTGTTTGTATGTCGAGAATCGGGAATGCTCAGATAGTGTTGGAATATCCACAGTATAAACTGGCGTCGACCTATCTGTAATGAAATCATGTGAGTGTGTCATGTCAGTGTTGGCAGAGCAGCCCACTGCTGTACTGAGACATTCGCTTGGCGCCCACCACTCGGTTAGTGGAGCGGTCGTTGCCATCGCCGAGTCTCACTAGTGACGGCAACCATTTTCTAAATTTAGATGAGAAGGTGATGAATTAGTTGTAATATTATATTTTTAGAAAATCCAGCTAACTATGGCTAAATACTTTCGACTTTGTCTTAGCTAAACGTGCGCGTTGATCTCGTATCATTGTTTACGCATGTGCTATCAACAGCTGACCCAAAGACGTCATTGTAATCATAAAATCCCATACTGAAATCTGTTTAGCTTTGAATCACATTTACTTGCTAATCGAGGAATGATGACTAATTAATGTGCTATCAATGTTATCTGTATAAAGACAAACATAATCTTAATAGAACATGTAGTTAGAACTTAAGAGTCTTACCGTCGTACTCAGTAATTTAATGATACCTGAACTCAGCCTTTAGCAATTGTTTTCGGAACAACATCGTCACTAAGCAATAGTTCTAAGTGATCATTAAATGTCTCAAATTCGGCAGTTAGTTAACTGCAACAAAATATACATATAGTAACTCTAACTACTACACTTACTGTAGAGATGACACAGGTATAGGTGACTTTGAAAATACTAGCTATTTATACCAATCGAAATGTTTATCAGTGACCAAACAAATTACACCTTTATAAATTGACAAACATGTTTACCCTACAGTAACGGGTTGTTGACGGATCATTGGAAAATAGAAATAATGAAGTTGTATGTGGGATAGTAGCCAATGAAAAGAAAAGTAACGAATCAAAACATAGTTTATTCAACTTGCGTAACATATCGATAAAAAACCTGAGATTGTATATACATGCACCGTGACCGAATAATCTAAAATAAAATAGGTAGATGCAGATTATTATGGGAATATTAGATGCCATCTTTATTAGTAAAACTAAAAGAATTTGAAAGGTCTACGGCGTCAAGGCTGTTCAGTTTAAACCAGGCAAAGAGGAAGCTGTCGCGACCATATCTTTACGATTTCACGTTCTTAAACCGTGTATAGGTAATTATGAGAATAAATTAAATGAGGTTTGGGTGTTTTTAATGGAAAATAATCAAATCGATAAAGATTAATCGTTCACAGCTGAACGATTTAAAAATTATGTGGTAGTATTGCTTCAGAATAAGCACATTTCGTGTTGGATTTTCTTTTTACACTTAACGCTAACGGAATTGATTGTTAGCATTTTTTAAGTACGTTCGCACCCAATTGACACACTGCAGATGTGATTTGACCTATTTAACTTTTTCAGAGAGATATAGTGTTCTCTTTCTGCGTTCTGATTGGAATGGATTTCAATATTATCTGTGTTCAGGTATGCAAAAACTTGTTTGTCTGATCCCACTACGCTATTCATTGTGGTTAATGTTTTAATTGAAGGGATATAATTTATAGATAAAAAAATAAACAAAAAGAAAACACAGAAATAATCGACCAATTGAGAATAACCTTAAAAAGCACAAAATAGAATTTCAAAAGTCATTGGCTTTGGTTTTGTTTACCTTCGCACTCCTAGCAATGTGCACTACATTCTCTGAAGTATAATAAAGTAACACAATCAAGGAAATAAATTATTAAGTCCAGTCACGTACCTCACATGTACGAGGTACCCATGCTAGGCTACATAGAGAGTAATTATTCAACAAATCGACTATTTAACTCGATAAATTGTACAAAATATCTGTACAACTGTGATGTGTCCTCTACTAATTGATGATTATTCAAAATAAATTGTTACAAGGTATTCCCCAGCACTTGAAGCCCATTATCAGCTATGTATCTGCTCTCATTGGCTTTGCCACTCGGATGACGAATAATGTCGACCGACGTGCGACGATCATTTATTTAAATGAAAGCGATATTTTTGTATGCATTTGAAATCTGAACCAAATAATCATAAGATTTCTTTTTGATAATTCCGTTTATGCCAATGCTAACGAGTTACAACTTGATATTGCATCAGATTTTAAAGCTTATTATTATTTGAATTTAAAAATACAATTAAATAGCAGATGAAGAACACTCATTTTAGAGAAGTCGATTGAGAACAAATTAATCATCAGTGTTAGTGGCATTTTCCAGTTTTTGGAAAGAAAGAAGTTTTAAAATGGAAACAAGTCTGTTGGCAAGAGCAAATAAAATGTTTTGAACTGTATCTATTTAATAACAAGTACTTTTGCTTACCGTTAGTTTATTTGAAATGTAGAAGACTAATTAGCAGGATTAAAATTATCCTGTCACTTATCCATGGTAACGTACCGATAACAATATCACACACATATTAGCTGTCGACATTCCTAGAACTATCGTGCCCTCCGCCCCACTGGCAATTAACAAATTAAAATGTGTCGTCACTACAGGAGCTGATATCTTGTGCTCAGCTGATATCAACATCGTACGATGTGATAAAATATTCATAAACTTATTTATAATTAATTTGTAATCATTTCATTTGTTATGCAAAACTATCAGTATCCATCATACCAAACCAGATGACATCTCCGCAGCACACGCATCAGCTCATAAATTATCATCACGCTATTTAACTGCACGCATCACAGCAGCATCCACATTGTGCGAGTCCTCTCAGTTCTCGGAAGTGGCTGTGAGGAAGTTATTTGTTTAGCTGTAAACTGTTAAAAGTAACTTAAGGCACTGTTGTGACTAAATGCGGAATTAGTGTCGTCTGGTTAGTTGCATACGAGCATAGTGCAAGTCGATGTTGGCGACTGGCCGAAGTTGTAGTCGGCTGTAAAGTAAGTCCCCTTCGGGGCGACTCGTGGAGCGTCGCGTGTCTGTCGAGCCTCCACGTCGGCGTCGCGCCACCCGGCATCGACCGCTCCCCGCGCCTGTCGCACCACCCGCTAACACCAGACGCATTCCTCACGCCGACTCCGTGTTTCATATCGTTTTAGTCACTCGTGTACTTTCGTGGAGTTCGCGTGTTCCGCTGTTTAACGAAAATACCGGTTCTCAAATAAATAGCCACAAACGTACGATTACTGAAAAAAAATAACTTGTCAAACTTCACTCAAATTTTGATAGAAAAAAATTGAGAATTATCTTCTATTAAATAAAAGTATTTTTAATTTTTACTATTTTGTTAAATGTTAAAAAATTTAATGATGCCAGTTCCTAAATTATAGCTTTAATATTTTATAACACGTACAGTCAAGTTATTTAGCTTAAATCGGAAGACAGTAAATAGTTGATGATGTCAGCCTTCACAATAACCACAACGCTCACGAACGGGCACGGCCATGTGAACGGTCAGCTGGAGCCTGCACTCAATGGATACAGAAAGAATGGATTTGTCAAACAGGACATAGTAGAGCGCACTGTGAGTACCCACTTTGATCTTAACTTCCTTCCTAGTTTTCCGGGGTCACATAGCTTTCTTTCCGCACTGACTAAGCCGAGCTAAAGCAAATATTGACACAACCTTATGGGTCTTTAGAGTTATATTCTAAAACGTGTTTTAATAAGTTGTTTGGTACAAACGGAGAAATGAAACTTTAGCGACCAACAAGACGAGACGAGTAGACTGCAATGTTTGTACAAGTATGAGTGAAAGTTAGCGCTACTCATTGCACCACAGAAGGTTGTCTGTCTATGTGTGGTTACTGGCTACTCCATAGAAAGTTCGCATATAAATGTACATAGAAACTTAAGAAACACAACAAATAATAAGAATGAATCCAAATATAATAATTACCTACAAAAATAAAGTCCATAATTTAATCTGAACATTCTCCAAATTTACCTGAAAGTATGCACATAATTATTGTTATTAACATTAGATTTCCTAAATTCAGAAGGTTTGAGTGCTTAGAATGTATTTTAAATTCTTTTATACATATTCCATATGGGCCCTTACGAGAGTAAATGAAGAGATATCAATGTAGCTCAAATTAATGAGCGTAAGAAACTATTCGCGAATAAACGGTGTCGCCAAATAATATGAGAAAACCCAATAAAGGAAATGAAACAAAATAAAATAAGCGGCACCGGGCATGTCTGCTAATACATATAACAGTAACCCTTTGGTGGAATTCACAGATATAGTCTCACAAACATGCATATTATACATCCCTTTCTGAACCTTTCGTTTCTAAAATTCTCAATTAGAGGCATAGCCAGAAATTATCTTCATTCTTATTGATATAATTAACATTCGTGTACAGTGCTACTGTTTACATTTAGTTTAATACACCTGCCACCTACGTCATTCACCACCAACTAAACAAACATCTTCCAATGCAACATAGCATGGGATTACTTATCTGAAAGTTATCTTCATCAGAGAATGTTTCACTGACAATTTGTTCAAGTTTTACCAAGTTGTGATCACCAACACTATTTGCACGAACCAGTATGACGCAAAACGACCAATACTCATTGAAATGAGGGGTAAAAAATACAAGTTAAGCAATCGGTATTTTCGAGAGCATTCGCCGCTTACCATGTTGGTGCTGATTTGCTAAGCTGGGCACAAAACCGCATTAAATTATCATGCATATCTTTAAAACGGGTTACTGTTCAAGGTTGCTGTTTCCCAAGTGTGGTGATTTGATTACGTATGCAATCGATTTCTCCATAGTAGAATAACCAGGTTCAAGTTCGATGTCATGGGACGACATGGACTTGCTTGTTGCAAAACTGATCGGAAACTTGCTTATGTTTGAATGTTTGTCATGTGACGAGTAAAACACCTTTGTTTTTGATTGTCGTTCATACTGAAGGTTACGAAATATGTTACGCAGGATTTGACGTCAATCCGCGCATTCTCAGCAATCACTGTACAAGTGTCGGTGTGACGGTAACATAAATCCATTACAGTTTACATATTACACTAAATGCCAATTAAATAAAACTCGTGTTCTACAATATTAGACAAAGCGGGTTTCACACATCATTGAAGTTAGCAACGTTGTGCTTTTCGCGGCAAAAAAACGTAGCTATTGCCGCCACATTTTTGGTAGCCTCGTCCTCGTGACTTCTCAGTTCTCATATTGCATACCAAGAAAGTTCTAGTGTATTTGTATTAACAGTTACTTTATCAGAGTTTTACACTCATATAGCGTGACCGACTCCCATTTCGATGCTAAGTGAGTACCCAATTATGTAACATTTTATATTCTCGGCCGTTTTTGAAGCATTTTACTATGTAATTTCTCTGTTAAATAGTCTTTTTGTTTGCTTAACGATAGAGCTATCTCGTCTGACCAATAACGTAAATTTTGCCATTACATCCACAAAAACTAGTTAAGAGAAATTCGACAATCTCACTACCGCTAAGTGCTGTTTGCCAATGGCTGTGTATATTTTCCCAATGTGTTCATATAAAAGCTTTAAAACAGTTTACCCTAAGCATTTTCCTCGTGTATTAGATAAACTGTTTTCCCTTTAGATACATTACGTCAGTATTGTACTTAGCAGGATACTGAGTATACAGTACTGTAGGAAGAATAAGAAAAAATAATAACAAAGAATAAAAATAATGTATGAAGTAAAAGCATAATACCCTATATGCATGCATTAATGCAATTACAATCAGATTTTCCTGATCCGTTTCTTTATAAAAATACGTTATATAGATTCCATTAAAATTACTTCTAGATGATCTATAAATTGAAAATTTCGATAGCTGTTTGTCATAGGAATGCCAAAATGATATAGCGCCTTGTGTAACTCAACCGGAGGTTCGTACCATATATGGTGACGCCGAAACTGTTACCGCGCTACCATTGCATTCTAGAACATTATTCAATACTTATCTATTTAGTTTGACTAACTTTCAAACGTTTACCTTTGTACTACTGAACTGTGACTAGTTTTTTTCAATAAATGTACTTTTTTAAGACTTCATATTTTGGTGGAATTTTTTAATCTGTTTCATTGAAGTTTTGTATGATTTCAACATTTTGACCTCGTTAATTGTCGGGCTATCAGCGTGTTTATACACAATATTACTTTGTCATCATGTATCCGGCTCGCTCAGAGTTATGTACTAAATGCCCGCCATATCCTTACTAATATTATAAATCGGAAAGTGAGTTTGTTTGTTTGTTTGTTCCGATTTCACGCCGTAACTACTAAACCGATTGCTTTGAATTTTTGCAGACGTAAAGTTAGAAGTCTGGATTACATAAGGGTACTTTACAGGGTACTTTTTATCCCGAAAAATTTTAAATTCCCGAGGGAAAACAAAAGTATTGGTATAGATGGCGCTGTATGTATTGGTATATGTCACATAGGCTACTTTTTATTCTTTGTGACGCGAGCGAAGCCGCGGGTAAAAGCTAGTCTATAATATGTTCACCTAATCCAAGGGAACAATAAAAAGTTAACGACTCTCACCGACCTGTAAGAAGTAACTCAACTTCAATTAATTAGGCAGTAGGTACTAGGTACTCTGCTACATGTATATTAAAGGTATTGATTCGTCATACCTAAATTGGTCTAGATACTCTATATTTATTGAATGATGAGTAATTCAATAAATATATTTATTCAAATAGTAATTTATTACTTCAGCTGAAATATATATTCCTTATGTACTTATTCCTTTTTCCCTAATGAAAGTACTTTTATTAATTATAGTATTTATGGAATAATTTAATTTTGGCCTAAATTAAAAGTTATTAAGTGTAAGGAAGGAGATGGAGATATGCTACTTTTATAATCCTTCATTGATATGGTTCTAAAAGGCTTGTGTCACGGTTTCAAAAGTTTCCAAACATCTGTTTCCGTATGGAAGTAATAATGTCTATTAATAATACGTATTAATATCGATTTTGAGCTGTTTTATTTTTCTGGTGACGCACACGGTCAATGCTCATGCGTTCATACTACACATGTAGCTGTTTGAACTTCATAAACTGATAGGAATTCTATCCTGAAATTATTTGTGAAATAGCCATAGGTAGTTTGCTTTAGGGTGTTACTAAATTGTAAGCCCTATCTATAGTAGTGTTTATTACTTACTAGCTGATTCGGAAAACTGAACCGCCTAATAATTGTTTTTTTTAAACCTTCCCTGAACTTCCACGAACATTTCAAGACCAAAATTAGCCGAATCGGTTCAGCCGGTCTCGAGTTTTAGCGAGACTAACGAACGGAAATTGATTTTTATTTATATATAGATAGATAGATAGATTGAAAAGGATATAATAGAACTGGAGAGTTTAATTTCCAATTTTTGATAGCTTCCCTTCATTGACCAGTGGCTTTTTCTGCGTTTTCGTGGGATCAAAAGTAGCCTATATTTTTTTTTGTAGATATAATCGACTCTGTTGTATCATTTGTATCGTTTGACGTGCAGGGCTAACACACAAACATACAAACTTTCGCCTTTGTAATATTAATAGGATTGGAACGTCTGGTGGGAGAAAAATGGCAAAATACATTGTGCCGATCCCAAGTAGGTTAGCGCAAGGAGGAGGCTTTCTGGACTTGTCAGCACGATGTAACTTAAACTATTTTTGTATAATTTAATAATGTGCTTTGCCACTGTTGTGGAAAAGGTTATGAGTAAATGGCCATTGACTAACGAACATTATTATTGACTATATTAGATATGTAATTGTCTATTGTTGGAAAATAATGCGGACACGTTTTCCTCAGTGTGATCCATTCTGTTTCTCATGCGGATTTTATTGTCTGTCTACAATTTATAATCTGTTTTATAAAGTGCCGCGGAAAAATGGGGCATTCAGGAAAAATAATCGAATTAAATTATATCGTATCTTAAATTACAAGTACCTATGTTATCTACCACAACTCATTAACGTTCGTATTTTCACTACCACATGACGATACCTTAATGGCAGGGAATTTTACGCCTAACGATGAAGTACTAATGATGAAATTGCCATGATATGAAATAGATTATTAGAGATTATTAGATAATAATTATTTTACAGTGATAGTGTCAACATCGATCATAATAATTTCTCTACGTAGTAATTACAAGGCTAGGTAATTTTACATTTTCACACGTTTTGGTAACACCTGCAGCATTTGATACGCGTATCTATCACATCACCTGATTTACTTGACTTTCATTAATTCTTCTCTTCAATTGATCACAGTGGATACCTTAATTAGACATTCAATCAGAGGTCTCAGAGGGCCTAGTACGAATTTCTTTTTCGGTTAAAGTAATCGAAACGAGACGGCATTCTGTGCTGTGATTGGTTGCTTCATTGGTGCCGGCCAATCAGAGTGCCGAACGCGTACTCGTTTCGAATACTTTAAACATAAATCAAACTCGTATTAAGGCCTCTGATTGGTTTGTTCATTGGAGCCGGCCAATCACAGCGCAGAACGCGTTCTCGTCACGTTTACTCTAAGGCCTCAGATGTTCTTTTAATGAATACGGTTAAAATGTTGATTTTTTAATTTGTGGCTTGATAACATGCGATGAAATAATATTATGTAGTAGACTAATAATAATACTAAATTAAAATATTATCTGTGCACAAACGGAATCGCAACATCCGTCAACTGAACTTTATTAGCACTGTAGGTATCGTTTTTATATTTCCGCCTTGATTATAATCATTGTGCCATTTTTATATGATGTATTTTCCGACTGACAATGGACTTGTCTGTTATTTTAAATGATATTGATGATGGGTTAATACATGTTTTTTTTTTCATTTATCATTAGGCTAAATCAATTTCAAACCACAATAGGGGTTCATAATCAGGAGCTCGAAAACGTTAGTAAGGCGATTGTCATCTAAATAATGATTATTTAGGCTTATATCAATGTCTCACCTGGCAGTGCGTCAAATACAAATAGTAATGTAGCAAAATACCGATGTGTCTCTCAAGAACGATGCATGTTTGTTGTGCAATGTTTAAACAGCTAGTTTGTATAGCTAGGTGACCTGAATTAAGTTACACTTGGACAAAATTATTACCACTTGTCACGAACTAAGAAAAAAGTGAAAGTATTGCGACAAATTATGCTGTCTTTATCAGCATAATTAATTAGATACTACGTTTTTATTTTATTTTATACCGACTCGTAGAATAATGATTGACATTATCGACAAAATTATTTACGTAAATTCTATTTGCAAGGTAAAAAAATAAGTTAATTTGCATAGAATATGTAGACTTTCTATTTAACACCGCTCTTGATAGTCCATACTTATTTACTCTATCTCTTCAATGCCGTTTTCGAAAGTATTGAGTGGAATATAAGCTGCTACCGCATATCAATGAGCATTAATTACATTTAGTCAAATGTAAAATAAAATTGATATAAAAATAAGAAGTTATTTTCACGCCATTTTCGAATAAACTATATCTACCTACACAGTCAATGGCACGTGTTTAGATTACATAGAAAACTGGATCGCAATGTTATCATTATGTACCGTTAGTTTCAGTTATGTTAGGTATCTATATATAGCTTACATACTACAATATTATTAGGATCATTCAAGGTCAATGACATTATATATAAAACGCTCTTTCAGGGCCAATTTTCTTTTAATACTTTGGTTATTATATTTAATCCTGATATGTGCTTATCCTTGCCAAGCTCTACGATATATCAACATAGTAGTAATCAGTGTAATTTGCATAAGTACGTCCGCTGATAGAGGCACCGCGGACACACTCATGCGCGTTTAGATAACACTCGGTGAATCGCTGTTGTTAATCTATGCCGGCCACTAGTTCGACCCACCGCCGACGTCACATCACGCCACTTCATTATCATCGACTGTCGTGAACCTTGTCGCCTCACAATACAACACAATCTGAAATGCACATGAATAAACGTTTAATTATTCATCATTAATTAAAAACTGCACAAATAACTAGTGCTAAATGATGTAGCATGTATTTTAAATGCAGTCGATATTTATCGCCTACTGTAATGTTCAAGCTCATTATATTAATAATTTATCCCCAAGTTTTTAATTAATTCTTGTTGCTTAATCAAAGTTGTCTATGAATTCAATATGATTTACATTCATACAAACTTATCTCAAGTGGAGGTTGCATTGCACATTCAGACATGTACACTATATCTGTTGAATACAATCGCAGTCTGTATTAAAATTGTTGATCAAGTCTCGCAATTTGCATTCGACGTATTGTATTGTGTTTTATGTGGGCGCAGTGGGCGTCGCTAGAATTTACAGCTTAGGTATAAATAAAGCACGTTCACCTCGCACTCGTACGATTCGTTTAATTACGTCAAAGGTTTGACTTTTATCTGTAAACTAGTGGTGCGCCCGCCTCGGCTTCCATCTCAAGTGGTTTCATGATATTCGTAAATGAATTTTAGTATGAATAGAATAATGTTCCCAGAATATTTTTTATCAGAATTACCTATAGAAATAATTGTTTCTTTCTATTACAGTCGTTAAGGCAAGCGGCACCATTCAGCACAGAACCCGATGCGATTGCGGAACGGGAAAGATGTCATTATGGACGCATCCCGCGCGCCGCGGCGCTCGCGGGCACGGCACACCGCAAAGTACGCGTGTACTCAGACGGCATCTACGACATGTTCCACCAGGGACACGCCAGGCAACTGCAGCAAGCAAAGACAGTCTTCCCTAACGTCTACCTCATTGTTGGTGGTGCGTACAATATCATATTTGTCCAGTATCAATGACACATTTTGTAAAGAGCTTAATTACTCAAAATCCTATCTTTAATCGCCTAATCCACTGATAGGTAGCTCATTGAGACAGGTCTGTCCTGTATGCGCCATTCGATTGCGTCACCAGTATTGAAGTTTGACCCATTGATTGGATCCTCGCATCGTATGATGTCGATGCGTAATGTTGGTCTAATGATTGCATCCAAACCCTCATTCACTGAACATGTCAATAATCTTTAATCACGATGCAACTTCTCAATGTAAATATTTATTTTGATGATAAATATAATAATGATATTAGGCCGGTTATAGCCCAGGTTAATACCGTCACGCCACCGAGCCGCTGCCACTAACGAGCTAAATAAACTATAGTTATAACTGCTTGACTGGCTGCCTGACCGACTCCGATTGCCTACAATTTAATGGCTGCTTTGTGTTCGTGGCACAAATAGACCGTCCTTGGACTTGTATTCTTTTTCAATTAAATAATCATTAGCAAAGTGTCTGCATACAATAGATCGATGATTAAATAACGATCGTTCACCTCAATTCAAATAGAGTTGCAATTCGATACTGTAAAATAATTTGTTATTTTTTATTATAATTTAAAATAGTATAATCCTTTTAAAAACTACATTGAGGACATATCAAACATGTGGCGAAGCACGCACAATATAATCGAGATAATCATTATATAATCTGGTAATAATCAGAGTGCCAATATTCTTTCTTTTCTTTTTTCTTTTTTGATGTAAACACCGCACCGGGACGCAACGCACATGGTAGCTTGCGTTGCGCTTGCGGCCTACCTGGCATAGTGCCGCGGTCCCACGAATTATGATAAAAATATAATGGACATATTGCTAGATTGGTAGATTTGTCGCATGATACGTTATTTACGGCTTAAGATTACATTCGATACACGCTACGCACGTGTATAGCGTAAACAACGTGATTCTGATAATAAATAAATAAATCAACTGCGGAAACGTAAGCTTATCATTTAAAATTAGCGTTTTTGAGTCGTAGTAGTTCCTCATCTCTATTTTATGCATGTAATGTGTAATATGTAGATGATCTTGAACTACATTTCAATGATAATTGTTGTTGATATGGTCGACATTTATTTGTTCATAGTTATCAAAGGAAATAAACCGGGAAAATCCACGTTTCGGGTTACAACAGCCATTTGTTACAATGATGTGGATCAACTGACTCACAGCATTCTTGGTCGATTGCAACTTCCGAGAGTACCCTGCAGTCTCCCATAAAGTCAAATCAATTAAACCAAGACGCTTTTCAAAGTCAAACAAATAAAATACGGCGACTTGCATTATGTAGACCAACTCCCATTAAATACGGGGCTTACAAATGCTTTTTGGATATTTATTAGAGAAATTAAGGGCTTATATTCTCATAATATAAACGAATTTATACATATAGATTCCATTGGTACAATTTTAAATGGTTACGTACAACTCATTTATACAAATAGCCCTTGATAATGAGTAATAAGGATTATTTTATTGTTTCCAGTATGTAGCGACAGCTTGACACACAGTCGCAAGGGACGCACAGTGATGACGGAGGACGAGAGATACGAGGCTGTCAGACATTGCAGATACGTCGATGAGGTAATTTACAATATTATTCTACTTGTGAATCAAAAACTGCGTATTTTTGCGCCGCTAGAGGCGCTGGTGAGACTTTAAGTCCTGTTAGCCTTATGCTGTTCAAAGTTTGTTGAGTAATAGCTTGTTATTTGCGAATAATCTGACGGGTAATAGACCTTCAGTGGTATTAGCGCCTCTGGTAACATAAAAATAAATTAATAACATTGCTTGAAAAGTAATATTTAGAGAAAAGTTTCTGAGAATAGTTAAAAGCACAATTGCACACAGTTGTGCACCAATTTATGTGTCCTGTATAATAGGGGGCGTTACATTTTGCGTCACTAAGACTTTATATATAATTCACTGATTATGTTACTGTCCTTCATTATCAGTTTACTGGACCATAAAAATTAATTTGTTAAAAAAATCTAACTTGAATATTTTGACCCAAAATTCACATCAGGCGATTAGATCAAAAAGCTTATTTTACTTATTCACTACATCCAACTTGTGTGTAGTACGTTGAACTCCATTGTACCGTCTTGTTGGTCACGTGTACCCACAGTGGTGGCGCTTAGACAATTAAATCAATGATGTCATTAATCATCATTGCTTGCGCTCATTATATCTGTGACCCCAACGTCCTCAGTTCTCAGAATGTGATCGTATGATTTGTGCGGTAATTGTTTATATACAAACATACAATTCAAGCTAAAATAGGTGATGATAACACATGGAAAACGTTAAAGTTCAAGTTTGGTTACACGAGTGTATGATGTCGTACTTGTGATTCTTTGAAAGACAAAAATTTGCGGTTTCTTGTCAGACAGTTTTTGCTTGTCATTTGTGTTGCTGTTTATCAAAAGAGGGCAAATATGTTACTAATACAGACTCCATCATTAGTCACAATTTGGACGATACTTTAATTTAGTACTTTGCCCTACCCGCCTCAACAGACTTATGATTTAAAAAATAAACAGATGGCATGAAAGTTCAAGTTTGCGCCATTGCTCGTTAGAGGTTAATAACTTAACTGATCATTAACACAGTTTTTTTTTCATTGACACTCTCAACACTTGGCCTCTAGTCACATACAGTTATAATGCTACAAAACGTTATTGTTCTCAATCTCAATAAGAAACATAATGTACGGAAAAATATCAAGCTAACATTTTTTGGCAGTTCAAGAACTCATCTATTTTCAATGTTGGTGTATTTCTATTAATACCAGCTCGGAGTATCGGAAATGCGCTTGCGGTACAATATAAAATAACGCACATACAAGCAACTGAATATTTATAAATAATAATAATAAATAATAATAATAATAAATTGTTTATTTTATAAAAAGGGACATATTTACATGAATAGTATCTTAAAGATTTGATTAGAGCTCAGTAGCTTATTTGCCTGAACTAGGTTGAACCTGTGTTTCAGGCTACATAGGTTGCACTTATTGGACAAAAATGGAGATATTTCTAACGTGGGTCTAGCTTGGGTCTCTAACATAGTGCTTAAAGGTGTGTTTACAAAAACAAGTTAGCATATCATTGACCTTAAGCTTATATCACGGGCCATGTTACCTCTAGCAGTTGCCCTACCATGTCATAGCGCCAAGGTATACCGAAACGTCTATTTATTACTTTATCTCTATTAAAAATGGATTGAGTATATAAAGAACATAATTATTATTAGGTAACTTCAGTCTATTTCTAGACTAATTCGTTTTTTTACTTTTTCCTCTCAAAGTACAACTGGTTGAATTTAAACTTCAAGGTTAGATAGAAAACCTGTGCATAGTGTCTGTCTTAGGAATATTATATGATGAGGTCATGATCTATTGATGTAAATAAGAATAAAGAAATAATACGAATTAATAATCAATGATTATTTTTAAACAATTAATGCTGTGGCGAGATTGTTATTAATATGATTAACTCGGTAAGATGGCATACATCTAGATATACGTAAACCGTAGTTACTGGCTGGCTATAGTGACTATATTACGCCTATGAAAAATAGTTAACAGCACGAGCAGTAACATTTTTCTGTAAATTCTAACCAGTTAAGCAGTAAAAAAAATATTTTTATAAAAAAAGAATTTTAATTGTATTTTCCTCAATATTAAAAGTTAGGTGGTGTTGCATTAAGTAAAAACCAGTTCTTTTTGTTATTTAAAGTTTGTACTGGTTTTAATGTAAAGGAAGACATAAATAGGATTAATTATGGTAATTTGTGCACACATCTCGTTTTAAAATAAAGAAGCTATCGCCAGTAATGCGAGGTATTACCGAGTTTCTGACGTCTTTACAAATTCCTTTTTTAAATGAACAATTTGAAAGTATGCAAATTATATTTATGTGTCCAAAGGACATGTGAAACATCATAAATGCATATTTATGAAGTAATTTAGTTATTGTACTCCTGCCACATGCAAATATGTTGTTTTGCACCTTTGTTACTTTAAATGTTTGTATCTCATATGTTAAGCACCTAATTTCTCATTGGTTTCGTAGACGTGTTCACCGTTATCTAACTGATTCTGTTTGCCGTTATTGCTTATGATTTCTAAGTTAGACAACTGCATGTAACAGTGTGAACTTAATCTTAGTCCTGTTATTTTGGAATCAATCCTCCCTCCGACTTAAGTCCGATATCCAGAGCATGGCTGGTATGGTCTCAGATGACTGACGTAGCCAATTTTTGTAGTAAGCGTTAGGTACTTTTTACCAACTTTACTCAGACATCGTGTATAGCGTGCATTATTATCAGAATGACCTTAATTTTTTTTACTTCTTAAACATCCAAACTTGTCTCCATAAGTCAAGTTTAAGTTTTTTGTTAGTCTGCACCGGCTGGGTGGCTACTCAGCAATGTAATAATAGTATTTGCGTCACGGCAACCTGATTGCCATAATTTTGTCGAACCGTGAGTAAGCATGAACGTGGAAGGCAACACGCCACAGACAATGGCGGTCAGTTGAGTTTTTCAGATAGATTCTAATAACTTCCGTCAATGCAAATGATATAAGCCTTGACACCCAACCCGTTATTCAAATTATCCTCGGCATTTTATTCGCTTTATTTCACTTATTTCCATAAAATCGTCATAGTCATTTTCCGTAATATGATCGTGATATTTTTTTTGAAAATTAATATCAATTGAAGGATCGGGTTATAGGGTGCCCAAGTTTCAGCACGAACTAGAAGTATACAAATTTAAATTTCACGAAAAGCGTTCACGAACTAGAAGTGTACAATTCTTCTTATGGTAGTTTTATAAACCGTATTTTAAAAGTGAATGTTGTTGTTGGTTCCAGGTGGTAAGGGACGCGCCGTGGGAGTACGACGAGGAATTTCTAGAGAAACACAAGATAGACTTCGTCGCACACGATGACATTCCCTACACTACGGAGGATTGTGAAGACACTTACGCACTCATTAAGGCTAAGGATATGTTTGTCGCCACACAGAGGACAGAAGGTGAGAAACCATTATCTGCTAGTCTACACGCAATCACGCATCAGTCATGTTTCTATTTTACCGTCAGAACGTTAAAAAAAAAATTGAGAATTTTATAATCCGTAACTAGCGTTGTTATTGTCGTCACAATAAGTGGAATGTTTCTCAACTGTTTAATGTTTTGTTTGAAATAATTGTTTCTTGTTAAGTTTACCATGACCTCGGTAAGGTCTCTCATGCGCCATCATATCGTCCAGTTAATTCAGTAATGTCTCCATTCTGTCTAGGTATGATAACATAATTATCTACCTGGAGCTACAAGTGTATGTTATGACTAGAACTTCGTACCTATCTATTGTATTTAACCTCGATTTAAATATTTATTACTTTTAGCTAGGCAATAAAAAATGTTTCAAGCTGAACATTTAATAATAAGTATAATCCTTAGTAACTACATATTAATATCTGTATGTAGATGTACAATCAACCAAGCTATTTGCTATGCAAGCAATAAAATTAAGGTTCATACAGTACAAAGACCTTACCTGTTGCTATTCTAAATTGTTTACTTGATGAAGAAGCCTAAATCTACTGTAACCATTGCTAGAATTAGTTCCCAACCAATGGTTACTGTCTCTGTACTGAATCCAACTATATTTCGTTACCTGCATACCAAATACTTTGACTAGTAGGTACCTACTGGGGTATTTCCAAGCACTTTTTGTTCTGAAAAATGATAGCTGCATATCATATTCATTGACATACTTCCATTGGACTGGTTTATAAATAACCGTCAAATAATTGAAAGTATTTTGTCGAACCCGGCACCTTGTTTACCAAACATCCCACTAAATTGTAGGCAATAGTCTAAATATTTGTTGGTTTAGAGACATTCCTTACCTAAATAGGTAAATAGTTGACCGCATTCTCAATGGAATATTTCGGTCCTTAACGCCTTACTCATTAGGTAAACTTATTCATGTGCATTTAGTATAATCACTGTGTCACAAATATGTTTTAGGAGTTAATTAGGGATTCCGTAATTGGTTAAGTCCGGCTTACGAGTTTTAAGTTACCACTAACCAATTAGAATAGTTTGCTTGTTCTCTTTAAATCTTTTGTGTTATTTTGAATTAAGTTTGTTACATAACACTTATTTTTTAATGAATCAACGTGGGAACAATAACGTAATTGCTAATTAAAGTCAAGGAATTTGTTATAACCAAGGTTGGTCGATGAATCGACAGATAATTATGTAAATTGCTATAAACATTACATTGCACATATTTCAGCATGTCATATACTTCCAGAAATTATTATTTATATCACAATCATTTGTTTATTAATGCTTTTCTCGTGATTTCCAATGAAATTATAAAAAAAATCTGACATACAAACTAACTGACGATAATTACATTGACGGAAAACTTAAACACTTACTTATATACTTTTTTATATATTTATTAGGATTATTATGCACGCATGCGTGTAAATAGTACTAAAAGCATCTCAATGGGTTGTTCCAGGAGTATCAACATCGGACATAGTAGCGAGAATAGTACGAGATTACGACATCTACGTGCGACGAAATCTGGCTCGCGGGTACTCCGCCAAGGAGCTAAACGTGGGCTTCCTCAACGAGAAGAAGTTCCGCCTACAAAACAAGATGGATGATCTCAAAGAAAAAGGCAAAAAGGTAAACTACCATTTTTAATTAATCAGCCTGAATTATTATTGGACAGCCCTATGTCCAGCAGAGGACGAACACGGGCTGATGATGATGAAGCCTAAATTCCTACACAGCATAACATGATTATAATATTCTCTGCTCTTTACTCAGTACTTGTGATCTGTGCATAACTTATTTTCAGATTTCTATTTTAAATCATTATACTACTTTCTTCATACATTTTTATACGTCTTGTTGTAACCGCAGTTGGAAACTATCGTAGGGTAACAGATGTACGGAAAAGTTTCAGTCCTTTAAATAGACATGTACACGAGGCCAGTTATTTATATTTCAGTACAGTTGAGCGTAAAATAAAATGAACCACTTAGGTAATAGTAGCGATACCGATACGTAGATAGCACTTTAACATTTAACCTTGTATTATCAATTATTAAAAGCTAGTTTAGTTTTTGTAAACATATTGTGTAGATATGTATAACTACACAGATATATCGTTTGACCTCGCTGTTGCCAAGAGGCCGGCAACCTGTTGCTGTTTCGGTTACAACGAACTCTTTCAGTAAACATTCGAATTTGAACCTTGAAACTAAGTAAACTTGATCGACTTTGATACGAGTTCTCGGTCCTTCGCTAAATATTATTGTTAGCTAGTCAATTTAATTTGTATAAGATTGTTTCCAATTTTCAAAATAAGAATTTGGCTTTAATGTGATCGCAAAGAACTTTTAACTGTCTTAACTTCAGTCTGTAGCTTCAGTCTCAATAAAAAGTTGGAAATTATATTTTAATAAAATATTTTTTTGCAGGTGATGACAAACATAGGTGAAAAGCGAGTGGACATCCTAACGAAGTGGGAGGAGAAGTCTCGGGAGCTGATCGACGCGTTCCTGCTCCTGTTCGGGCCGGACGGGCGGCTGTCGAACATATGGAACGAGTCCAAGGGCCGCCTCATGCAGGCGCTCAGCCAGCCGCCCTCGCCGCGCGGCTCCCCGCCACCTGGAGAGAACGGAGACTCACACTCCCCCGTGCACAGGTACTTACACTTTCATACGTTAGCTACGTACTAAAAGTTGGTTAGATGTTTTGTTTAACTGGCCTAATATAAGGTCGTGGATATATCACACAACACAGCCGCTCTGTTGCTTTCATAGTTAATGCGTTTCACCCTGCACTACTGGCAGGTTGAGACCACGTACAGTCAATCATGTGTAGAAAATTGAAATATTTAGGTAATTTATTGGAAGCCTCTTCCAAGGAAGTATATGAGGACTTGCAATAATTATATATATCCATTTTTATCGGACCGCGTTCACATAGATATTTAGGTATAAAGTCTAACAAAATAGATAAAGATAACTAACTGTAGCTCTGTTTCCTGCAGCAGGAGCTCAGTATCACCGCCCCCGCCCAAGTCGCGTCGCTACGAGACTCTGTACGAGGCGCAAGCAGGTAACTGGGTAATTATTGCACCGCTTGTATTAGTCACACGCACACACACACAGACACACTGTTCTATAACACAAACTAATCTGTGCGTAGTTGCGTACTGAAATAATGAGCTTAGTTAGTTTGGGTGCACTATTTGGAGGCACTGTTTTTATGCACTACTTTTTTCTAATAGAATTTGGCAATTATTAATTTGTGTGATTTGACAGCTTATTGAGTGACGTAGTGTAGGCAGACTGTAGAATAGACTGTTTGTTCAGTTTTCTAATTGCGAGCATGTGCTTAGCTATGTAAAAGCAATTATAGCTTTTTAATCAGTTTGAAAAAAGTCAAGAATATGATGTATGTAGTGTCTGCGAAGTAAATATAATGATCTAGTATTCACTTAACATTTTCAATAGAAAGTGTTGTTGACAGAAGGTCCATAGACTGACCGAGAGTTTGTCCACAGATGCATCGAGCTCTGAACGTGCTGGCGACTCGGAAGCGGCCACACAGCGGCAGCTGACGGACGACGGGTCGGACGACAGCGACGACGAGTACCAGGACACCAGCCCCTACCTCTAGGGCCGTCCACTAAAATATTATAGAATAAATTACGTCGTTTAAATTTTGTATGCGCGTTGAGTACAATTGAGCGAGTGTGTCGATATTATGTGATCCATAATATGAAATCATAAATCTTAATCCTATAGTTATTTATTTGTCTTGTTAAGTATTTTAGTTCCCTTTCTCGCCCCAATATTATTGCAGGATGGCTGCATGTTATTAGCACCTATAAATACCATTGTGTAAGATATCTGGTGCAAAATACATAGAGTTGAGATATTAATTTTATTTATATTATTAAATAATTAGGTGACACTTTTTGACAGTCGATTAAAAAGGTGCTTATTAATGACAATTTGTTTTATTTCTAACAACCTTATTTCATTAAAATGTTCAAGAAACTAAAAATTTTGTTTCATACGTAATATTATTACGCGCGCTACTGATCATACAAACCACACTCCAAAAAACGGCCAGTCAGTCAGAAAGGAAGTCTTCTGTAGTCTACAGTTCTGACTGACTGTAGTGACAAACAACACATTGATCACAAAACTAAAATGCTGACAATGTTCATAATATTTTACAATATGACATTGTGCTAAAAATATTGTAGAATCGAAAGTTATAAGCTACAATGGATATTGTTATTTTTACACTGCTACTAACGATTCATAATTATTGTAGCAACACATGTTATGTTAAGAATTTCAAAGGTCATGTAATACAAGTCTGTTACATGACACTAAATTATTGTGTGCTTTCAAATACTGCTAGATCAGCAGTGTGAGGTGTCATAAGCGATCTTAGGGCAAATAAATTGCTAATTGCAGTACATTATCCATAGTTTTGTATTCTGTGGCACTGATCGCTTACCATCTAGTGATTAGTCTAATTGTTTGCCTCGAGATCAGACTCCATAAAAACATGCTACATGAACAAGCTAAAGCTAGAGTTTTGACTAAGTATATTATGTTCTTGCAGCATAAAAGTTTCAGGTTTTAGGGAAATAAGGGTGGGTGATACCATTCTCACCAGCCTTTATTTCTTTTACAGTGCATTAGTATGGACTAAATTTCTAATAAATTACAAGTTTGAAATTGCCAACCTGCAATGAGCAAGGATTAATGCTCAAACCTCGATATGAGAAGAAGCTTCGCTCAGCACTGGGCACTTATAGGCTGTTGGTGTATGTATGAATTAACTAAAAGAAAACTTTCATGAAGTACATAATTAAATTGTTTTATTTCTAGAAAATATGATACAGTCAAAATTGAAATACAAAAATAAAAGAAACAATGCATTCTAAACACTGATAAAATGGATATACAAATTAATAATAGTTCTTATACAAAAGAAACTGGATTTGCTCACTGACAGGGTAGAGAAGTCTCGAGAATTGAGTACCATTCTTTCAAGTTATAAAAAAATATTAAACATTGCAACAGAGACCATTATGTTATACTGTGTATAAACTTGAGGTATTAACAATTCAGTTTTACTAACTACACTATTACACTTAAGTACCTAATAATTACTAAACTTACGATAAATATTACAGTAGAAATGCCTTCATGGTATCACAAAGTTCATAAACACAGACTCATTTCAATATAGATTGTTCTTGTACTTATTTTCTAAAACAATAGTTACTCTCATAGTTCTGACTTGTCTGAGGAACCTCGCTCACCCTTGGCAGTAGTCAGTTGTTCATTCAAGCAAGAGTCATCTGTCCCCTTCAAGGCATTGTAAGTACACAAGTGCTTGATGAGATCTACCTCGCCTTGATGGTTCCAGTACCAGTCCTCAACAGCTCCTTCGTTCTCCTCCAAAAGGCTCTCGCATTGTGTTTTCATGTGGGTTATCTCAGCTGACGGCTTATCCCACAACTCTAATGGAATCCCAAGGTCCACCTTCACACCCTTGTCAACTAAACCATGCAGAGTTTTAAACGTTTGACTCATGCCTTTAGCGAACCTCGTACTGTCCTGACGTTCTTTGTGAATATTGTACTCCAGAATCTTTTCACAAACGCCTTCCAGAGATTCTATCAACCTCAGCTCAGACTTCTGATACTTGGTCTTCTTCTTAGGTTGCACGTCATCGAGCGAGTAGCCAATTTCTATCACATCGTGAACCTTACCGGTCTGCTCAAGCCTCTCCTGTAGCTCAGTGGCCAATATCTTGCAAACTTCACAACGGTTTGCATATTTAACACCTACATCTTCCTCTGACTTGATCTCGTTTTCGGCACGACATAAAATTTGTGTTGTAAATAATAAATAAGCACAAAGTATTGAAAAAATCATTGTAATTAATTAATTTTAATATTGTTTATTCAAAATACTCAAACCAACACTCCACTCCAAAATGACAAGAAATGAAATTTGACAGTTCATTGCTGACATTGACGTTTTATACCCAAATTCATTGTCTATGTTCAACGAATGAAAAACATGCACGTGTCGTTGAAAATAGGGTGATTAATTTTATTATTGATCTCCAACTCCAATTTGTAACGGTCTTGGTCTAAACAAAAGGTAGAATATGAACAAATTAGCAATAGCATTAAGCGATCAATGCAATTTCGATTAATCTTAATTTGATCATTACGTTAGTGGAGTGGTACCAACACTCGCAGTCATAACGATTCGCGGAATTTTTAATTTTGAAAATAATTATTGTATCCCTTGCATACCATAGTTGCATAATATGATAAATTACAATACAAAGAATTCGAGTAAAGTTCAACAACTAACTTTTCTGAAAAATATTGCATTTGCGATTTTAAGAAGGAAGACATCCAGTGTATTTATTCCCTCTTTTCATAATAAAATTGGATTTAAGTTTTCTAGAAACTCAGAATTTGATATGTAAATGAAAAGATCAACATTCATCAGTGTGATGTTTGTATTTCATATTGTGCTTGTTCATTCAGCCATTTTATCCATTCTGTGTTTACTACCTTCTCTAATGTAATTTCTTGGAAGATTTCACTTAGAGACTTTTCCTGAAAACCTAACTTTTGAAACATTTTGATACTGATACTATTAGACAGAGATATTTTCGCTTCAAATGTTTTTAAGTTTATGTGTTGAATTCCATAGAGAAACATCAAGATAACTGCCTCCCAACCAAACTTCTTTCCTCTGGCAGATTCCTCGGCTATCATTATTTCTATTTCACCAACTCTAAGTTCTTTATCAGTTATAAAAATATTGGTATCTCCAATCATTGCAACTGAAATCAAATTTTGATAAGAATAAGTGGATTAAAGAATAATGAAAAAAAAATGATTTCAACAGCGCTGCACTGAGAGAGATTCCTCATAATTACCTGTTTCTTCATTACTTTTCTCAAAGATGGTTTTATCTAGTATTATAAACGTGCATTCTGAAAATAGAAATTGATAATTTAGTTTTAAGACAATAAAGCACTAAAATAGTTGCTGATTATTGAAACAGTATAACAACTGCAAACAAAACATACTATCATCATCTTCTCGCCAAGATTTTTGCATTTCATATTCTTGTTCGAGGCTTAATGGTTCAGAGGCTGTAAGCTTCTGAAGTTCTTCAGATTTCATCCATTTATGGTACCTGCAAGTGAAAACAGAGGTTACCTAAACATGATACCACGAGTTTAATAATTTAATTACATTTTTTTAAATTAAACACTTACCTGGGTACATGATATTCTCGGTAGGGTACTAGTACTACGTTTCGCCCAATAATTATAGTATTGCTGTTCAATTTCATCTTTTCTTTTCTGTTTGTTTACTACTTCTTGTTTATTTACCTACTGTCAATGTCATTTCGAAAAGAAAGGAAAAAAGAAACTTAGAGCATAGGTAACAAATTGTCACAGCTTTCCTAAATTCTTGGTCTCATCTGCTTGCTTGGTTGAATTTTTATTAATTCAATTTATATTTCAAAAATTTACAAAATATTAAAGTTCTTTTAGATTTAAATACATAATTCTTTAATTTCTTTGCTTTGTAACTGTAATTCATGCGATGAAGTTACGAACGCAACAATTACACGTTAATAATGATAATGTCATCTGTCAAGTGTCAAGAATGTCAAAATTGGCGTCTATTGTTCACGCAATCGCTATTTGTTGTGTTGATCACTCGCTCTTTATCGTGTGGTCTTATCGAAGCAAATGTTTATCTGGTATTCGCACTGCCCATTATATTCGTTATCAGCTGTACTACCTCACACATAGCTGACCTATTTATCACTCACCTTGGTGTTTACCAAATTAATATTTTTTTGTGTTAATCAACAAAGTTGAGTAAGTTACTTGTTGTACTTATTTGCCAGTCTAATAAGTTAGTATTTGAAGTTTAGATTGATAACAATATAATTTTACTTTAAAATCTATCACTATGAATCAGTTTCAAACGGAACGACGTCTGTGTTGGAGTTACTTGTTTGCGGCAGTACTGCTTGCTGTGTCAGTTTTGTGCATTGGAATACCATACAACCACTGGCGCACGACCCTCGACGTGTGTCCCGGTGGATACTTTGAGAATACGAACTGTGGCTGTATTTTATATGGAGTGAGCACTTTCCAGTACTTCAATGGTGGCCATAACTCTTACTGCTTGTACGCAGTATTCGCCCCACTGCCTGTAATTGCGTATGCCGTGATTATGGCCCTGTTTCATATGTACAGAGTGTGTATTAATAATATTGGACAGTATGAGGATGAAAAGTCTACAACTATGGAGGAAATGTAAGTATCTTCTTGTACATTCATAAATTAAGTCACACTTTTTAATTCTAGAAGTGGAACATTTAAATGAACTTTACACTGTAACACTCACATTTCATCTGTTCTTTATTAATGACACCCAAATAATACCAGGTGAGCCTTTTACCATATTTATAGAGTACATTTCTGTGTCTGTGGGGTTACTAAGATTTTTTGTATGCCAATAACCAGTTAGCCCCACCCAAATTAAACATGAGACTTCTTACCTTCTTGCATTTGTTACAACTGGTATCTTCTAATAAGAATAATAACTAACTTGGTGTTATTATAGGTAATAACAATTTATGAATGTATATTTGAATGTTTCAGAGAGGGTGAGTCAATAGTAGTGAGTACAAGGACGAGAGTGAGCAGGAACAATGATGCGGTTATATATTGCTGGATCCCCACGTCTAGTATAGCGGCCCTGTTTGCAGTGTACTCACTCGTGCATGCTTCTATTGTGACCGCTGGGTTTATTAAGACATGCACTCAGTACAGAGGATATTTAGTGAGAGTAAGTGTGCATGTTTTATTAGTGTGATATATTATACATATATGACACTTGTTAATTTTAGATAAATTACTTTCTTAAAAGTCTCGGCTATAAGATTTATTCAATATAAGCTATAAGAATATTGTTCAGCAATATTGAATAATACCAGATTGTATTATTCATTATTGCAATAACAATGTAATGCATTGCAGGAGCTCCGTGCCACTGGGGACCATGCAACCGCAATACATTTCCGACTGGCATGCCAAGCAATTTTCGACTTTATGGACTACCTACAAAAGGATGCACCGAATAGCAGACGAGGTGATTTCATCAACACTGGTGTGGCATTGCAACTTGCAATATTTTGTGCATGGGCATCTGTAGCTATATGGATAGCTATTGTCATATACACTGCAATGAGGGCCTACAGAGAGCGACATGTACTCACATGCTGTGGGAACTAATTTAGAAAAGGAGTGTTGTAATTATAATGCACAAACATCCAGCCAATTAGACGAAGTGGCATACTAAGAGTGAGGTGACCTTCATTTTAATTTGTGAATTAAGGTCAAATTAGATCAGCGAAGTTACGTTTGTACTAATTTTTTTTTTTAATATTTACAATTAGTATGAAATAGGAAGACAATTTTCTGTATTAAAACGTTATTGTTATAAACGGAACTCAATAATAATTCTCTCTTACGGTCAATGAGAATAACAATGTAGACGTAATGTTGTTAATTGCTCATTAACATGTGCCTTGAACCTGACGAACAACGAAGTCATACATTATAGTACATAACCTTCTTATAATATGAACAATCGTTATAATTATCATGTTGTCTTCATTACCACATCAGCCATAGACACAAGTCAATTAGTGAAGACTGAGCTTTAAACCGTTGTTGTAACTTAGCTTTATTGTGTAGCATTTTAACTTTTAACAATCCACCGAACACAAATTTAATCATTCCAGTAATTTAGTAATTTTAGAACTTTTACCATTTTTATTGCTATTGTGACATTTTTTATTAATTTATAGTTAAGAATATTCGTATTATGTGTAAATTGTATTTTATTTATTTAGGATAGGATTTAATGAAATCAAAATGTCGTCCTATGTGCCGTCCATTTACGTGTAGCTATTAAGTTAATGTTTTTATTTTAAATGTATTACCTATATTACATTATTTTACAAGTGAATTATACAATTTATATTTGATGTCTTGTTTCATTTGTACTCAACATGTACAGGTGTCCGTAAACCCGTTACTAATTGACATTAGTTGTGACAGGTTTTATAAAGTAAAAAGCAGAGATATCACATTAAAACATTTAATAGTAAACATTACAAAAAACAACAACATTATAGTTTTACAATTAGACTCTAACATTTATTCACAATGAATAATAAAGTACTTAGTGTAGAGATTTCCTGTTTAATAATATCATCAGTATAATATAATAATTATCAAGTAATAATAAAAGTATCTTAATAAAGACCTGCTATACAATAGGGATGATGACAGGGTATGAAAATTAAAAATCGAATTAGTCCGTCAGTTAGTTAATGACAACATATTAGACACGTATTTTTTATTTTCGCGTATAAGGACACAATACTTAAATATAACGACTCAAAATTTACAAGTGGTTAGCTCAACTACGTCATTGAGTATCAAACGTATAGAAAAGTGACGTGACGCGATATTTCAAATCAATTATATCGTCGAACGTAGAAGAAAATAAAAAATACGTGTCTAATGATTTTAAATAATCTACCACACTGATATTAAAATAAAAATTAGTCATCTACCCTATTTTGGGTGGTTAACATGTATATATTATATATCGACCAAATATGATTCCAGGCAGGTCTTCTATGGCCAGTCCCAATAACCTATCTGTCAGTAAATTTTGTAAACAGTGTACCTAGCTACTTCCACGCGGTGTCACCCGCTCTGCACTGCGCTTATTGATCGGAGCTTGATGTTTTACATCCTGTAGCTTTCCGCGATAAATGGACTATCCAACACAAAAATAATTTTCCAAATCGGTCTAGTAGTTTCTGATATTAGTGCGTTCAAACAAACAGACACAGAAACTCTTCAGCTTTATTATCTTATACTAATATATAAAGCGTAAGTTTTTTTGTTTGTTTGTTTGAACGCGCTAATCTCCGTAACTACAAGTCTGATTTGAATAATTATTTCTGTGTTGGATAGCGCATTTATCGAGGATGGCTATAGGCTATTCGAACGAACATCACGCGATCATCTACGACCAATAGGAGCTGAGCAGAGTGTGTGAAACCGCGCGGAATTAGCTAGTACCTAATACTATAAGATTCGTATCCCTACATTTTGGCATTAGCTCCATTCATAGAAATAAATTCAAAATTCATCTCCAATAAGCATATAGCAACTGACTAATGGGTTATTGAAAGAGATCATAAGTTTAACTTAACGAAAACCTCCTTTCTTCCAAGTCGGTTATAAAAGTAACTTTTCAGAAGCTGCATTCTCACTACTATACAATAAATGACTCATCGTACAAATTGTATTTAAATACAACATTCAATACAATCAATCTACATAGTTACATTTGTGAGAAAAAGTTGAATTAGATCTTTTATAGACATAAGAAAATACTTCTTGTAACAAGATTACAAGAGAAAGATTCATAAGTTTCAAATACCTTGAGTAAAGACAAAGTGCGAAGTTCAAGTATAACATTAAATGAATTGATTTTCAACTTTATACCTTTGACATAAGGTTGAAAATCGATTAAAGTAATTCACGACACGACGACACGACAGTCCAGCATATCAACCAACACAAATCTATGAACTTCTTTAATTTAGATAATGAACTTTATTCGTTACCCAATAAATTCCAAAATCTATTGTTGTCAAACAGGTACAGGTACATATTAATATCAAAATCTATTTCCTAATTATTTCAATTAATTCCTGCAGTGCATAAAATATTCAGTTTAACATCATTAAGTCTGTAACAGTTTGTGTATTTTCTTACGATACAATGTATGAAAATATTGCTTTCTTTTATATCAACAACAATTTTATTAATTTTTTAAATATCTATTTAAGTATATGAACCATCATGCATCATGCAGAGGTATAGTTAAAACATAGTAAAAAGGTAAGATTTATAATTTTAACATTTTAATAACTTACAGGCAATAATTTTTCAATGATTTATGATTGTCGCTTACCATAGGGTAGTTTCCTAAATTTTATATTAATGTCCGTCTGGTACATTAATTTAAAACTTTAGACACGTATTTTTTCTTTTCTCACAAAATTATATGACGATATATTAATTCGAAATATCGTGTGTCGTCGTCGTCGTGTGACGTCACAGCGTGCCACATTTTGTAGCACGTTATGACGTAACAAACTCCCACTCCTAAACTTAGCGCCATTTTATCTTAGTATTGCAACTTAATACGAGTACCTAAATAAAAAAATACGTGTTTAATATTTTTTCATTATCTAACTGGCGGATTAATTAGATTTTAAATTTCGATACCCTGGAAACTACCCAATTGTAATGTAATTAAAACTTACAAAAAATATTACTTACATTTTGTTGTTTGCAATGTACACCAGATATAAAAGTTGGTACCTAAACTAAAAGTACAAGTGTCCATATATCACATAGCATACGTATTTAATTTTGGAATGTGTTTTAGAAGATAATAGGACTAATCATAAACAAGTAAAAATAAAAATATGGCAAACATTGGTTATTGTTTTTAAATCCTTAATAGATTACACAAGTTTCACACACCTCAATGAACGAGACATGTGTATTTACAACATATTCACAAAAGTAGTAAAAATAAATATATAAGTACCTAACTTTATTCGCATGGCGACCGACTCAATAAAATTTCGTTTTATTAAGTGTACATTACACATACATAGTATTATCACCTACATAATGTACGCACGTGTACCTTGAGTATAATATTTATGTACAAAAAAACAATAATAATAAATAGTATCGAGGCATAAAATTCTAGCATAATAACATTGTAGGGTGAGACCAAGACACGCCTTTTTAAAAAAATTACTTCGCACAGTAATGCCATGCGATGACTCTACCACACAACACAAAATGATCATCGTACATCACATTAGAATAAGACGTTAAAAATCTAAAAAAAAAACAAAATCCACGATAATTTTTGTATGGCGTCATCTTTGCAACAGAGTGTTGTAGTCTCACCCATAGCCACACACAACACCTACGAGCCATTTACACAGCCCAACTTATCAATTCTTAACGACAATATCAATAGTATTTAATCATCTCTAAAGGCTCAATTTGGCAACATTGAACATTGTTATATCATATTACACACAATGTAAATTACTCAAAGAACACCCATTTCATTCAACTTGGCATACTTAATAAATATCTTTATTTAATTCTGGTAGTGGCGATAAAACAGCTGTAATAACTCGTGGTTCTAAAATTTGGCAAACATTATCTGTATTGTGACTTAAAACATTGTTTTTTCCTAAAATAATTCTAATTCTATTTGATTCACAAATTAAAGATATTACTGCATTCAACAGCACCTTTGTTACATATAAAATAATCATAATAATCACAGATTTCGTTAACAGTTTGTGATGTATTTACGTCTGAGTACTGACTCCACAAGCGTTCGATAAACATCATCAACCAAATTCATATTATAAGTTTCGTGAGACATACTAAATTAATTATAGTGATTTTCGGCTTACTCGTTTAATTATTTGATGCAAAGAAACTAGTCGAATTCCTCGTCAAATAATTACGTGAGTAAGCCAAAAAACATGTAATTAATCATCAACTAACTTTCTCCCAACTCTGTTGAGAACAGCTCATCTTAATCTCTAAATTACTTAAAAAAACTTAATAAATACATTCGATATTTTGGGGCTCTTCTTAGTAAACTAGCAACTGGACTATTGGCAGACTTGTAATCAATATCTTAGGCGTAATAAAATAAATGGTTACTGGTTTGTGTTGCCACACTCTGCCTCCCAGTCGTCCGGTATCAGCTTGGTGATGTGTTCAGTGAACTGTGTGTATGTGCAAGGGTCGTCACAGAACGGTAACTTTAGCTCCAAAGGAACTTCCACCTTCGTGTTGTTGCGATAGAATGTCTGAAAATAGAATATGACAATGACATTATGGTCAACTCTATGTAACTAAAATACTAATCTTTTACTTCAAGTAATGATTATTCAATAGATACCTTCACGAAGAAAGACTCCTGTTCAATATCTTCATGCAGTTCCAGGACGATGCTTGCGCCATAATCTGGTGCTAAAAGGTCATCAAACCCCAGAGCACGCCAGAGCGACACCACAGTGATGTCATGCCCGGAGTACACGTATAGAGTGCGATCCACGTTCTCGTGGCGAACTGCCTCGTCCAAATACAGCTTCATTTCTTTTAAGAGCGGCCCTAGAATATTTCGAAGTTGATTAAATCAATACTATGCTGTTCAAGTGATACATATGTATTTGATTTCTCAAGAAAATTATCCTGAACATAGTAAAAGACATTGCCAAGTTATTTAAATAGTAACTTGGTTCTACAATGTGGAAGGATTTTAATCAACTTTCTATGTTATTATACTCACCAACTTGTAACCTCTGCAAACTCTCATTGTAGGACAGCAAAGCCAAGCTCAACATGAACGGAGTTTTCATTTTACTGGGGAACACGGTTCTCGTCCACTCCGGAAGCTTCAACCCGGCCTCTTGTTCCGACAGGAGTGTACTATACAAGAAATCAACGGGTAATATACTGCGCAGACTCTGATTGGTATGTTTGCTCAAATAATCAAATAATTCTGTGAACTTTGGATCAGCATTCTTTTCAGCCAGTTGCTCTTGGTACATGGCCTTCCATACTTTACAAGGTTTCGTTGCTGCAACTATCTGAAATATAAATTGTATTGAAATTCTAGACATGGTTAATTAGATTATACTTTAAGATTTCAAGTGATTTGATACCTTACATGCTAAGTTGTAAGGTTTTGAATAAGTTTAGGCATAGGTTGGGGCAAAATGTAATTGTTTTAAATTTACAAAGACCAAGAAATAGTGTATGATGTATGGCTGTACACGCTTATAGTCTTTTATAATTAGGATGGGGATGAGTCTGTTTTTATATTAAGATAACAGACTTTAACATACATTATCCAATTCTCTGGGTAGAGAGTGAACAGGAACTGGTTGCCACGGTAGTTCTGGGTGCCACAGTTGTCGCTCTGTAGGTGGATACAGTCCAGCCAGGAATGTGTATGCACTCATTAGACAGCGAGACTTGTCACTGCTGCGTATGAACACATCTTTGTCACAGTACTCTTCGGGAATAAAGTTTGCATAGTAACTTCTGTACTTTTTGCCCAGCTCATACAGTTGTAGTTTGCCAGCCTGTAATTTACAATTGAATCGTTTTAATTATACTACATTTTAATTACATTTAGTTTAGCATTTGTGATAAAAATAGGAGAAGACATAAGCCAATATAGAATGATAAGAAAAACTACAATACAGTAGGATACATTCATAAATTTCAGATTATTCATTGAAATAGAAGATTCGATAAATAAAATACAAAGTAAGAATAATAATTACTCATTTCTTTTAGAACATCTATAGTGTTCTGTTCACATTGATAACATGAAAACAATATCTATTGAAGTTAACATCTGATGTTGTTGTCCAATTTGTAATATCAAAGGGTCATTTCACTATGTATAATGACTTTTTTATGTAAGCGATTCGTTATCTTAACACAACAAGCCATTATTTTATGTTATGAGTGCTTACGTCAGTAAATACAATTACACAGTGATTATTTTATTTGATATTCGGTACATTGAATTCAGCTAAGGCCAGCAATTGTAAAATTCTTAAATTTATAAAAACTCATCAATTTATCTAAATTTTTTACTCTGTTCTAAATGAACGGGGAAGGACAAGCTCCTAGTTATGATGAAAACATAATGACTAAATAATAATGCTTCTAGAAATATAATACTACTTATTTTGAATGACAAATGCTTTATGGCATTATAGAAAAATCTTAATATTCCTATTTCACATGGACAAAGACACAACTACAGTAAATAAATTATTATAAAAAGGTGCCTTTTTATAAATAAACTAGCCATTTCTGTGTGGTTTCACCCGCTCTGCCTGGCTCCTATTGGTTGTATCGTGATGTTTTAAGTCTATAGCCTTCCTCGATAAATTGACTTTACAATACAAAATGATTTTTTCAAATTGGACCAGTCGTTCCGGAGATTAGCATGTTCAAACAAACAAATAAACCAACCCTTAAATATATAATAGAATAAGATAAAAACTTACATTAGTTAATCCACCAAGTCCATCAGGCCATTGATAGTTTTTGTATGGGTCACTGTTGTAACTCTCCACTGGAGTTCTGGCTCCATGTCGGAACAGCTGGAATAATACATAATTATCATGATTTATAATTTAATAAGAAACAAAGGAAATATTAAGGCAACATATTAAAATGTGATGAGAATTTTGTATTAACAAGGAAGCACATTAAATGATTCATTCTACATGGTTCATAACAAAGGTGAATTTAAAAAAAATTGGCATAAAATAAAGTCTATCTAAACCTATATATAATCAATAATTTAAATTAGAGAGAAGTACTCAAGTACTTCTTATTGAACTACTTATTATAAGTGATTACTTACAATAATAACAAGCCGCAACGTTTTAGACTCGTAAGGTAGTGTCTCGCTGAGCACACAGTACCCAAGTAAGCAGCTGAGCACTGCTAGCCCAAGGACTACCACAGCAACAGTTGTTGACCTCTTTGGGATTTGGTGGCATGTAGACCGCTCCACCTTCGGCGTTGAGTGACGACGCCATGTGTTCTCATCATTGTCGTATTCCATTGGCACAGAGTCGCGAATAATTGAGTACATAAATCTTAGGTCTTGCCACCCGAGACGACCGAACCTTGGGACGGTCGAAAGAGAATGTTACACTGGGAACTACACTTATACGACGACCTTCTGAGTCTTATCTCCAACAGCTCATGTTTATATAGTGTTAATATTCGTCTTATGCAGTAAATTTAAAATTATTGAAATTGTATGGAGGGCTGGGAACAAATACATAAAAACTAACTGCTAAAATTGTTTCAAGGACATATGAGTTCTTATATCGGTTTTGTAAAGAATAAACGTGTTATAAAATATGTTTTTTTATTCTGGATTTCCAATTTAACGTGCGTTTTTACGATAAATACGAGAAATCACTCCTTCCTTTGACAAAATATTGACTACTTGACATTGACGGATTGTGCGACTTTGACATTTTTATCAACACCGCTCTCTTATCCACTCATCATAGACAAAATGTTATTTTGACAAGTAAAATGGATATTTGGTTATGTCAGAAAAAGTAACTGTCAGGGTAGGTCAATCAACTTTGCGAAGATCGTAACGTAAAGTTATGAGTTAACTGTGAATGAAGGATATAATTTTGTTTCTAATTTAATAAGTAAATAATAATATAACTGGCACCATATATAAATTGAAGCAAAACTTGTGAGGCAATGTAAGTATTTCCTTATAAAGTATGAAAACAAGCAAACGTAAATTCCGAATAACTTATGTCTGGCAAGTAGGTAGGCCAACTTTTGCAGTTTTTAAACAAAATTTTAAAAGTTCTACAGAATTAACTGTACTGATTGTAGATCCTAGAAATGATCTAATAATATTAACTTTAAATATCTTTCCTGTGTAATAATAAAGTTTTAATAACTTTTTATGCATCATAGTTATTTGGGACAAAATTCAAATAAATTTTGCTTAAAAATGTAAATTTTATCAATAATAATCGAACATAGTGTGCAGTCACGAAACGATGAAATTGTATTGTAATTGTATGAAATAGCTACGGTTCGCTAATTAAATTCACATGCCAACATTTTTATAAAATTTGAAACCTGTTTTAAAAATTGTAGACTCTATTCAATGGTAGGCATCTGATTCATTCACATTTAGTCACAACTATCTTATACTATTAAACCTGAAGTTTCTGTTTGTTTGATTGAACGCCCCAATTTCCTGCTGGACTTATTTCAAAAATACTTAAAAACATCATGCTACGGCTAACAGGAGCTATCACCTGAAACGTCATGGGAGTAGCTGGTTCTATCATTCATACTATTAAATTCATAAATAACAACCATAAATTTACATAAAAGTTCCATATTGATTCTCTCTACATACATTTTATTAGTATATAGATATTAACTTGTTTTTTTTGTAATGATTACAGATAGTTTGGACACTTTTCTTTGAGTAAGATGCCTTTCTTCAGCGGTAAATGTCTGAGTACAGCCAAGCTGGTTGGCAAGACTGCCATTATAACTGGCTGCAACACGGGAATTGGAAAGGAAACCGTCTTGGATTTTTATAAAAGAGGTGACTAATGGATTATTAGATTATAATTTTTTTGCATGTCATGTTGCATCAGTATTTTTATAAAACACTGATAATAGTATTGAGTGTAACTTTGTCTTCATGACCTGACAATATTTTTCAACATAATATCACGCCCTTTTTATTCCAAAAGGGTTGGGCAGAGTTGCACTATGCACAAATGCAAGACCCACTTTTCACTGGTAATGTCATAAGTCCTAAGAAAAGAGGGTGAAGCTACTTATGACACACAATTCCAAACTGCTATATTTTATAAAATCGAAAATACTACAATAGTGAATTTGTGATTTGCCTAACCCAGGAATCGAACCTGAGACTGCTTACTTGGCCGTCACTTGCGACCATTAAACGAATGAATTAGTGTATTTACAAATTATCTAATCAAGTAAACACCATTTGTTTTCAGGCGCTAAAGTAATAATGGCGTGTCGGAGCCTGGACAAGGCGGAAGAGGCGAAATCTGATATTGAGGAGCGTTGCAAGGATTTAAAAGATACTGGCAACATTGTCCTAGCTAAATGCGACCTCGCCTCTTTGAAATCAGTGAGAGAATTTGCAGAGAATATTTTAAACACTGAACCACAGGTTAATATTCTGGTTAACAATGCTGGTGTTATGATGTGCCCCAAAACTGAAACTGAAGATGGCTTTGAAATGCAATTCGGGACCAACCATTTAGCACATTTCTTGCTGACCATGCTTCTATTGCCTCGTATCAGGAACAGCAAGCCAGCTAGGATTGTAACTGTGTCTTCTAGGGCACATATAAGTAAGTTTTACTTTAATTCAGTACCTTGACCTTGTCCATAATGCCCATTCTGCAATCAATCCCAAGACACGAATTTTGTAAGTTATAATTTACACTTAAGGACTACACTAGTAAAAGCAAGAAATTCAATAATATTTTGCTTTACCTGGGAATCGTACCCAAGAGCACTAGCTCGACAAACAAACTTGCCTTTACTCGACCAGCGATGCAATCGTCAACCAAATTTTTAATGTAATTAGGAACTTTTAACGAATATTAACATCTTAATTAACTAAAAATCGCGGTTTACTCACGTGAATATACTGAGAAAAGCTCTACTAGTTTCTAACCACAGAGGGGTTCTTCCTCATGAGGAACGAGGTTCTTGTAGGCTGCGCGACATCGCCGCGACTGCGCACGCTGCTTATACGTGAGTAACCGGCGATTTTTAGTTAATTTAGTATATCTCACGATAGTAATTATAAAAAATATTAACATCTAGTTATTATGTCCAAACGTAACGTATGATGGTAACTAATCGTTCTGTAACCTTTCAGGGTATGGCATCAACTTTGATGACTTGAACTACAAGAAGCGCCGCTACAACGCGGCTGAAGCGTATTCGCAGAGCAAGCTCGCCAATGTGCTATTCTCCAGAGAGCTAGCAGCTAAACTAAAGGTAATATTCGAATCGCTTCTTTCTAGATTAGCACAATCTGGGGAACAAAGAAACGGTAGCTCCCATTGATCAATAGATGGTGGGCCTAACTATATCGCACCTCGACTCAAGAAATCCTACATTGTGGTAGCAAAATCTACACGAAAATGAGAACTCGCAAATTCTCTACCTAGTAGAATTTATTGACTGATTCCAGGCAACCACGTAGGAAGGTCGTCCCTTATACGAAGATTAGAATACATGACCACAAACTAAACCTTTATTATTCCTTTTTTAGGAGCATAACATAGAAGGTGTGAACACATACAGCCTGCACCCGGGCGTGGTGCAGACAGAGTTGGGTCGTCACTTCAATGAGACGCTGTTCTGGGGCGCGCGGAAGATCATCGGCTTCATGCTGTACCCGTTCATGAAGTCAGTGGAGCTCGGCGCACAGACCACTATCTACTGCGCTGTGGACGAGAAGTGCGCTAATGAAACCGGCTTGTATTACGCGTAAGTTTACATTTTACATATGAAAAACCACATACATTTTTCAATGAAGCGCTTTCGCTTCATTAGCATTAGCATTCGTTTCAAGAGGTATGTAGGAATGTAATTGGCGTTCCATAGTCTCTGCCTACTCCCATGGGAGACAGGCGTGAAGTTATGTATGTATGTAATTTTTCAATCTGCCGCCGATCCCAAGCCAAATCTTTGGATTTGTAAAGACATACTTGTTCAATAAGGCCAATTCTCTAAACGCTCTTGATAAGCCATAATCTGTACGCTTAGCAGGCAGCTACGGTTGTCCATGCAGTCAAGGCAGTTTTATAAGTCCCTACATATTGATAAAATAAATATTATTTTTCAGTGATTGTGTGCCAACCAACACATCAGCTAAAGCTGAAAAGGATGAAAACTGTAAGAAATTATGGGACATGTCAGTCGAGCTGGTGAAGTTGGGAGACTACAACCCTTTCACTGCACCCGATCCCGGCGTAAAGAACAATTGAATCTTCTAGAATGTTGTAAACCTTCAGCGGGGACCACTGCGAGTGAGTTCGCCGCTAGGATCGCTAGTGTAGCTTTTTGCTAATGTGAAGTCATTCGACATTTCATATTTAACAGCTACAGTGGATATTCGCGCCACCAGGGTTCTTACTCTTGAAACCAATCTCAATGTCAATGCAATTTCAATCCAATAATATCTCAATAATTATTTGGTGTCAAAACTCAATATATTTAGTTCATTAAATATCTGCACAATACAGATGCAATGGGCGCTAGTGTTTCAACTCAAGAGTACGAATAATACTAATAATACCAATGCCGATCGATCTGAATTGGATTCAAGGGTAAAACCCCTGGTAAATAGAAAAACGGTAACCTCCATATGTCATCAAAGTACGTGATGAATACTGCTGCAAGGTACTATAAATATTGACGACGACGGCTACAATCATGTATGGCTCGATCTCTTTTCCAATTCCAATTAATCAATCATTTAAATACTGGAGATTGTAAAGTAGGTAGGTATGTGCACATAATATATAAAAATCAGAGTCTATTTAAATGTTTATATTTATATATTTATTAAACCTATGTAAGATCAAACCGTCCGTCTATTCCAGGTAGCACAAAGTTTTTAATTTATAATTAATTTTAAAGTAAAGTACAGCCGAACTGTACAGTAAAGTCGTAGGTCTATACGGCCTACACATCTTCAGTTAAATCTGTACAGTTTAACTTTTTGCTCTACACACCTTACGATATGTACAGTTCGACTGTACAGTTAAATCGTAAGTTGTGTATCGTGCATTTAATCTACTAGTTGTCTAATTCGAGATGGATTTTAAGCTTTAACACTTAGCATTAATGTTCACAATTCGTAAGTGACAGTTCGATTCGATTTGTTTAGACGTTTAAACTTTTTTGTGACGTCATTGTCGTTCGTAAAATAGCATCGTAAACGTTTTTATATAAAGTTTTATAAAAATTAATATAATTTTATTATTGATGCATATTTTTTGTTTTTTTTTTACTTATTTGTTTATCTGGCTAATCTGTCATAAGTGTTCTTCATTTTCAACCGACTTCAAAAAAAGGAGGAGGTCCTCAATTCGACGCTTTTTTTATTATACACCTTGCTATACACAGTTTCTGAAAACTTTATAGATAACAACTATTTTTGTATTGTATCTCAACTTAAATAATGCATTCATTGTAATTTTAAAATGTCTATTTTATTTTTATTAGGTAATTTGTAAGCGAAATTGTTCTAATGAATAGGGTTATTTTTTATTTTAATGTCCGCCTGGTAGATTATTTTAAAACTTTAGACACATTTATGTTATTTTATTACGTACATAAAAATGACGATATATGATCTTCCATCGTTAGTTAGTAACAGTTCAGCTCTTATAAAGTTGCATAATTATCGAATGCTCAGTGCTCCCATTAGCGCAGCCTCGTGATGAGCGGCGCGTGATATAATTATCATTATTTCTATGTACGTTCTATACTTAATAATTACGTAGCTAGCTCACACTCCTAAACTTTGATTTGTTCTATCTACCTAAGCACTGTTTCCTTATAAGTACGACAAAATAAAAGAATACGTGTCTAATATTTTTTCATATTCTAACTGACGGACTAAATAAATAGGTGTTTAACATCTTCAAATCTTCAAATCAAATCAAATCAAATCAATTTATTTGTGAACACAGGTTATACAGAAGGTGTTTAACATACATTAATAGAATCTCTATGTTCTACCAATAAAATTGGTGTACAAATAGTTATGAAGTCAGGCAGGTACCAAGCATTATTAATATATTTAAATTAAACAAGTATAAAAGAATCATAATGGTATGTCAAAATTTATCATTTAGAAATAAGTCAATAGAATAATATGTCTTGTCAATTAAAAATAATGTCAGTTTTCGTTTAAAAAGTCTAATATTATTTTCGTTTCTTATATATTTAGGTAGTTTATTATAAATTTTTGGAGCCATTGCAAAGATACTGTTCCTGTATAGTGCAGTTCTAGATTTTAATAAGTGTAACTGGTCACAACGACGTTGACTGGTTACTCGGTCAAAATTATTAAAATTGTTTTTAACGAACATACCAGTCTCATAGATGTATAATGAGGGGACCGTCAAAATTTTGAGGTCTTTAAAGAAAGTGTAGCAGCTGTCGGTAGACTGCAGATTACAAATAGCCCTAATGCATCTTTTTTGACACTTGAAGACCATTTCTTTACCGGTTGCATTCCCCCAGAAAATTATTCCATATCTTAATGTTGATGCTACTAGACCATGGTATGCTGTCAACACTGTTTTTCGGTTTGCAGTTTTATTTAACATGTGTAGAGCATAGGAATATTGATTTAACTTATTACACACCTTATCTATATGAACATTCCATTTCAATGTTTTCTGTATACTTAGTCCTAGAAATTTTGTTACATTTGTTTCATTAATTTTTCCGTGATATTCTACAATTAAATTTTTGTATTGATCCATTCGCTGTTCAAATTTCATTATTGCCGTCTTTTCTAGGTTTATGATCAAATTATTATGTTTTAACCAATTTACAACAGATTCAATGTTAGCATTTATATCTGCTTTTAATGTTTCTAAGTCATCACCATCAAATAGTAAGGTACTGTCGTCTGCAAACATGGTCATTGGATATGTTGATGATGTTGGAAAGTCATTTATGTAAATAATAAACAGAGTCGGGCCAAGGACACTACCTTGTGGTACGCCGTAAGTAACAGTTCTCTGACCAGACCTATAAGTTACCTCGCTATCTTTAGTGATTCTACTGATAACTGTCATTTGCCGTCTGTTATGTAGGTAGGATTCAATTAGACTCAATACGTTTCCTCTAATTCCATATGCATTTAGTTTACTTAGGAGTATTTTATGATCAACGCGATCGAAAGCCTTTGTCATGTCCATGTAAAGTGCTACAGCTGGTAATTTCTTATCTACTTGACTGCTAACTTTATCTAGAAAGTCGTATATGGCCATATCAATGGACTTGTTCTTCCTGAAGCCTTTTTGATTGTCAACTAGTAAATTATTTTTTTCAAAATATGAAGTAATTTGATTGTTAATTACTTTTTCGTAAATCTTAGAAAATATTGGTACCAGAGCAATAGGTCTGTAACAGGACATATTTTCTCTGTTGTCTTTCTTAAAAAGCGGTTTTATTATAGTGATTTTTAATTCACTGGGAAAAGTCCCACACTCTATGCTCAAATTAATAAGATAACTCAATATTGGTGCAATAATGATGGATACGTGTTTTATAATTTTAGTAGATATATCATCGTACCCAGTGCTAGCTGTGTTTTTGAGCGACATTACAATACGATGGATGTCAACTGGTGAAGTAGGGGACATGAACATCGAAGTTTTTTATTATTATTAATCGTCATTTTATAAGTGTCAATATTGATATGGTCAGTTAATTTTACTTGATCTACAAAGAAGTCATTAAAAGCTTGTGCTATTGCGTCAGGATTAGTTAATAGTTTTTGATTACAGTCGATTTTCATGATATATTCATTTGGTATAGTGGTTTTGTTCCTACTGATGACTTTCCATGTGGCTTTCCCTAGATTCTGAGCTGTGCTGATAAATTTATTATTGTGTGCCCTCTGCGTAAGATTTATTACTTTTTTAAAACGGTTCGAGTGATTTTTTAAATTAGTTTATTTTGTTCATTAGGCAATCTACGGTACTTCCATAATAATTGTCTTTTCCTTTGCTACAAATCCTAATACCGCGGCTTATCCATTTTGATTTTATTTTAGTACACATTTTAATTCTGATAATCGGAAAACATAAATTATAAAGCAATACAAACCACTCATAGAACAGCTTGAATGCCTCATTTGAGTCCGGTTCCTGATACACATCGGAAAAAGTAATGCTCTTAAGATAGTTTTTAAACTTATCTATGTTTTCCATAGAGTAGTCTCGTCTTGTGGTAAACCAGTGATCTAAACTGCATGTTTTTTTAACTGGGCACCGTAGAACTTGAGCTGTATGATCAGATATTGCTAGTTCTAATACTTTACCCCTGGCTCCCCGCACATTATGGATTATATTGTCTATGCATGTACCACTACTCAATCTAGTTGGTATTTTTATATCGAACTTAAGATTGAAGCCTGTAATTAGATACTTAAATTGTGTAGAATTGTAAGTGTTTTTTAGTAGGTCGATATTGAAATCACCGCACAGTACCACCTTTCTATTTATATGAAATGAAACTGAACTTAAAAGATTATTTAGATTATTAAAAAATATTTCAAGGTTTCTCTTTGAATTGTTGCTATGCGGGCTTCTGTATACACAGATTACTATCATGTTATGATCTGTAAGTTCGACTGAGCAACACTCAATTACATTTGGGACACTGTATCTTTCCATTGACTCCAAAACTCGATACTTAATTCCGTTTCGTATCATTATACAAGTACCACCATGCCTAGATTTTCGAGTGAAAAAGGTTACAAGATTGAAGTTAGGAATAAACAGCAGATTTACATCATCCAAAATCATATTATGCTCGGAGAAACACAGTACATCAATAGTTTCACCCAAATCACACAACTCATCCAATGCAACAGTAAACATAGCAGATTTATTTAAAAGCCCGTTTATATTTTGGTGCATTATGGTTACATTGTTATACACGAAAGTTATGGTTTTGAGGAGAGTTATTTTTATTTTTGAAACATCCTATGACAGGTTCAGAATGAGCTACTGACATCTCAGTTATAGTTAGCAATACATTTTGTAAAACGTTACGCATTCCATTATTATTTATTGTTCTTTCTACTTTTGAAAACATTGTGTAATCGTATTCTAAACTCAGATTAGTATCAAAACCAAATGCATAGTTAAACGTTTGTAAATCCAAGTGTAACAAATTATTAAAAGTTTCTATACGCCAGTTATACATCGAAGAATAATTACTCAATTTAAAAGTGGGTACACATATAATAATATTTGTATGCTGTACTGTAAGTAGTGCCTCTCTCAGTTTGACAATTATGTCCACATAATTTTTTGTTCGTTTAAAATCCTCTTCTCCGATCAAAATAATGCAGTAATCTTCAAAATTATAATCTATCAGTTTTTTATTAATATCCCTAACAAGATGCACAGTATCACAGTTAGGCGAGACATAATGACAGATTTGATAGTTATGGAATGTTTCCTGAGCCAGAGACAGTACCTTATTAGTTTTGTTTGTGCTAATGATGCATTACTTCTTTGTGGTGTCAAACACGACATTACGGTCACCTTTGCTCTCGTGCGGACCCGTGTATCGCGAGCTAGTGCCCAAATTACTTGCGATGGTTTGTATTGATTCCACCCGCAAGTTTTCCTTAATTTGGCCTCTTTTTGGTTTGTTTTGTTGACTGCGAGGTGTTGATGTTTGTGAGCCTTTTCTGGGTGTGTGCGCTTCACTTGATAGTTTTTTAGTGGCTTTCTTTATAACCTCGTTTATAGTCGTCAATTCGCCCAATGACTTCCTAAGTTCAGTATTTTCGATGTTTAGATTTTTTATTTCTTCATGTGCTGAATTGAGTTGTGATGTTAACTGTTCTATTTGACTTTGAAGTCCTTGTACATATTCGTTACTTTCATCCTTTGATATGTTTGGTAAGCTACTTGTGCTGCCATCTATTGTCGAACTATTGAGACTATTTTCTTTCGACTCATCATTCAAAGAACGCGTTCTTGTTTTTCGAAACGTTATATTTTCAAAGAAGTTCATTTTTGAAGAAATAAGTAATTTACGATGTAATAAATACCACAAAAAGAAATTCTGTTAGTGGGAATCGAGCCCGCAACTTCACAATCTCAGTACTCTGAGGTGAACGTCATAACCATTACGCCACTCGTACATTAACTAATGTGGTGAAATTAATCTTGTATTTATTTATTATGAACAAACATGTCAGAGATACCTTCAATAAGTTGTTTTGAAGGTAATTTAAAAATAATTAAAATATACTATAATTAATGGTGTTTGTTTACAATAATATTGAAGTTAGTCACAGGGGTTGTCGTCAAGACGTTTGTACACATATTATTTGTCCACAGTTACTTCCTTTTGGTTCTTGAACACTGCGTAATTGGTTTAGCTTTTAAAGTGGAGAACAGATGTTTACGTTTCGCGACAACAGTACATATCTCTAAGACGCTTATAGATATTCACTTGTCAATAATGTCACTTGTTTATCATCACTAATAGTTCATATATTATCGAATTAAGCACTTAAACTGAAGTATTTAAATTTAATTTAATAATAATATACGGAGCTTAATGTTGATAGTACGGTGCGAGTACCCTCACTCTATTATTGAAACATCTCTATTATTGAAATTGGTATTTATTTTTGAAATAATAAATTTTAATTTATACAAACGGTTTTTTATTAAACTTTGCTGCCTACTTGTATTTAGTGACAAATTGTTAAATTACTGAATAATTACAATACTAATGTATCTGCAGTAATTCTAGAGATCCCTCGTGAAAATTTTAAAATTAATATCTATAGATAAATAATATACAGATTTCGACGGATGTTAAGACTACAAAAATAATGTTTTTTTACTTTAAGCATATGTGGAAGGTTAGTTAATTTAGCTTGTCAGGTTTTTTTTTATTACCTCAACTACTATTAACCGATTCATAAGTCCTGCAAAAAATACTAGACCTATAAATTATACCTACACAGTGAAATCTATTTCGTTTCGTCCTGCGGCTAAAAAAAATTACTTGCCATAAGGAGTACTTTCGATGCAGTAAAAATAAAGATGTAATTTTTTTGCTTTCACAAAAATATTCATCGACTTACGCACTTGAGACACTTTTTTATGGGGGAAAATCATCGAATGACTGCTCCCGCCTGGGTGAGGCGGGAGGGAGTGTCAGCCTCATACTGACTAAAACCACCTCGTTCCTACTCCTGCACTTCGAGCTGGAGCCCCGGTAACCCGTTAGGTTCTCTGCGACTTCGTATCGGTATCAGCCCTGTCGGGCCCCATCCGTGGTGGGCTCGCCGTCCGCAGGCCCGCGCACTTGAGACATTAGGTGTAACTTTGTAGGCACAAACCCGATGAGAAATCCTTCTTCCAGATTTAAATGGCGTGATGTTTTGATAATGTACTATGAGTTCGTATGCGCTTTCGAAGTTTGCTTTTTGCAATGGCTCACCAGTTATTTTTGGTTTTTGAAATTTTAATTCTTTGTAAAACCATTTTATTATCTAGACAGAACCATTTTACTTCGAGACGAAAACGATGTAAATTTTACGGTGTATTTGTTTAATGCACATGCGTATAAAGGCTAACAAGTTTGTTTAAATCAGTATTCACGAGAATGTGTCTACCTAAGACAGTCGTTGCTTAGTTAATCAGTTAATTGCCAAGAGTATCACAGAATGGACAACATCAGTGGTTGGTGTTACAGTAAGCGGAGACTGGAAGGATCTACGGTTGTAGTGACTGGGGGCAACGCGGGGATAGGCAAGGAGACTGTCTTAGATTTATATAAACGAGGTAAGTTTATTTATTTCATTTTAATACTTTCTCTTCCTAATTTCTTTACCTTGCAACACACAAAAGGATATGGGCCACACCTTTTTTGATGGGAGAATAATCTTCCCGCTCGGGTGCAGCGAGAGGGAGTGTCAGACTCTTACTGACTAAAAACCACCCCGTTCCTACTCATGCACTTCGAGCGGGAGCCCCGGTAACCCGTTAAAGTCCTCTGTAGGGGCATCACCCCATCTATGGTGGTCTGTAGGCTTTTTCTAGGGTCTGGTTCTGGTCGGGCGGCGAGTTATCTTTTTAAGTTTTATCTTTTTGATCCTGGTAGTTATCTTTTTAAGCGCTCTTATCTTAGGTACTTCAATTTAAGTAAGGTGCTAATTAGATGGCTTCCGCTAAATAGTTTAAGACATTACAGAGGTAGAATGTCTTTTCAGTGTACTTGTAACAATTAATTAACTAATTAGGTGGTGCTACTGGTCTATTAAAATATTACTTATCATTGTTTCATTTATTATATTATTATTATCATGACTATGGAGTTCTGCATCAATGAATGCTGACGTCATGTATTGGATTAGCTGCTATATTTGCTCACACTACCACTTCTCTTTAGTATGTTAGGAATATTGCTTTAACTCGGTAGGTACTGTCTTTCAGGTAGCAGAGTAATAATGGCTTGCCGGAATGTGGACAAGGCAAATGCAGCCAAAGAAGAAATAGAGGAGCAGTGCAAGACACAGGAAGGTACGGGCTCGCTGGTCGTGGAGCAACTGGACCTGTGTCGGCTGGAGAGCGTGCGCGCGTTCGTGCGGCGCGTGGCGGCGCGCGAGCGCAGTCTGCGCGCGCTGCTGTGCAACGCGGGCGTCATGATGTGTCCGCTGGCGCGCACGGAGGACGGCTTCGAGACACACATCGCCTCCAACCACCTCGCGCATGCGCTGCTCGCGCTGCTGCTGCTGCCGCTTCTCATTCGAGACTCTCACTCCAGGATCGTCTTCGTTTCCTCTATGATTCATGAGCGTATGTAAAAGTTTACTAAAGTACCTACAGACTACAGATACTACGGACTTTAAGGTGGATCCGTTATTTTACAGTTATGTTTCATATTTTTTCAGTCTTCAGCATGGATATGAACGATATCAACTTTATAAAGACTCCGTACGAACCATTACAGGCGTATGCCAATAGTAAAATCGCTAACATTTTGTTTGCGAAGGCTTTAGATCTGAAACTAAAGGTGAGTGCCTACAATGGGTAGGTTACTTAAAGTTAAAAGATAGATGTTGTGTATAACTAGCTATAGGTGTGCAGGAGACCTCACCTAGACTTCAGAGAGCCACTCGTGTAAGAATAAAATGCTAAAATAAATGATGCATGCATGGTGTCAAAGGGCCAACAACAAGCAGGTAAGATTACACAATGTTAGGTACGTGTGCAAACTGTAAAGTATGCCGCAGCAGCTATGCTAGTGTGTCGTAGTATATCAGTATGTCATGTCATCAGTACCTACTTAATTTGTACGTTGGCACAAAGTGCAATTTATTAGTATTCTTCTAACGTGGGATGCAGCCGACGCATTAAGGATATCTGCATCCTGCATAATAAAGTACCTAAACACTAACCTACTTACCTCGTAGTAGCACTAGTAGCCTACCTGGAACTGGAAGTCATTGCGGAGGCCTATGTTCAGCAGTGAGTGGATGTCTTTTATCTGATGTAATGATTATGATGATAGGTGTTTTACGATTTCAGGAATACAATATAAAAGGCGTATCAACATATAGCTTACATCCAGGCATTGTGAAGACCGGAATAGCACGATATTTCCCAGAAGCAGGCTGGTTCGCGGCCATTGCAAACTATTTGTTCCACCACTATCTACTGAGCTGGTGCTGGAAATCTCCTCGATGTGGTGCGCAGACAAACATATATTGTGTTGTTGATGAAAAATGTGAGAATGAAAGCGGCTTGTATTACAGGTATGTACATACCTAATTGGGTTGATGACAGGGTACGAAAATTAAAAATATAATTAGTCCGTAACTTAGGTAATTAAAAATATTAGACACGTATTTTTTTTTATTTTGTCGTATAATAAAAAAAATACTTAGATAAAACGAATCAAAGTTTATAAGTGGGTGCTCAAACGTCATTTCTACGTATAAAGTGTACCTACATACATAGAAGTGGCGTCATGCGACATTTTAAATATATCGTCGAAAGTATTCGTTTCTGTGAGAAAATAAAAAATACGTGTCTAATGATTTAAAATAATCTACCAGAAGGACATTAAAATAAAAATTAGGCATCTATGGTAATTTGGATGGTTGTGGTTAAGGGGAGGAAGACTCCCCGAAACTGATGACGTAATCAAAGAATAAGGCATAGAACAATTTTTCTTTAGTTAACTTAAGGGTCATATTGCCGTAGCGTATACCTTCAAAAGGTGCCTAGCTATTTGGGGAAAAAGACTAGGGCGTGTGGGATTTTCACCCCACTAAAACCATCCCAGTGGCACCCTTAACCTATAGTACCTGTAAGGAGCTCCGGGTCTTAATAGACCTACTCCGGAGCCCCCACAGTGCAACGCCTGTACCTCATTTCTTTGGTATTACGAGTGTCCATGATGTTCTTTAGACAAGTGCAAGACGACTCCACAGTAACATCTATCATATTGTGACATTTCTCTTTTAGCGATTGCGCGGTGACTACGCCTTCCAGGCAATGCCGCAGTGTCTGCGAAGCGGAGAAATTGTGGAACATCACAATCGACATGCTCAACCTACGTGAATACGACATTTTCGGAAATGATGCGACGATTAAACATTATTAATATTTTTCGAACATTAAATAATTTTGTATGGTTTTTAAGTAAGCACATCTACACAGATGAATAAAATTGGAGTGTGTTTGTAATATTGAAATAACTTTTTATTACACCCATATGAATAATATATACAATAGGTATATATACTTACCAAAATAATGGTAAAAATTTCTGCCAGTTTATACTGGCTAATCTCTGAAATGGCTGGACCCATTTTGAAGGGAATTTTATTGACAGGTAGCTAATGTACCTACTAAGAAGTAACATCGGCTACTTTTCCCGGTCATGAAAGTACCAGGGCTTTAACGTATAGTTCCCATTCCTGGAGATAAAAATTATCATATATAAGGTTTCCCAGGTCTCGAACAATAATTATTTTTGTGTCCATTTATCGAGCCTTACTCGATAAATGGACACAAAAATAATTATTGTATATATCTCTATAGCCTATCCTATGATAGGTTAGTAAGTATAAAGCATTAAGCTACGATCAATAAGAGCCGAGTTGCGGGTAAAACCGCGCGGAGCCGGGAGTAGCTATAGTTAGGTTATCATATGATTGTATTTGACATCCTTGAATGGTTTTCTTTCAAAATGTGATTAAGGCGTACTTACTCCACACTTTGGTAGATTCGGTCTGGTGTGTTCACTTCGTTTATTTTTAATTAGAAATTTTTTAAGTATAATGCTAAGTAGGTAAGTGGTTTCCTGTTAACTGACGAATTAAAATATAAACTGAGTTATTAATAAAACGTACAAGGAAACTCGAACAACTTGGAGTACATAATAAGAGCATTAATTAGGAAAAACAATTAAATGAATGATTGCTCATTGTTTTAATGTACTTATATTTCTGTACGACGGGTTTGTTTATAATTTAATTATGGACTAATGTACAAATGCTGCCGTATCATCGATCGATAGAGTTGTCTGACCGCGTCTGGCATTCGTTATATTTACTAATTCACTAAACGTAAACCTTCGCACCGCGACCTTGTGATTTGATCAAACAATTTGGTGGGGACATGTTTTGCAATAGTTCAGAGATTATTCACACAAAGTCGACAGACTAAACACGTACCTAAATTCGTAAAGCTCTGTTAGTGCGTTAATTTTTTTATTATTTTAACTGTGTGTGACGTCAATGTCGTTTTTGTTTTCGAATTATATTATCTTACTCCTGTTGAGTACGAATAGTAGTGTATGGACTGCAAAGAGAGTTATTTGTGTTTTGAATAGTGATAACTAAGTTGATCAAGACGGTGATGAGGCAAACATTTATCTTGTATACCTATGTGTTACGAGTATACAGTAAACATTTGCAATTTGCGCTGAATACACCTGTAGGCTTAATTATTTAGTTTTTATAATATATCCGAATTAATACAGTAGACAATAGTAGAGTAAGTAACCATGGATTACCTAAGTGGTTGGTGTAAAAGTAAGCAAAGGTTGGACGGCTGCACGGTCATAGTGACTGGTTGCAACACTGGTATTGGCAAAGAAGCCGTTTTGGATTTCTACAAGAGGGGTAAGTACGAGTACCTAACAATTTATATATCTTCTATCAATTAATCAGGTTATCTTCGGTAGCTTTCGGGGGATCTTGTATTATTAGAGGTATATATATAAAAGAAAGTCGTGTTAGTTACACCACTTATAACTCAAGAATGGCAGAATAGATTTGGCTGAAAATTGGTAGGGAGGTAGCTTAGAGCCAGGAGACCGCCATAGGATACTTTTTAACAATTTTTTTTTTTACTTTTTACCGAAAATCACGAACGGGGACGGGAAAAAATGGGATTACGCGTACGAAGTCGCGGGCAGAAGCTAGTAACATATAATAGAGGTAGGCAGTGCGAATGCAGTGGGGTCTTACTGCTAATGTCGCGGAAGGAGCGGACAGATCACAACTTCTCTACTCTCCCGAAGCAGGCACACTGGGTGTCGAACGAGAGCGGAAATTGCACTCTGGTGACAGATACAGGTACACGAGTACTTTCATTGAGTTGTGCGTTTGTTTGTAGGTGGGTGCATCATAATGGCTTGCCGGAATATGGAAAAGGCAAATGCAGCCAAAGAAGAAATAGAGGAGCAGTGCAAAACACAGGAAGGTACGGGCACGCTGGTCGTGGAGCAGCTGGACCTGTGTCGGCTGGAGAGCGTGCGCGCGTTCGTGCGGCGCGTGGCGGCGCGCGAGCGCAGTCTGCGCGCGCTGCTGTGCAACGCGGGCGTCATGATGTGTCCGCTGGCGCGCACGGAGGACGGCTTCGAGACACACATCGCCTCCAACCACCTCGCGCATGCGCTGCTCGCGCTGCTGCTGCTGCCGCTTCTCATTCGAGACTCTCACTCCAGGATCATCTTCGTTTCATCATACGTACATGCAAGTACGTTACTGCAAATATATATACTTAAATATAAAGCTAAAGAGATTGATTATTTAAACACGTTAATAGTTTAATAACGCTCTGGATAACTCTTCATCCTCTTTCTCCATTCCGATACATTCTAGGCTGACTCGATAAATCTTATGGTTACAGAACATAAACTAGACCTGGACGATTTGAATTTTGAGAAGAAACCTTACAACGCTTTTGAAGCCTACTGCAGAAGCAAATCTGCTAATATTTTATTTGCCAGAGCTCTTGCTGATAAGTTGAAGGTATGTGCATAATAATAAATGTAGGTTCTAGGTACTGATACTAGTACTATACTTAATTAGTTGGAGTAGGTATGTTTTGTGGTGTGACCCAACCTCGGTGCTGCCGCGTAGCACTTAAAATGATTGAGTTAATGAGTTCCCATTGTGTTTTATCTCACGGTGTCTTTCAAACCTTCTAATTGGTACCTTTTCAAGAATACGTACCTACCTGCTCATAATATAGGTCCATTACGTGGTTTAAGGACGTAGGTGACGTGTAGGTAAGGTACCTACGTGAAGACACAGTCAAGTTTCAATAGATGTCCTTAGAACAGTACCGTGTCTCATCTTCTTGTAAATCGTTCAGTGTAATGACCTACCGACCTACAGACTACCTATGTAATCAGAATGTGATAATCTACAATAGGATTGGGTATTTAGTTTGTACATAACACAATAGTACCTAATAAGTCACCTTTATGAGTCACCATTTTGCATTCTGTGTGATTAATAGACACTTTGAAACAATAAATGTTAATGAAGATAATGATTAAGAAAATCATTACTTAGATAAAGTTTTTTTTTACAAAAAGGTTGTCCCCACTAGGATTTTCTTCTGTGTCGTCGGTGCGTTTATAAACATACAAGTTCACATACACAAGACACCCAGACCCGAAACACTAATTTGTGGATCACACCAAGAGTTGTTTCGTGCGGGAATCGAACCCGTGACACGTTGCGCGGCAGCCAGCTGTCCAGTCACCGCGCCAGCCGTGCAGTCACGTGCAGTTAACTAGTATATGTATAGGTATCTAATGTTATTCTTATAATCCTGTAAAACACTGAGTTATTTTTATATCAACAGCAGTCAATTTGTGCCCGTGATGCGTCCTTCTAGAGAGGCGTCGACCTTTGTCTTTTATCAATTTGTACCATCTAGCTAAGTAGGTAGGTAAATGCAGAGACCACGCAAAGTACATGTATCACGATTAAACACAAGTGAAGATCAAGTTATTTGCATCCACTGCTCTCAAGCTAGAAATAAGCTGATGATATTAACGTTTTCGTGAGACACAAAACCACGGTCTTTTCAGTGGAGATCGAAGTCTTTTGTATTAGTCTACTGTCCATATGTGAAACATTAAATCAATGATATTATAAATAATAAAAAGAGGTAGATATCGCACTGGCACGCAAAAATTGTTGCGAACGAATTCAGACAATTGTCGTAATTAGTAAATAGCTATCTCTTTCTGTACCATACTTTCCGTATTATCTGTCGCACGTAGTTGAAAATGATATTTAAGTACATTTGTAATAAGAACGCAACAATTTTTGGACGCCGCTTAGTATGAACGTAGCGTATCTTCTTTATAATATCATTGCATTAAATAAACAAATTTTATTTGTTATACAGGAACACAACATAAGAAATGTGACGACGTATAGTTTGCACCCCGGCGTTATTCGCACAGATATTAGTCGGCACTTCGACGAGACCGTCTGGTATGGCGCGTCATGGCTGTTCAACAACGTGCTCGGTCTCTTCTTGAAGTCACCGCAGTGTGGCGCGCAGACCTCTGTATACTGTGCTATTGATGAATCCTGCGCTGATGAAAGTGGGCTTTATTATAGGTATGATTTTTATTACATAGGTAGGGCGATAAACGATCAAACGTATCTCCTAATGGTCAGCAATCGGCGCCGCTCATGGACACACGTAACACTAAAATAGTTACATACACAACACTAAAAACTACCGCAAAGTTAAGTTCGATGGTTCATTAATTTAATTTTGCCGACATCACTCGACACTGGCAGTATAGTCGACAACATCGATATGGAGACTCGGTTGACAAAAAAAAAACAAGCACATTGATCTTTTAGACGAAGTTTGAAGGTCGGGGATTAGAGATGAGGGGGCGATAGTCCTCCTCGTGGTATTATCAGGGAGGGCCATTAGTATTTTATTCAGTAGGTGTACAATGATAGATCAAACAAAAAAAATATCTAAATAAACTTTGAGAAAAAAAGTTAAAATGGACATATGGATTTAGGTAGACACGTATAACACAAACAGAAATGTATATAGTCCCCATCATATGTATGACTTTATATAATTACACACTTGTCACTTAGCTAGGTACTTACCTACTTATTTTATCTTACTATTGGTATAAAGAAACTATAATTTTTTTTACTCGGTTGCCAAAGAAGAAAAAAATCTTTATTTTTAAGTATCTCTGAACCTCACGCTAACGCTATCGTGCTCTTATAACTCATAAGTCTTAAGCTATGATTAATTAAAGGTATTTATTATGTCTACCTAATGTCAATATAATTCTTATACTATATATCTATTATTTTTATGTCTTCTTAAAACTTAATATACTATTATGTCTACTTTAAAGTAGACATAATATTTGGACTTATTGGGTCTCAACTGCAAGTTGGTTATGTCTAATTTTTATATTTTCGGTCTGTTTCAGCGATTGTGCGGTGACTCAGCCATCGAAGCAGTGTCAAGATGAATCTCAAGCAGCCAGACTGTGGGACCTTACCATTCAGGCACTCAAACTGGATCTAGATAAATATAATCCTTTTGATCCAAATACTCAAATTAATTAAGATTCTATTTATGATTAAATAATAGAGACTGGAGTTGGACTAAAGTGTCTAAGAAATCATACAGTGTTTTCCTGGGTAGCTAGCTGGACTAATTGGAAATGCCTTTAAACAAAATGATTAAATACCGACATATTATTCACCTTTTGTTGTTTCTGAACAATAATTTAATTCCCCAGTGGTTTATTAAACCCGATAGACATTTCTTAATCTTTTCCTACGTGTTTCCATTTTAGTTATCCTACCTTCTTACCTAGGTAGGTATCTTGAAGAACAACCATGTAGTGGTAGGTAATTATAGTAGACCCGCCGTCAACGCCGGGATGATAGCTGATCTGCGACCTCCATAGGAGAGACCTGCGGGCAACTGATTAGGGAAGTCAGTCGTCTGCTGTATGGGCGGGAGTAGGCGTTAGCGGTGTGTTCACGCATGCCACTCGAGGAAGGTAATCGCAGCTTTTGAGGGCTGCTACGTGGTGGGACCTGCCACAATTTAGTGGTAGGTCGAGGCCTGCCGGGTGCGGTGAATCCGCAAGGGCGTCCCGGGTCACGGCCACGTGCAAAGGCGTAATACCGCGGTGGTTTTAGCCGGTAAGAGTCCGGCACACCCCTCCGTCGTCCCCATGACGTGGGAAATCCATAAGGATTTTATAAAAAAAGGTAATTATAAAAGAGACACCTTCGTCAAAGAAAAAAAAAATAGATTCACCTACACAGGTACCGATAGATAATATTTGTTTTCATTCGATATTTACTTGGTCAAAAAATAGCATGCATGACTATTTAGATATTATATGTATTTTTATAAACACTTAGGTCTAGTTATCTATAGGATACGTTTACGTTGTGGTTCGTAGATCATAAGATTATACTGACTTAATTACCTTAACTCGTCGAGTACCGGTTTTATAGACACAACTAGCTGTTGCCCGCGACTTCGTCCGCGTAGATTAATGACTTCTGACAGAATTAACCAGAATGAATTCAGTGCCCAAGTAAGATTTACCTATTTTGAAAATTATTTATCGTAGTTTCAATAAATAAATAATCCCGCAGGGATATTACCAGTACAGTGCCCGATCACGTAAGGTTTGAGTAATAAAAACTATTCTATCGACTATTGTTGTACCGAATCTCTCTAGAATAAGTTCAGTGGTTAAGAGTTAGAGAGTCCTGGGGCATTGATGCATAGTTCCCGTTCTCGTGAGACATCTGTGAAAAAACTATTATACGTTACCCAGGTCCCAAATCATCGTTTTACCGAATTTAATTCAAAAAGAATCAATGGTTCTAAATTCAATGGCTAAGAAGATTTATACAAACTCTCATTCCCTATTTTAGCTCCTTAGGGGTGGAATTTATCAAAATCCTTTCTAAGGAGATACCTATGTCATTGCAACTTTATGCATGCAAAGTCTCAGCCCGATCAATTTAAAAATGGCAAAGTATCATACAAACTTTCACCCCCTATTTTACCCACTTTGGGGTGAGAATGTTCAAAAACCTTTCTAAAGGGACGTTTACGTCATAATATTCATCTGCACCCCGAATTTCAACCCGATCGGTGTAAAACTGACAAAGCTTCATACAAACGTTCATCCCCTACATTACCCCATTGGAGGTGGAAATAATCAAGATCCTTACTTGGGGATGCCTACGTCATAACATCTACCTGCATACCGAATTTCATCTGCATCGGTGTAAAACTGACAAAGCTTCATATAAACTTTCACCCCCTATTTTACCCCCTTAGGGGTGAAAATGATCTAAATCCTTTCTTAGCGGATGCCTATGTGATAACAGCTATCTGCATGTCAAATTTCAATTCGATCGATTTAAAACTGACAGTCTTATACAAACTTTCATCCCCTATTTTAGCCCCTTGGGGGTGGAAATTATCAAAATCCTTTCACAGCGGATGCCTACGTCATAACATCTATCTGCATGCCAAATTTCCACCCGATCGATTTAAAACTGACAGTCTCATACAAACTTTCATCCCCTATTTTACCCCTTGGGGGTGGAAATTATCGAAATCCTTTCAAATCGGATGCTTACGTCATAACATCTATCTGCATGCCAAATTTCAACCCGATCGGTTTAAAACTGACAAAGCCTCATACACAACAAATGACAAAGCCTAATACATACAATAACCTCAAACTTTCATCCCCTATTTTACCCCCTTGGGGGTGGAAATTATCATAATCCTTTCACAGCGGATGCCTACGTCATAACATCTATCTGCATGCCTCAACCCGATCGGATTAAGACTGACAATGTCTCATCCAAACTTTCATCCCCTATTTTACCCCCTTGGGGGTGGAAATTATCAAAATCCTTTCTAAGCGGATGCTTAAGTCATAACATCTATCTGCATACCAAATTTCAACCCGATCGGTTTAAAACTGACAAAGTCACATACAAACTTTCATCCCCCATTTTACCCCCTTGGGGGTAGAAATTATCAAAATCCTTTCACAGCTGATGCTTACGTCATAACATCTATCTGCATGCCAAATTACAACCCGATCGGTTTAAAACTGACAAAGTCTCATACAAACTTTCATCCCCTATTTTACCCCCTTGGGGGTGGAAATTATCAAAATCTTTTCACAGTGGATGCTTACGTCATAACATCTATTTGCGTGCCAAATTTCAACCCGATCAGTTAAAAACTGACAAAGTTTCATACAAATTTTCATCCCCTTTTTTACCCTCTTGGGGGTGGAAATTATCAAAATCCTTTCTTAGCGGATGCCTACGTCATAACATCTATCTGTATTCCAAATTTTAGCCCAATCTGTCCAGCGGTTTGGGCTGTGCGTTGATAGATCACTACGTCAGTCAGTCAGTCAGTCAATCACCTTTGAATTTTATATATATAGATAGATAGATTAAAGAACAATAGGTCGCGGTCACCGGTGACCGCTTGGTGTTTGACAGTTTAAACAATTACTTGATGAATTTGAATAAATAAGTAGGCGATAATTTAATTGATATATTGCCATTATATTATTGAGTACCTTATCATTAGTTAGGTGCTTAGGTCGCAGACATTGCAGGTTGAGGTACCTACTTACTTAGATTACCTGGGTATTAATTGTGATTGGATTATGTGGATACTGGACTTGCATGGCTTCAGATTTACCGGCGTTACCGGCCTTTTGGGGATTATGAATTTAAGGATTGTTGGGGATTCAGGGTTTGGGGAGATTGGGGAGTTGGGCCTCCGGTAACCTCACTCGTACGACGATGAAATAACGCAAGCGTGGTTTTCTATGAGGCTGTGGTATTAGGTATACTTATACTCTGGTCGAGCCGGCCCATTCGTGCCGAAGCATGGCTCTATAGGTACTTAAAATACTATCTGAACCTTTTACACTGCAACCTCAACCTGCTAAACATGGAGTTATGGTAAACTAGAAGGCAGCAAAGGCACATAGTCCAGCAATGAGCTGTTGATTACTTAAATTACGTTCGTAAACGTAAACACAGACTGGAATAACAGGTAACTAAGTACAATGTTTACTTAATCGTCTACGTTATTTCGAACAAGGCTACACGCTCAAGGTAGAAGTAATTTGATCATTTGTTTAAATTACGTTTAACACGATCTGTAAAACTATTACTTAGGTATCAACAATTGAGATACTTTACGTAATATTGACTGGTTGAAATGAACTGGACGATTATAATCTCTTTATAACCGCAGTTAATTAGTTTTCCATTAGGTCTTTGTTACGTTTCCAACGATAAGTTCCGATTAGTAAACATTATTATTGCTGCTGTGTTGGTTTTAAGTAGAGCACAATTCAATTACAATCACGTTAATACCTACGTGTATGTAGGACAGGCAGAAGATGAGGCGTCTCATGAAATAATAATCAGCACTTTATTTCATTGCATTTATTTCTTTTAGAATAACTTGCGCAGATAGGTGGGTACCTACATTAATTAATTCAGCTATTATATGTATAACACAGATCAATATACTGTTATGTATTTGGGTTTAGCTACAGACACATAAAATACTGTAAAATCATAATATATTGGCAATGCACTACAAGCATCGACTGAACTATTGCACACTGTATTGTTGCGGGAACAAGTATAACATGCCACACATGTAATAATAACATTCATAAATGCTTCCAAATGTATAAATCAACATTGTCTACTTAAAAATAATGTTTACAATAAATTAACTATAATCGCACTTACAGATTTACCCCTGATCCTTTCAGATATCCTCACAACTTATACATACAGGCAGAGGTGGAATATTTTAGAATTACAATTGTTTTTTTAAGATCCAAAAGTTCGACAGAAGCAATATTTCGCATGATTCAACAGATTTAGCTATGAAAAATATTAATTTAAATTTATTGGCATTGAATTGAAATATTTCATAAACAGCATAGCAATTATATAAAAAACATTGATAAGTTTGGATTTTCAATATTTGGTTACCACATATTATATACATATGTACAAAATACAGATTATGTTGACATGATAAAACAGAGAATAAGATTCATGTTTGTCATTATAGTGCTCAAATTGTTTACTGCTTATCTGTCTATGTGTATTCCAAGAAATATACATTTTTTAAACAATATAAATAACAATTTGATTTAACATAACATCTCTGAAACAAATAAATAAATGTCTGTACACAATAAAACAAGTTGACTAGGAATATAACAACTTTCGGAAAACTTCGTATGAGGCATTTATGATGCCCCAACTTAGAAAAGCACGAGAGATGTTAAGTAAAGCTCCATGGTAGAAGTTGGCGAACTTTGAGCCTCGCATGTGCAAAATATAATTAAATTGATATCTTACTGTCCTGTGGGGACCACCAAGTTGACACTGCATTGCTATTTTAATTACATTCAAAGGGTAGTAGAGTGTACTGAGCAGAGCACCAATTGTTGCTCCGGCTAAGAAGTTCTGTAAGCCTTGGTACAGCGCTCGTTCTTGTTTAGGGAGCCTGTCCTTTACTTCATCCCGAATTATGAAAAACAATGCATTGGTGGGACCATTCCTAAGTAAAATAGGCATTAATCCTCTGTAGAATTCCTTAATACCATAGTGCTTAGCAATATGAGTGGCTGCATCAGCAGTATTCTTAAACTTTTTGTGGTACTTTGGATGTATCAGTAGTGTTTGTACTCTCTCGAAAGGCATGAGAGTTGCTTCAAAGCAGCCTGCAATAAAGCCCGCACACGTCTTTGCAACATATGGATTCACTTTGCTTTCTAACAATGGTTGTAGGCATTCATCATACACTCCAAACATTAGAGACATTGAAAGCGACCTTTGCATCAAAGGAGGTAGCATTCCACGGTATAGAAAGGGCAGGCCTTCTTTTCGCAACTGGTGAAAGGCAAACTGTGTTTCAACTCCATGCATCATCTGAAAAGTCAGAAATATTACATATTGGCATCAATGTGAATCAGAATTAATTACATTTAATTATCATTTCACAAACCAGTTTTTAAACAAATATGATAAGCCATTAATTTTAGCTTACACAATTTGGGATTTTTTATTATTCAGCATCAATATATTTACATATTTTGTTAAGTAAGTAATTTGAATTATACAAGGTTATTTAACATTTACGAGTAAATTGAATTTATATTATGTAAATTATATAATAACTTGATTTGTCAACAAATATAGGGTTTAATTAATATCTTTCATTAATTAAATATTTGAAATCTGATCGACATAAATTGCAAAGGACATTTACCAAGATCATAGAGTACCATAATTTGCTAAAAAAAACTATGCACACATGAAAAGTGATAAGAGCCTTATCACTAATGTGATAAGAGCTGCCCCCAGAGGTTTTAATTATTGTTATCATTTGTCTTAACCTACATTATGCATTGTTGTATAGGCCTTAATTTCTATCTTTAAAACTCAAGGTAACTCATGCATAATTTAAAAATGTCTATATTTAAACTGCAACCTTCATCAATAATATATTAAGATCACATTCAGATCTCACAATTTCAGTTATAATGCTATCATGTGTAATGTTGACATAAGTATTATGTAAATATATTGTGGATATGTGTATAAAGTGGACAAACTTACCTGTCTAAATATGAGTTTATTTAGAGGATAGCTTATGAGTATGTTACAGAATGCTGCCCCCCCTCCACACACAAATTCCTTCCAGTGACGAGGCAGCCTGGGCCGCACGCTCGGCACAGGCACTGGCACTGGCACGGCGCTCTCTCCGAGTGCCCGCTCTAGGATATGTCGCTCAGACATTTCCTTTTCCTTTCTTTCACATGACATTATTTTTTGTATTCCATTGTCTGAAAACAACACATCTAACACAGTGACTCACGTTTTATTCATAATACACAAAGTTTATCAATAAAGCATATAATATCAACGTTAGGAGATCAAATCTAATGATAAAAAGGACTGTAATATTTACGTCGAGTGTATCATACGCAAAATCAATGCACCTATCTGAAAGTTTATGACAACTAATTAAGATTTAAGCAATTAGATTACATAACGATTGAATAATTTACCTTTCATGAACTACAAATAATAAATAAATTGTTACGTGTGAGATGAAGAGCTAATAGCTTCATCCTTATTTCATATCAGACGACATTTATGGTTGTTATTGTGAAGTAAAACAATATTATGATAGTTATAAAAATGTTTAAAATGAAAGTACAATACTGTTTGTGGTTAAAACAATTTTATAAATATTTTCCACTCAGTAAAAGCAATCCTTTCCCCGACCGACCATATGCAACTTGACAGTAGAAGTTGACAGTGACATTGACAATTTGAGTTAGAATAAATGTGACACTCATTCAGACTCATTGTCAGTTTCCAATTTCACTTTTTACGAGAATATTTATAAACTTCCTTTTGAAGATTATTTTAAGACTAGACTAGACTAGACTGGGCTAGACTTATTATTCATAAATAATCAAAGAAATTATTAGAAATTATTTATAATAGTCGAATGGCCCAAACACAAGTTGTTGATAATAAGTTCATAGTAATTTAAGTTATCTGTGTAAAGTGGTGTAAAGGTGTAGTGTAAAGCACTGACCTCTATATAATTACGCGTATTATTATAGAGGTCAGTGAGTGTAAAGGCTTGTTGATATGACAGTGCCAGTGCCAGGCTTTATCATCACATCAATGTCAAAATATTGATGTTGATAGTGTCAGAAACTCAAACTACTTCTGATATATAAACATGAAATAAACTATTCCTCGACCAGTCTTCTAACTGCATCTAACCAATTATCAACTCCGCAAGGTTATAAAATGGCAGCAGTTTTAAAGAAAAGAGCATTGGCAGAGTACAATAAAGTGTTTCAAGTAAGATCCTAACCTATATTGCGGGAAGTACTTAAGCCAATGGGTTCTACATGCGATAGTAATTATTATTTTATAACGTATTTCAGGATGTCCCTGCTACTAAGAAGCTACATCTGGTCAAGAAGCCTTTGATAGGTAGCTCTGCAGCTGCATTCGTCGGGCTCTTAGAAAAGTGTAAATCCAGTGACGAAGCACTGCAACTCTTGCTGCGTATATCAGACTGCTTGCAGTTCCAAGAGTCCGATGTAGAGGAGGCTATCAAGAAGTTGTCTGAACACTTCCAGTCTGAAGAAGAAGCTGTAGTCAGAGTAAAGATACTATGGCTGTTCTGTGACATCGGTCTTGAGTGCCCTGGAGCTAATCTGAATAATTTAATTGATGAGACAGCTCACTTGATTAAAAATGAGACGTCACACAAGGTAAGACAAGATCCTCATTTAAAAACAGATTTCTCTATAAATAAATCAAACCAGAAAATTCAAACTTACAAATTCTGCACTTGATAAACATGGTGTAGTTTTAATGACAAATTACTTTGAAACAGGTGATTGCACAAGGTATAGCTACACTGCTGAAACTGGGCAGCAAACTCAGTGATGACAAGATCCTGATGATGCGACTGGTGGCTGTGGCTAAGGACAATCTGAAGGACACCAGCCATCAGGTGAAGTGTCGGTGTCTGCAGCTCATCAGTGAGCTGTACCCCATACACCCGGAGTCTGAGAGAACCACTGAGATGGCCACTGAGGCTGATGCTATTGTCAAGCTGCTTGGCGACTATTCACATGCTGAGGTAATATTATTATAATTATGTTTTTTCAATGAACATGCTAAATAGTCCGGTCATTCCAATATGTAATATGTCCTGGAATTGGACACCTTATGTTTTCTTGGAATTCAAAATAGAGAAAATAATGTAATTTTAGATCCAAACTGATTTGTGTCACATTTTCAGATATTTAATTAGTATAATTTTAAATATTTCCTTAGTTGTTGTGAAGTGTGTAATAAACTATAATATTACAGGATGCAAGAGTGCGCTGTGAAGCATTTCAGTCCCTCCTCACAATGCATGAGAGAGGACAAAACCTGAGTGCCTCCCTCTATGATTTGGTGTGTGTGGCCCTGTCTGATGACTATGAGATAGTCAGGGAGGTAGCTCTCAAGCTGGTCTGGGTGCTCGGCAATAAGTACCCTGAAAAGTAAGTACTTTGAGTTCTTGTAATATTTGTTCTAGATTGCATTGAGTGGCTTCTTTGTGACATAAAGACAACTATATAAAATTGTTATAGATATAGGAAACTTTTTATATATTTATATATATAATAAGCTTTTTATATATTTATATATATAATAAGCTTTTTATATATTTATATATATCCTTTAGATCAAAAATTATTGGACTAATCTTGAAATTGTTGCATTTAGGTATCTAAAACTAACATTCAGTATTTAACAGTTCAACCCAATATTCTAAATTTCATGTGTTTGAAAACAAGTTTCAATATAAAAATAAATAATATACTTCCAGTACAATAACTCTATGTGACGGCGAGACAACAATGCGGCTAGTCGACGATGCGTTCGTACGCATCTGTTCAGCCGTGAATGACTTGTGCATGCAAGTACGTGCACTGGCCTGCACCTTACTGGGGACTACTCGCGGTGTGTCCGATCGATTCCTTCTACAGACCTTGGACAAACAGCTTATGAGTAATATGAAGGTATGTTCTCTATCTTATGTAATAATTCATAGTCATTTTGTGCTTAGGTATTTGTAACTCAGTGTATAAGATATTAAGACATACTATTATGAGTTAGGAAACATTGTAAAAAGGAGTCCTCAAAAGTTTTGTGTACGGCCAAGTAAACCAGAATGTTTAACTAAAGTGTTAAGATATAAATACGTAACATAGACTAGCTACTTCCGCGCGGTTTCACACGCTCTGCTCAGCTCCTATTGGTCGTAACGTGATATTTTATAGTCTATAGCCATCATCGATAAATGCGCTATCCAACACAAAAAAAATTATTCAAATCAGACTTGTTGTTACGGAAATTAACGCGTTCAAACAAAAAAACAAACTCTTCCTCTTTATATAGTAGTATAAGATATCGTATCTTGCTAACGTTAACTAGATATTGCATCTGACTCAATATATATTTTTTTCTCTCTTAGAAAAAGCGCACAGCCCACGAGCGTGGCGCGGAGTTAGTCCGAAGCGGTGCGTGGGCGTCGGGGCGGCGCTGGGCGGACGACGCGCCCGGACACTTGCTACACCAGGACACTGTACAACTACTGCCCGGGGGCGCCGCCGGGGCGTTCGTACACGGACTCGAGGACGAACTCATGGGTACTTATTAATTCATTATGTTACTACGTTTGCATGAACTGCCATATTTTTTGACACTGGATAGTAATATCTTTTCATAGATAAGAAATGAGCATTGATTGCCATACCCGCTCAAGACGATGTAGTAAATTCGGCGGTAAATTCTTAGTAGTAATTACCACTCGTGGAAGGATTCAGAGAACCTTTGAACCACACTCGATCACCGGCAAATACAGTAAAGCACGACGAACATATACTATAGTTAATCGAAATTCTATTTCTCATCCCCAGAGGTTCGCACAGCGGCAGTGGACGCGGTATGCCAGCTCTCCATGGAGAATGCAGTGTTTGCGACAACATCGCTTGACTTCTTAGTGGACATGTTCAACGACGAGATAGAGGACGTACGTCTGCGCGCCATTGACAGTCTCACGCGTATCGCGCACCATATCGTACTCAGAGAGGACCAACTCGAAACTATATTGGGGGCATTAGAGGTAAGGGTTTAACATAACGTCACGCCTTTCGATCCCTGAAAGGGTGCATCACTATAACACTCACTTTTAAACTCCAAACTCGGTGTAATTACGGAGAATTTGCGAATTTTCGAAAATATCTCAATAATACTTTAGAGTTCGAGTTTAGAGTAAACCATAATAATGGGATTGATTGTGATGATGTTGTTTTTATTACAATACTCCTGCTGATGATAAAGTAATAATTTTCTAGGACTATTCAATGGACGTGCGCGAGGGTTTACATCGTATGTTGGGCTCCTGCACGGTCGCGTCCAAGACCTGCCTCGAGATGTGCATTGACAAAATATTAGAGAATCTCAAGAGATATCCACAGGTAAGTGTGTTAAGTTATTCAACTGGGAAAGATTTTCTTTTCTATTTTTCAATGTTCTTCACATTCGCTTTTTCCCGTTGTGTTACGTCACGTAATGAAGATGTCTTCCTGTGAAATCGTACCATTAGATTCTTACGATACTTTAGTTCACTAGTTGTTTTAGCCAAACGCCACTTTATCGCTTGTCTACACAAAGAGTAGAAAACTAAATGTATGGGAATGACACTGACAAGTGTCAAAATTTACATCAATTCTATATAATTTGGTTTTCTGTTCTACATGTAGACAAGCGCTAAATGGCATTTGGCTACAGCTGCAGTTTCGCCTGCTAGCGATGATGATGTCATATTTTCCCTGTGTTGACAACTACTTTAATACGTTTAATAATATTTAACGTTGCTTATTGTTTCTCTAGGACAAGCGCTCGACGTTCCGTTGTGTGCAACGTCTAGGCAGTTCCCACGCGGCACTCGTACTGCCGCTGACGACGCGGCTACTGGCCGTGCATCCATTCTTCGACATGCCCGAGCCAGACGTCGAAGATCCCGCATGTATGAGCTATCAAATATTATTTATTAAAAAATGTGTAATATTAAAATTATATACAACTGTTTGGTAACTAGCTTTCAGTCTGCAAATTTGCTGTGTTGAAACTTTATTCATTTATACATTTTAGTTTTCCTAAAGAATTCACTAGTATGCGACCAGCAGTTTCCTAAATTATGACATTTCGGGTTAATTTTGTAACATTTTTCTGTTTTTTAATTTTAATTTTCTTGGAGATAGCAGTATAACAAAATTTTGACAAGTTTGTTGACGTGCAAAAATAATGTACGTACCATTATTTTTGCACGCCGATGTTGTAGGCAAAATAAGAGGACCTAAGTTATTAGAAAATAACAAACTTTTTGAATTTTAAATTTAAATAAAATTATGAATGAATTATATCAAATAACATCTGTTTCTAAACAAGAACTGAATATGGTTTTTAAATTGTATATTAATGTGTGCATTACTCGTCGCCAGACATGTGCGTCCTGATCCTGGTCCTGAATGCCGCGCAGCACTGCACCACGATGTTGCCACTGTTCGAGGAACATACCATCAAGCACTACACGTACCTACGGGATACCATGCCACATCTCGTGCCATATCTACCCATTGGTAAGGATATTTCCTTACTATATTTGTATTGTAACTTTCGTGAGACATACTAAATAAATTATTATGTTTCCTGAGTTCCTCGTCAAATTATTAAGTGAGTAAGCCGAAAACACGAAGCGAAAACATCATAATTTATATTTCCTTACTATTGTATTTAATACACTATGAAAATAAACGTAAATAGTAAAGCATGATAGAACATAATGTTCATGAACTGGAAATCAGCATTGGAACTTTTTGTCCGCTCGCTATGTATACGCAAATGCACATACTTACTATTTCGATTCCTAGAAACGTTTTCTTCGTCTCACATGCCAAACGGCTTTGTTGAATCAGTAACAGATGAATTGTATCCAAATCTATAAGAGCACTGTAGAGTTATAGTTTTATTACTGAGGATATTATTGACAGGTGACGCCCAACAATCAAGTGCTGAGAAGATAGAGTCAGCGATGGACGACAGCGCGGTGCGTCGTTTCTTCTCGTCCGTACTGCAACACATCGACAACCCCACCCTGTCTACTGCAGTCAGACTCAACATGCTACGCTCTGCTGAGGAACAACTTAATAAGTACGTACTGTTACTGATACAAGTATGGACCCTTGTTTCGGCACAAATGGGCCGGCTCGGCCTGAGTGATACCACGCCCCCCCCCCCGTCTGCAGTCTCCCCTAATCCCTTGAATCTCCAACAAACCTCAAATTCCTTATCCCCAAAAGGCCGGTAACGCTCTTGTAACGCCTGTGTTCCAGATGTCCACAGGTGGGCAACGCCCATTGCTTACCATCAGGTGATCCGTAGGCTTATTTACCGGCTTATGCTATAAAAAAGTTTATATTTCACTCTTTGTTCTTCTCATATTCATCGTAGTGTGATGTTCGATAGCCTGTAGCCTTCCTCGATAGGTTAACCATCGAACACATACAAAAATAAATAATTTCGAACTTCTGCTTGACCTGTAAAAAATCCGGATATTCTGGAAACCTTTTATCGTATGGACCAGCTAACGAGCAGTCGGTTGATAAGAAATTAGTGTTTACAAGGATTGGTTTTACCTGTCTGTCGGTTAAATATATTTTAGAACCGATTTCAATTCATGATGCATAAAGATGAATCACCCTATTGTACTATGTGTGATGTTGTAGAGGACGTGCAATACATTTTGTATGAGTGTCGACGTATTGAGTCTCAGAGGTTACAGATCTTTAGTTTTAAGAAATCTAATATTGGTTTTTATCTCAGTGTTAGTGTCACCATTGCCACCTGAGGCTCTAAATTGTATCATTTCATTATTTTATGTTTAAGTTTAAGGGCTAGTTAAACCTGTAAAAATGAATTTGCACTCTATAGCAGGGCTGACGTTTTTCTTTTAGGAAAAAGCCCTACTTATAAAAAATGTTATAGACATTTATTCGTCTTAATAAGTATTATTTCCGTCCCAGACTGGCGGAGATGGAGCCGGCCGTGTCGGGCGCGGCCGTGTTCACGTGCGTGCTGGCGCGCTGCGTGCGCGGCCTGCACGCACTCACCGCGCGCGCCGCGCCCGCGCCCAGGGACCACGCGCTCGCGCACCTCGCCACCGACTGCCTCAGGTACCTTCGTATTATTACAGTTAATAGACCCAGATCTACACGCACTTGTTGTCAGCCAGAATCCACTGTGGAAGAAAATCAGAAGTAGATTTCCATGGGAATTGACCCGCGAATATTTATTTTCCAATGTGTAGATCGCATTAAGTGGCGCTCTGTTATTTCTGCTTATGCCATGGGACAGTAGCGTGAGTTTATGAATGTATACTTAACAATACTGTGTCACTCTGCTACACTACAGCATTGAATGTTTCTCCAACAGACTGCAGCACCAGTTCAGTGGTGTAACAGAACAGGAGAACGCGTGTGTGTGGCAGTTGGCGCTGCGTGTGAGTGCCGCCAAGCTGTGTGCGGTGGCGGGCGGCGCCCCGGGCGGCCCGGGCGGACCCGCGGGCGGCGGCCCGGGTGGACCGGGCGGCCCCGCGGCGGGCGCAGCGCCCGGCCCGGCCCTGTCGGGGGCGGCCGCCGCACTCTCCGCCGCTGCAGCGCTCACTCATCATGCAGAATTACTTGATAGGCTACTGGCCTCTGCAGGTACAAATTATAGACGGCGACCTATCTCATAAACGAAACATGATTTGTGAAGAAAACTCGTAGAAAAACATAATTTGGTTATAAGTAGTACTTAAGAAATAGGCCAATGTTTTGTGTTAAACAGTCTGCAATAATTAGAAAGCAAATCGAAAGAAATAAATCTCTATTTTGTATGTATAAAAACTTATTGCGACTTTATTTTACAGTTATTTTAGTGTTAGGTGCACATTTACACCTTCCTCCATAATGATGGTCGTTTTAAACCATATTTTCGTTGTACAGGAGTGGAGCCGGACCCGTTCACGATAGCGGTGTTCCGTCAGTTGTCGATGAACGCGGACCACAAGCCGGCCGCGCTCGCTCGCGCCATCATGCCACTGTTGCAGTCTGCGCCGCTGCCCGTCATACCCACGCCGAATATCAAGGTACTTATTTATATCAATAGTGAAGGTCACATTAGAATTGTGTTAGAATTATTAATTTTGTTGGAGAATTCTCTGAAAAAAATTAAGAACAATATCAAAAATGTACTATTTGCAACTTAAACTGTGCGACAGTGTTACCATTCTCACATAATCAGATGAGAATGCTTGACAATAAAATTCTATCACAAACTCATAGTAAGACCTCTACTTAACAATCCCATAGCAGTCATCCCATTCTGTGATAATGTTTTTAAAAACAGATATGCCCTGGCTACTTTAGTTGTTCTTGATTCCATCTTCAAATCGTTTACATTGTTATAACTTTTAACTTTATTTCTAGATCCGTATGTGCACGGCGAGTATCCTAGAGCCGGCGGCGGACAACGACACAGTGGTACGGTTTAGCGCGGGGCTAGTGGCCGGCGTCGCGCTGGAGGCCGAAGTATTGCGCGTGCGCTGCCCCGGACAGATACGCGTGCGCGTCGCGTACCCCGACACTAGAGTGCACGCCCTCGTACCACACAAGGACCATCTCAGGCCACTCGATCATCAAAATACTAGTGAGTTGTGCTTTTATATTTCCTTTTTGGTACTTTCTCATATATTAATCGTCAGGGAAAATAAAATTACATAATATACCTCCGCAATTTCATAAGTAGACACAGTGGTATAGTTTAAAATAGACATCAAAGAATCTCAATTAAAATTATTTTGCATTTGGAATTAGGCGAATCAGTCGACAGAATAGTCTTATTATAAACACAAATTATGCTATAGAGACACTTGAGATTGTATACTAACGTTTTCATATTATTGCAGATGACGACGGCACACAAAACGTGCGTCTGTTAACAAAGGTATTGATATCGCATGGAGTGTGGACGGAGCCGTGTGGAGTAGACATCTCAGTTTGTCTCGCTGTGGAAGAGGGAGGCGCGCGGGAACCGGCGCAACTCATCGAGTTGTGTCGCCCAGTACGAGTCACTGTCGCACCTAAACCGATTAAACGAGGCATATAGACAATAAAGAAGAGTTAAGAAAGTGTCTGATTTTGTGACGATATCAGTAAAAGATAGTATTTTTAAGTTGTAAGTTTGTCCTGTTTAGAGTTTCTATCAGTTGTATAAAGTTTAGAATTTGTTAAGTACAATGTTGTAACAAACAACTTTGCGAATAAGAAATGTCTCTCATTTTTATGTAGAGTCTAATTATGTGCAGGACCACAAACATATTGTAATTGTATGGAGTATTGAGGAATAAAGACGTATTTTAAATTTAAAGTATTTTATTTACATTGTATAAACAACACAGGTTACATTGTACCTCATATTACAAATGGCAAACTTAGTTACAACTTAATAAAAGCATCACATTTCTTAAATTAATTAAAACACTATGTTTATTGTAAGTTTAAAACCGCCTTTTCACTAAGGGACATGTCGTGGGGACATCGCCCAACATTCACGTGGCATTTCTCTGCAACTTTGTGGGACAATGTCACTCGACATTTAGCTTGTTTACATTGGCCAGTTGTGATCAGTATGTCGTTAGAGGAGGAGTCAGTATTCTCGTTGGGCAACACTACTGCCATTTCTAAAACACAAAGCGACACACGTTCTCAGTACTCAAAGCCGAGGCACACGCTCGCAGAGTATCGAACAGCGACAAATTCCGCAGCCTGTCGACGTCGAACAGTCGCGGGTCCGAGTCACCGAATAAAATATGTCCCCTAGTGAAAATACGGCTTTATTCAAATCCATCCACATTATATATTTCTGTTTTCTCATGTCCACATAATAACATGGGCGCCTTTCAAGATTGATTTTAAAGAACCTCTCGTTTTCTCAAGATAATGTGTAAAAATATATCCACCCTGTCCGTATATCAGCATAAATATGTCTCGAGATAGGTATACAATTTTATTGCTACTGGCGACCGTGTATAACAATTATGGATTTTGGCTGCTACAGGGAGACATTTTATTTTTATAATAAAAAAGTTAAGTTATACCAAATCTTTTGTATATTTTTCGTCTTCTGACGAGTTTGGCAGTATCTAAAGAAGAATGGAAGCAAATCGAAATATTTCAACATTATAAGACTGCTGCTGATTTCTTATTGGATGTTGGTAAACCTAGTTTATTCCTTATCAATAGATAGCAGTTCTGATCGAGCTATACAGTTGTGTATGAGTTGTTTGATGCCAGGCATCCAAGTGCCCACAGCACTGACATGGTCCACCATCAGAGCCCTGTGGATGTCATCTGCTTTGCTTGGATTATCATCCTTCAGTGCTGGAACAAGGATATAAAGCAGTTGAAAGTAGGTAATAAACATATTAAAATAAATTAGGCACATGGTTTTATATTGTTCCCATAAATCTGTGACAATTCGGCCAATAAGGCAAACCACGCAACAACGAGGCAAGGCAGTGCGAGTGCCAGGCAAGGGGTCTCGGGTTCGATTCCCGGGTCGGGCAAAGTATTACTGGGTTTTAAAAAACATCTCAGTGGTAGCACGGAGTCTGGAAATGTGCCCGGTATATGGCAATAGGGTCACCCCCCTATTACATGGAACTCAAAACATAAATAGGGAAAAGTGGGTGTTACTTCTGTGTGCACCCCTGCCTACTCTCGGGGATAAAAGGTGTGATGTTATGTTATGTAAATCTGTGACTATGTTACTAAGAAACAGATTTCCTGCTTAAAAACATGAGACATTATAATAATATATCAATCTTTAAACTGTGGCCCGTCACTTACACACTGAATTATTCAAGTCATTACTTACAATGAATAAATTACACCAAGTCCAATAAGAATTCAAATTACCTAAAGCGAAAGTCAGTTATAGAAACATTATGCAATACCACAGTTAGCTGCTGTTCACTGAGCATGAATTCTATTTACACTGTTTTAATACTTATTCTACTTTATAAGCAAATAACATGTATCAAAATTGGAACTGTTAAGATGATATTCAACATAATAACTCTCACCGTGTGCCAAATCCTTCATTTGCACATATATCCTGCTGTCCAATTTGCCACTGCTCCACATTTCCTCCATGACTCCTATCCTCCGTCTAATGTCATTTGCTTTGGGACCAAGCTCACTGCTGTTGTCTAAGAATTCTAACAATATTTGTTTCACCTCCTGGAGAGTACTTTCACTGTCTACATTTATTTCTTGAGGCAGTATGCTCGGTACCTGGACCGGAGGTGCAGGAGGGAAGCCCGCGGGCATTGGCGGTATATTCACAGGAGGCATCACGACAGGGTTAGACGTGGCGCTCGATAAGGGAAACGCCACCCTTTTGTTAAGAATATTACGCGGTTTATTCGGTGTTGTTCCTGGATTATAAGATAATTTAGGAGGGTCATTCCAACCTGGGTCGATGGGTGCTGTAATATAATGATAAAAACAAGTTAGTAAGTCAGGTATTAACGTATGGAACACTTCATTTCATAAACCCTTTTCATTGTTTTGGTATCTCACCTGTAACACCTGTGTTAGGAGTATAACCACTGCTACTCATTGTAAATCAATGAAAACACTAAAGATATAACTATGAAGTAGTATGCAAGTATATAGCTTTGGCCGTAAAGTTTGTTACTATGTTATCAATAATTATTGAGATGCGGAGAAATGTAAACTTTGCAATTTTTCATTTTCTATTTCAACACGATGACAGTGACATAAACGAGAACAGAAATGATTATGATCCATTCAAAGATCCAACATTAACAAAATAATAAAGCACAATCATTTAAACATTTTGTTATCATCTGAATTATTGTATTGTATAAAACGTTATCTTTACAATAAATATGATAAGTTGGTAAATTTATGAATTATTCCCCAGATCTGATCAGATCTATTAGGGCTAAGTCGTCTTGTTTTTGGAAAAATCTAAACGCAATCGATAGAACTGTCACGTCTACGTCAGTTTGACAACTTTGTCATTTTTCTGTCGTTCTGATGTTGGAATCGAATCATTGTGTGTGATACTGTGATAAAAAGCTGAACTTGTGCACCTGTTTGTGAAAATATTTGCCGAAACTATGGCGTTTCTAGCAGATTTTCACATTATTCGCAGTATTTTGTCAATTTTATTATTAACTATATTGTCGGTACAAATTTCAGAAGGTAAATTTTAGTACTAATCATTTATCATTTCGTTTCGGCGCTCGGTCTAAAAATTACGTGGCCTTTTGCTATGGGAGGATGCGAGTCTGTGAAATTTAGATTAAAACTGGGGCGTTATGTATGGAATCGAATGGTATAGCGATTCTAATTAAAGCGTAATGTCTTTTCAGGATCAAAAGCGGAATTTGTGACATGCGGCTCTATTTTGAAGATGATAAATACAGACTTGAGATTGCGACTACACTCACACGACGTGAAGTACGGCTCTGGGTCTGGACAGCAGTCAGTAACAGCAGTGGATGTAGCTGACGACTCCAACAGTCACTGGTTGGTGCGGGCTCCCATGGCAGAGTCATGCAAACGCGGGTAAGTTGGTCTTATGAATTACTACACATTTTTTCATTTGGATTTTTCCAATTAGACCGTGTTGGTCTGATGAAGGATTGTCTAATGTGATTCCTGCCTTGAACAGTAGGGTCTGAAAATGGCCCAGTAGATGATAAAAGATTTGCTATTCAAATGAAGCACTTGTAAACTCATAACATATAAAATCTGATATTATTATGAAACATATTATGTTATTTCTTAAAGTATTTACTAAGATTGATATCATAAATAATATTGGAATATGTATTTGTTATGATCACTACAGTTAAAAACTGATGAATAATGAAAAGAAAAAACAAAAGAAAGATCATGAAACTGTTAGACTAGTTGTACATGTCTGATAATCACCAAATATAATTCCAGGGCTCCCATCAAATGCAACACCAATATCCGTCTACAACATGTCTCTACAAAGAAGAACCTTCACTCGCACTACTTCTCGTCACCATTGTCAGGCAACCAGGAGGTGTCATGCTATGGTGATGAGGACGGCGAGGGAGACAGTGGTGACCACTGGACTGTAGTCTGCAATAATGATTTCTGGAGGAGGGACACTCCTATCAAACTTAGGCATGTGGATACTGGAGCGTAAGTATTTATATACCTAATTTATTTGTATTATCTTTAAAAGTACATGAAAACTGCTAATCTATTCTATGTAAAAAAAGAACCTGTTGTTTCATACTTACTTTTTGCTAGGTACTAATTGCCTTAGCAAAATTGAGGAGATAAGAGATTTTTATGTTCCTTTGAGCACTTTCCTTAATCAAAAGTAAATTATTTCGACTGATCAATACAATTATATTAAAAAATAATAACACATGAATTGATTTTATGAACAACTTAATTTTAGTAGGTACTTTTAGAAATAAATAGGTACGCTGTTTGACGCTAAAAAACGTGACGTCACAATATACAACTTATAGAAAACTGTCGTCATTGACAATTCGAAAAAGTATTGAACTTGACTAGCTGGCAAGTACCCTTGCATTATACTGATGATATTTCATTGTTTCAGGTTCCTTGCTGGCTCAGGTCGTACATTTGGACGGCCGATTAGTGGGCAGGGCGAAATAGTAGGAGTAAACTCTCAGTATGGCGCATACACTGACTGGCAAGCCAAAGAAGGACTCTTTATTCACCCCGGCGAACTATTACCACACCAGCATGCGATACACTCAGAGTTATAATCTGTAATGTAGTTATTTATTTGTATAATAATAAACTTTTTTTAATTTTATTAGGTTGTATTATCAATTTTCACAATTTGTGTTATCTAAGAGGACTATACCAAAACTGTTCTGTACTTATACAAACCAACAGATGTGTCTAAATAATGTATATAATGAAAAAATCCATTATTTACAAATGTGCTGGTTTGTACAGTCAAGATTATAATAAAAGGCACTTGGGACTTGTTATTTTTTTGCTGGTCAAAACTCGAGGAATTTAACTTCTTTTATAATTTACTGAACATTGATCGTCTTGAGTGTCACATACGAATTAGTAGTTTTCTGTTACCAAGCACAGAACTTGAAGGTTATTTTATGTTAAGGTATATGTAAATTGTTTAACATAAAGTCACAATTTTATTTTCTCTTCTTGAATTTATAGTGACATGACAAAATATGTTCCTAAAAATTAGCAGAACATTAATACATTCCACTTTCAAAATACTGCACCAACATTGTTGGCTTACTTTTGTACAAATTATCACCACTGAAATAAGGCTGGAGTGAATTAAATTATAAATGAATACCAACTACTTTTATTTTCCTAATAACTTTATTGTCAAATAGTTATCATTATTATATTACAATGAGAGAGGAAACAGACCTCAGAGAAACTTGTTTTATACAAATTACCAAGTGCTTCAAAACCATCGAATTTTATAATAATACTGACGCTTCACATATCCAGCTCATAAGAGTTATGACATAATTTAGAATAAAACAATGGTGTATGTAGTGACATCGTCTTGTCGATGGAGTAATTATAAGTAAATCAAATAACGCATTATCCGATGTTACTGAAGCACAGAAACAAGTTATAAAAATATTGCTATAAAACTAAATAAAAAACTCCAAACGCAACCCGCTCGCACCGCAGCCCTCAGTCATGGTGCTCTCAATCAACTATATTAGGTATACATATCAAGAGAGGTTAAACTAAAATTTAACTTTAAGTCTAAGGCAATCACTAAACCGACGAGCTGTCCATAACTTTGTCATGTTGTGATAAGTACCTCACTTCACAGAACAGATGAGAATAGTGAACTTGGTTATATTTTATATTCACTATTATTTCATCTATGTTCTATCTATAGATATTACATATAAAATTTAAGATGGCAAATGGACAACCTCCAATGATTGGCAGTATGATGTTGATACGTCATCAACAAGGCTTACAGTTTGTTTGTAAGACGACTATTAAATAAATAATAATAGAGATAAAATCGGTGGACATAAAAGTAATTCTTTAGAAAAAAAAACTTACTGAAATTGATTTTTTGAGACGAAATAAACTTTAACAAAACCATGTATGTTGCTAATAAACTAACAAATGAAACAATGGGCGTAGAATCACCTCTAGTGTACTAACCCTATACATAGAACGTTAATCTCCCGTGAGATTGTCTAATTAAGTATAGGTAAATATTAAATTCATTTAATTAATTATTATGTACCAAGTAGGCAGTGTCGTGACTAACAGAGCTTATTAGCTAGTACACTGTTTAGTTTCTCCAGTGCATATGTTAGGTTTGTGTAAAGCTTCTTATCACAGCCGTGCTCCTCAATTGTGCTGAAGCGGAATGTTCTGAAGTTCTTTTCCACGTCAATGTAGGTGACAGCTTGCATCAGCGGACACAAGATGATCTTTGTGTGGTCTTGGAAGTTAATCTGTTGATAGAAAATAAAAAGTGAAAACCTGAACTTAGTAAAAATATAACTCTAAAATTGTTAACCATCCTTGAGCATATGATTTGACAAGGTGATCAAATATGTTCTCTATACAATATTTTGTCATTAGATTTGCATTTGAGTAGTTACCTGAAGTGTTCCATTAGTCAGGTACATGATAACTGCCAGTGTGGTTCTGAACCACTGATGCAAATGTGGTAATCGAGACAGTCCATCACTCTCTCTTACTGGTACTGAAGCACCTGATAAATAGAACAAATTATTACTTATATTGCTGTAATCTTAAATATTAAAGATTTGTATTAATTTTTAATTTAATAGATAGTTTACCAGCTTTCATAAGATGTTCAGTCATATATCTTCTGAAATAGGTGAGAAGTTTCATCTTCTTGTCAAGTTCCGTTGGATATTCGCGCATCGTCATATATTGTTCCTGGCCCTGCCGGTTGATGTAGTGCACGTTCCTGCGTACGAAAGTAGAAATTAGTGAAATGTCATTGCACCAGTCAACTTGTATGGATGATGCAGTAACAAGCTTAATTTTAATTTAATTGTCAGATGAATGTGTGATAAGTTGTGATGTCGATCATAACGGATTGGCAGATGGACATGCGGGACTGCTTTGCAATACAGCTTTCAGAACTAAGGAACTATGTAGGAATAAAAAGACTAGTAATATTCAAATAACCAAGCGTATTTTCAGTGTAAATACAAGAAATAACTTTAGAAATTTGCTACTAAATCATGACTGGAGTGATTTCGGAATAAACTCTTTTTTGAAACAATTCGAAGAAATGTTTACACGCTGTTTTAAGAAAAGAAAAATGCAGGTGCGCTTAACGCGTAAAGCGCAACTACGTTGGGTCACAAAGGGTGTGAAGGTTTCAAGCAAGATGAAACGATTTCTATGTACTGGCAAAGGGAATGGGCAAAGTGACACTGTGATGGACTATCGACAAAAATACATAGTTCTGTACAGAAAAGTGATAAATATGGCCAAAAAGTTATCAGTACAATATGAATTATCAAAGTCGACGAACATTTCAAGGGATATTTGGAAAGTGGTAAACAAGCATAGGAATAAGAATGTAAAGAACAATAAAAAAATTATCTTAAAATCCAACAATAAAATTGTGTCAGAACCATCAGATATTGTAAATATCTTGTCTCAACAGTTCCAAATTAATTCATCAGCCACCGCAAGCACAGGAGCTGCCATGGATATTCTGCATAGGAGTGCAAAAAGAGTAACTAATGACCTAATCTTTGACCCTGTCACTCCCCGTGAGATATTTAAAATAACGAAAAATATGGACGACAAAAAATCTTGCGGCTATGATGACATAAAAATATCAGTAATAAAGGATAATATAGATATACTGGCGGTACCGTTAAGCATTTTTTACAACAAATGTTTTGATGAAGGAATTTTTCCAGATCAACTGAAGATAGCCAAAATAATACCTGTACACAAAAAAGGTTCTAAAGCGGATCCAAAGATGTACAGACCAATCTCATTACTACCTACTCATTCAAAAATTTTTGAAAAGCTAATTAAGTCTAGATTACTTAAACATTTCTACCAAAATGGGGTGATAAATAGAAAACAATTTGGTTATCAGAAAAACGTCGGGACACAAGACGCAATATCGACTCTGATTAAGGACGTAGTGAGTAGATTAGATAATAAACAGAAAGTAGCTGGGCTTTTCTTAGATTTAAGTTCAGCATTTGATACAGTGGATCATAAACTATTGCTAGAAAAACTTGAACACTACGGTGTCAGGGTAAGGTGCTGGCTCTTCTTTCATCATACTTAAAGAACAGGAAGATGTTCGTAGAGATCAAAGCAGAGATGTTAGGGACAAATTCCTCAGGCAATAACTGTCTAACTGAAGAAACATACAAATCTAAATTGGCACCTGTGCACACTGGCGTACCACAGGGCTCCATACTGGGTCCGATATTCTTTATCATGTTTGTTGATGACCTGATACAACATATGATGCAGAATGCTGCAGGATCTATACAGCTTGTGGTGTTTGCCGATGATACTAACGCTGTTTTTCGGCTGACGTATACGCACTCTTGATTGCATTGTTAATCAAGTCTAGATATCTTCCACAGTTGGTTTGCTGTCAACGGTCTCAAAATTAATGCCAGTAAAACTAATGTCATGCTGTTTCGATCTACTTCCAAAATAAGGATAGCATTAACTGTGCCATTAATGGAGAAAAAGTAAACGTGGTAGAGGTGGTTAAGTTCTGGGAGTTTATATTGATAGCCAGTTGAGGTGGAAGGAGGAGCTAAATACCTTGAGAAAGTGATTAGCCCTGCCTGTACGTGCTTAGAAGTCTCAGAAACGATGTGACAATTAAAATATTTAAAAATGGGTGTATTACGCATTGGTGGAGTCAAGGCTAAGATACAGCATACTTTTCTGGGGTGGAAGCTATGACTACAATATCAGAAAGCATTTGTAATACAAAAAGGGCAGTCAGGACTATGGTTGGAATACAGCAGCAAGAATCATGTAAGCCTCATTTCAATGAATTGAATATACTGACAGTCCCAAGTTTATACATTTTTGGTCCTGCTTACCCATTTGTCTAGGTACATCTTTGAATATGAGACTGAGGATGAAAGACAAAGAAGGGAGAGCACAAGAAGGAAAGATCTTCAGTTGAAGCAAGTGACTCACCTAAACGTTGCAAAGCATAGTTCCTACCACAAGTCGTTAAGCTTTTAATAAACTGCCAACGGAAATAAAAGGTCTTATTTATAAGGCGAGTTTCGGAATAAGCTAAGACAGTTCTTGTTAAATAAGTGTCTTTATCATGTTGACGAATTATAACTTAATTATTGGAATTGTTGTTGTGTGTTTTTTTTTGGTATTTTATGATGACATATATTTTATTATATTTTGTGTATTATTGTTTTATCTTGTTATAATTAATTATGAATTGACAAGTACAGGGAATGACATTTAACTTTATTAATTGTAACGGCTAATTATTGCATGTATAATTTTTAGAATATAGGTGTATTGTACAAATTCAAACACAATGTAATAATTGTTCATGAATAAATAAATAAATAAAAAATAAAATGTTTTGCAAAAATACTCACAGTCCATTAGCCAGCATGATGAGCTTAGTGGTGTCGTTGAACATAACGCCGACACTCTCATCGCACAGCTGGTAGCCAAAGCCATACTTGTCGCTGTAATCTACCCATTTCCCCACCCACACCAACGGCTGGGCCGCAGGATCGCTCAATTCATCCGTGAGACACTCTGGACGGCATTTCAGCTGTAACAAGTAAATATTAAATTAATAAGTTGTTTTTAAAATTTTTATAAAAGGTTCAACAAAACGTCTTGATGTCGTATTCATACCTTGCTAACAAGCAAAGAGGCAAGTTGATCGCGAAGTGCAATCAAGTTCTGTCTGTGTGAAGTCGGTTCCACGGCGCGCGGCTCTGCGGGTATCGCCTCGCGCTTCACTGGCGAGTCCACGGCCATCGCCACGTGATCTGTAATTATGAATAAGTTGAATTTAGGTATCATAACTTAAAGATGTGCTTTGATAATAGATAAACATCACATTGAAAGAAATAAGATCATTATAACATTAGATACCCACCATTAGTGTTAACCTCGTTGAGTGGTCGGCGGTGCAGCGCGATGCCCTCCAGCTGGTCGGTCCTGGGCGCCGTAGTGAGGCAGGAGAGTGGAAGTGCGGCGGGCATGATGCCGGACGAGAAGAACTCGTGCTGCAGCAACTTATCAACAGATGGCCGTCGCGCGGGGTTCGATTGCAGCTGCAATACAATCATCGATGCCGCGGGCTTGCGCAGTGATGATGGGATCCTAGATAACAACGAATTTGTTAATATGCAATCCTTTATTTCATTATGGTAAATGTTATTAGGTTTTATTTGTCTGTACTCAAACAGGCAGAATTATTCACAAAGAATTGTTAACACTAGAGCTGAAATATCCACAAAAGCGAATCACAACATTCAAGTACTTGATGAATGAACAACACAGTGTAAGACGTCATTAAAGCAACAGGTATCACTGGTTCCCTTGCTGGTAATAAGTGGATGTAACACGTAAGACACAGGTAGCCGCGTCACCATCACCATATTATTGGTTCTGATCCACCTGTAGCGCTGGTTGACAGTATTATCGTTGACTAATGCGCGCGCGTACCGACTACCCAACGAGTGCCAGGGACCCGTGCAACATATGCTCAGCGCTAGGTACACTCCCTCACTATTTAACAATACAAAGTTCATTTTTTAAATACATTTTTCAATTTCATATTGTAATGGTGAGTTTTTAGTGGTACTCAATAAAGTGATAACTTTCTTTGTATTTTAATCTTTTAAGTTGTGTTCCATATTATGTTGAATTTGTGATAACAAATAATTTAGAATGTTTACATTCATAATTTTGTTCAACATTAAACTAGATTGGTGATACTGGTTTCTCTGTAATAATATTATTCGCGCGCCATTATTTACACCGTTTTATTTAGCAAACTTGTTTGAATTGGCGCGAAACTAAAAAAAAGTTTTTTCACAGATGTCTGTTGCAAATAAATTGCTTATGTTATTTATAGTAACTTCTAACAGGTCTAATATAGATTTTTGTACTAATAAACTTTTCGAAAAAGTGTAATTGAAGTTTGATTTACAGAATGTTTCCAAGGGTATTTGAAGTTATTGAATGTTTGTCTATGTAGGGCACTTTAATGAAATTATTTCAGGTACCAACCTGTATTCACACTGTTTGATCCTCTTATATGTGTCCTTGAGTGTAGATGTCTCAAACGGCGGCTTGCCAACAAGTAGTGTGTACATAATGCATCCCAGACTCCAGATGTCCACTTCGAAGGAATGTCCCTTCTTCGTCAGTATCTCAGGTGCAATGTAGTTTGGTGTGCCACATAATGTTTGTTTCCTCTCTCCTGTAATGTTATTAGTATCAAAAATATGTTAATCATGATTAGTTAATAATTTAGTGCAGCAGGCACATGAATGTACTACCATTTTGTGTTGTTTTGTTGTGAATTGTGTTGAAAAGAAGACAAACTACAAATATATTCAGTCTGCAAACTCTGGAAGACATTGATGACCTATGAATGAAAAAATACAAACCTTCATATTCAATTCTAGCAGCAAGTCCAAAATCTCCTATTTTGACATGGAGGTCATCATCAAGGAATAAGTTTCCAAGTTTCAGATCACGGTGGATGATACGCTTGCTGTGCAGGTACTGCACTCCAAGGAGTATTTGGTGCATATAGAATCTTGTCTCTGGTTCCGTGATGGCTTTTCTTCTCTTGTGTAGTTCCATCATGGACTGTAGGATAGGGAAAACATACATTTTTATTGAACCCTTTGAGTACCGTCATTATAGACACAATTAAAGAACAATAGGTGTGCGGACACTGGTGTCCTCGTGGTGTTTGACAGTTTAAGTCTTCAGAATAGATTCAAGTTAAAAAGAAAACTAATTGGATTGATTGAAAAAGACCTATGATTCATCGAACTAAATCTTGATTCTTTCTAGTACTGCAACATATTTTTAAAAACATTTCATTAATGACAGTATAGTTCTATTATACTGTAAAAATACTTACCCGTCTCTTACACAACTCAAGAATGATGTAGATATTGAGGGAATCTTCGAAGAAGCTGTGGAAGCCAACCACATGCTTGTGCTGCAGTGATCGGTGGATGGATATCTCCTGAGCCATTTTCTCCTTCTGACTTGACTTCACCATCAGTTTTTTGGAAACTATTTTCCCTGCCCATATTTGGTTAGTGGATATGTCTTGGATCTCATAGCATTTAGCAAAGCCACCCTAAAGTGTACAAAAATTGGTCAGTTTTAAACCACAGAGTGCTGATAAAGAATCAATATGATTCCTATTTAGTTATCTAAAATTGATTTGGTGATGGCTAAATGATTGGGCATTGAGTAGTCTTAGGAATGAAAGTAAAAGACTGTAAAATTTAATATAGCAGGATATTATTCAATTAAAACATGCTTTCTGTAATAAATGTGGTATTTTCTTATGGTATTAATATGAAAAAATTAACAGCAGTTACTTAAAATTTGAATGGCCTATGTTTGCTTATTAACTATTTGTAACTATTTGTCTACGTTTGCGCTAAAATTAGGTACATAAACATTAAGAAACATTGATAAACCTAAAAGCAAACTTATTGAGCACTTGAAACTCATTAACAGTGCAATGCACCTGTTATTTTATGCAACGCATTTAAAATGTAACCGACAAATTATAAATCTATCTCCTTATTAAGAGCTGGATGCTTTCAATGAGCATAAGTTAGCAGTTCTGGTTGCGGCTAGGCAATTAACATCTAATTAAATAGTGATTTAGTTTAACGGTAATCAACGTTTGTATTCTCATCGACGTAACAGGTGCTAACACCGTTGGAAGCGATTCGCATGTTGGAGTACCAATATTATATATAGCCCTATGTTTTAAATAATTCTACTCAGAATTACAATTAGATAAAAATAATCTCGAAAATGATTAGAAAAATGGAGAAAAACTTACCTTGCCAAAGAATCGTAACCTCTGATAGGTGCAGTTCGTCTGGGGATCGTGGATAATTTCCGGAATTTCTTTCTTTTCGTCTTCTTTAATCGACGTCATTTTAAACTAGCTTAAAATATAAAATTATAAGTGAAATAAAGTTATGATTAACAATAAACTATTGATGATTGTTGACAAATTCACAAAGGAGATTTCAAACGGCCATACGTTTGAACTTTGAAGCAACTTTGAAGGCTATTTGAACGGTTTGGTTGCGTGCCCAATCACAGAAGAGCATTTCCTACCAATGTTGCTACTTGTTATTTATAATCCCTACTCATTTTATTCGTTTTATAACATAATGTGCTTTATAACGTCAATAAATAAATTAAAATAAACTGAAGGATAACTACATTTTATTATGAACTAATTTTGTTATTTTTGTAATCTTTGTTGGAACTGAAAAAAGATAAATTTGTTAATTTTAAGATTTAAAGTTTGGCAACATTTTTGTAACTGTTTTTCATATTATCTCTTTTCATCGTTGCCAAAATGAATGAGGTCAGAAGGAGAAGGGAGTATAGTTCCAATATACTCCCTTTCCCTGGGCGAATTCAAATATTTCTTTTTTTTTTAACTTGACTGATTTAAACTGACGTAAAAAACTAATCACATTTAATTATGGACATTAGGGTTGTTGAGACAAGGTCGAGGATTTAAAAATTAAAAAGCATAACATCCCTAGTATTCCATCATCAGATCCTGACCTGGTGAAAATGGGACCCTGTCGGGAAACCTATCAAACAGAACAAAATTTTGGAAATCACTTCACAGACGGCGGAGTAATCGCTGATCAATTCATTTGGCGATACAAATACCGAACTAGCGCCTCTAGTGTCAAAATTGTGAAGCTGTCTAAGAACGACAATGACAGTTTTCGTATGTAATTTAAGTCACAGAAAAAAAAATGTTTAATATAAATCTATGATTATGTGGTTTCTTGTAGATATAAATATTTAAGTAAATTGCAAAATTAATCAAATGTTATACTAATTATTCAATTAATATCTTTAACTCACTTCATTACACTCGAATTTAATCCTATATCCTATAACCACTCCATCTTTAAACTCGCATTTATTTAAATTCCTGATTCATTTACAATATGTTTATCTGATGCTCGACCACCACAAGATGCACTTATTTCAGTTATTAGGCCAAAAGGAGTTATTCCAATATTAAACTTCGCTGTATTGTTTTTTTTATATATTGAGAGTAGGTACGTCAATATTCTACATTTTCAACATTTACATTTTCAGTCTCAGCACAGTCTAATATTATTCTTGTATTTTTATATTTTTGGAATTATTTAAGTAAGTTACTATCTACGTATCATTTCGGTATCAGGCCAAGGAATAACAAATTACCTACTCTACTCAGCATGGGGCACATATTAGAACATGTCTGCCTATTCATACCAAACAAAACACCAATAGCTTTAAAAGACGTATTTTGTTTAATTATTACCATTGTCAAAATAACTCTGTCCCTCACAGATAACATTTTCAACAACTTAACAGTTAATTTCTTTACAGCTGATATTTCCTCTTTCCATACGGGAACAAAATTTATTTTCATTTATAATTTAGTCTTTTGGAAATAAATGAAAAGTTTTTTCCCGGATCTTCGTAAGAAGGTATTATATTGAGGAACGCAACAATATTTTGTGTTTCTGCTTTTAATTAAAACAGGTTTCTGATGTAATCGTGATCATGTTTAAACTTATTAACTTCAACTACACAACTTAAGAAACGAACATAAACTCGAACTAAGGACGGCACGAACAAACTATGGGAAAAAATGCTTTTGTTTGAGGGAGCACAGCTGATTAATATATTATCAGATGACATAAAATACTGCGATAACATTAAGGCATTCAAAATTAACTTAAGGAACATGTACAAACATTGTAAATGTTGTTAAAATAAAATGAATGTAACTTCTTACCGCACTAGAGGATTTTGTCATATGTATCATAGAAGATAAGGAAACTCTGTATCTCATTTTAAGTGAACTATGTATCTGTTCTTATGAGAAATAAATTCTTTAAACCCAACTCGAAAGCAAACTGTCGTTCTTAGATAACTTCTCAATTTAGCCGCTAGAGGGGCGTGGATAATCTTTCCCCTTTTTTGATGTTGGTAAAAATGATCAAATCAGCCAGTTGCCCAACCACTGCGCCTACTGTGGATTCAAATTTCGAGATTATGATTTTTAATTTTTGTAACCAATCTCATCATAATATTTAATACATTTTGTTTACAATAACCATAAGATGATAATAAGTATTATAGGTATTTAGGCAAGAAGTAATAACTGCCGTGCTCTATATTGTACTTATATGGCTTATCAGAATACAAATATTTTATTTTGTATTTTCCCCAAAGCAAATGGGTTTAACCACGATTAATAAATATTATCTTAAACATCCGGAATTCATTTACCAGACGAAATGTCTATGAGTTTGAGAAGGGAGAGGGTGATATTTCATAGAGGACCCGGCTAATAGTTGAACTGCTACGCTATTCTGTAACTATCAAGTTTTAATTCGAAAGATCGAAGTAAACTTAATCGTTGTCCGCCACGTCATTGGATGTGAGAATAATCACGACCGTTGACGGACGACAATGCAATCGAACTCACTTTGAAAGTTCGAATTTTGACAGTTGTAAAATAGTCTAGCTGGATCGAAGATCCCCAACCCCGACTGAGGAAGCAGTAATTCAACGAGTAGGTACTCAAGTATATAGTTTGGATATGAGTAATTTAATTTTAATAAACTTCGTACCTACTTTTATTTTTTTTTTCTCTCTCTTCGTACCTACTTAATATGTGTTAGGTAAAATGACATAATATTTACCCACATTAGCATATGAAATTACGAAGAGAAATTACGGTACTTTGTAAAGAGTTAATACACGTAGATCCACATATTATACAACATATTATTCTTTGTGGGATAAACCGATATACAAGTAGATCGATCACCTGATTGTAAACAATTCATAGACATTCGAAACACCAGAGTGAGGATTGTTCGGGATTCGGGGATTGGGGACATTGGGGAGGAGTAATTGGGCCTCCGGTAACCTCACTCATACGAAAACAACGCAAGCGCGTCAGTTTTCTGTGAAGCTGTGATATCAATCCGTGCCCCAATCGTGCCGAAGCATGGGTCTCCCACAGTTTGCAAATAGTACAGAAATAAGTTCGTTTGGAGTCATTAGTCGGCGTAATGTGTTCTTTCATTATCTCCTATCCTATCACAAACCTTTACCTTCATAATTTAGTTCTCACACAATCTACACATGTTAATTCTGGCTTCTGGTCGTCTTCTTCTTTAAAATTTATTTTGTATTCTTCATACCGTGGCCCGCTTGTGTACCTACCTAATTGAAATTAAATTATTAGATTTTAACGATGCAGCTACCCATTATAATATCAAAGTTATTCAATTGAAAAGAACTTAAGTTCCCTACTTACGAGGTAAACGGGATTAACTTCAATCCGGGAATTAGATTATTTAATTAATTAGGGAAAACAAAGATTCATCATCGAATAAACAGTTCTCTACTTGTATTCTCTGTACTTAGTGAGATCCGATTTCAGTAATTCGAATTGTGTGATTCATTTTACATTTTATCTCAAACAAACTTCCTGGCATAAGTCGTAGGTACTCACTAGGTAAGTGCTACGGAATTGTTTCCAAGCTTGAAATTTATAAATCTCTGCGGCCTAGGGGTTTCCCTAAGGTCTCAGTTGACGTTGAAATTAATCAGACAATATTTGTTAAGAATTACTCAGCATATCGAGCCAATACTTCGATGTCCTGAAGGACGCTGATATCGAGAGCTTGAAATACTTAGGTGGCTCATGCGAATCATTGTATAAAAGCAAGCGTTTGTTTGCGGTATTCAATGTCACAGGCAGGCAGCGTTGTACTCGTGCCCGGTTTTGGTGCGATAAATTAATTATTGCAGTTATTAAAAAATAAAATATACAATCACTCGAACACTTTCGATTTAAAACACTGGTATCTAATAAAATAAAAAAATAAAAAAGTATATAAAAACCTTTTTTCAAAAATGGAACGTTTTCGAAGTTGTGTTTTGTTGCTTATTAGTGTATTGTTTGTTTTAAATATTAAAAAAAGTTATCAACACACGTGGGTGACTACTGATGAATGTAAGTTGTTTTTAATAATTATATTAACATTGACACCTTAACTCATTTAAAATGTCCTTGACATAAACATTGATTGATGTTTGACAACGCGTCTGATTATTTTATTTGTTTTCTCGTCGTCTTTGTTCATGATATGAATGTTGATCTATCGTTAATTTGGAGGGAACATCCGATTACTTATACTATTGTTTCGTGTCGATAATAATTTTCATGAATCTGTTAATAACATGCGTGTGTTTTTTATGATCAATTAAATAGTTTCACGTAGTTAAGAGTCAGTTTGAGAGTAATTTTTGTACATGAAACTTGTGTTACAATAATAATAATAATTTACAGTTACGTGTAACTAACTGTAAACGTTATTGTTAGGCGTTGATTAAACAGTCAAAATGTGAAATTAATAATGTTTGTGAATGATGTGACTGCAATAATACTGATTTATCCTGTGTTTTATTTTCGTCCAGGTATCCATAATATTAAATTGTTGCGTAGCGTAATTATTGTGAGTGAAAAGGATGTTACGATACAGACGTATTAAATTCTTACTACACTGGCTACTGGGCACATAATATGACCATATATATAAATATATATTACCTATATGATGCATGATGTATACCTACTATAAATTACGTACCTATGTCATTCATTACTTATCCGTATGTCAGTTTTAGATAAAACTAATAATAATAGCAGAGTTATTCTAAAAATGTTTCATTTATCTACGAATATATATTTGTAATAGCTAGTAGGGAGATAGGTATCGACCTAGACCTATAGTTAGAATCATAACATTTGGTTGTAAACCTACTTCGCCATATTTATGTAAGTACTTTTAAGTATCTATATCCCATATACTTATGTACTAAAAATCATTACTTCAGGTTTTACAGTCAGATATTAACATATCTATATTTATAGGTATGACAATGACAAATTTTATGTTTTTTGTCTATACTTTTGGCGGGAAAGTACGTAAGCCCCTACGTAGCTAGCTAGGTAGTCTAAGTACACTAAGTGGGTATAAAAACGGAATAAGAACCTAATTTTATCTGCAGATACAATGACTCACATTATCTTTTCATTGCTAATAAAAACTATAAACAAGAAGTGTCCGTTAATAAGGTATGTCGATTAAATCGTAATGCCAATAGTGAGCGTAGGTATTGTATGGCTCTAATTTTATTCATGGCATGTCACGGTCTCATGATGCACTGTAGTACTGTGATAGACGGCGATTGTGTGAGAACACATTAAAATTTACTCACTACTCGCAAACAACCACTAAAAAGGATTCAAATTGTAATTAACACTGGGTCACTATGGATATGCACACATCGTTAAATAAGGAGGATATTATTGGGACTTTACAAATCTTAAAATACAGTTTCTTCTTCACTAGTAAGGATTTTCCTCAAAACTGGGATAGGTTTTTGCAATATTCCATGCTGGTTCGATTTTGCGAGGGCGCGAACGCAAACTGTCTACTCGAAGACAAACTCGTACGATCGCATCGCGTGCTAAAGCTGCCGTGCAACTGTCTACTTGCTAAGAAACTGTCCTTATTCAATACGTCTTCACGGCATGACTTGGTCGAGGTCAGGAAAATGTCGAGTCGTCAGCGTTGTCTTGGAAACTGCGCTCGTTTTGACCCAAGGGCGTATGGGAATGAAATCCGCACGCATAGGTTTTGATGCATGCGACTGTTACTTCACGGTTTTTTTAAGGGGGTAAAATCATCCAATGATTTCTCCTGCCTTTGGTGAGGTTACTTCACCGTACCGTAGCGTACGATGGAACGGTATAATACACACAGTTCCTGATTTTAATACATTCAGGATATTATACTTAATATGATAAAAATACTACTATCTAACAGAATCAAAGGAGAAACCTTTAAAAATAACGGATGAAAACAAACATAAATAGTAAAAAGCTTTCCTTTTCCAAGGGAATTTACTCTTTCAGCGGTTTTATAAATAAATCCTCATTAATTATTAAAAATTATACACAAAGCTACTTTAAAATGATATTTTAGCGACTGACCTTTTAATTTTTAAATGCTCTGTGTTTACAGTGGAGAACCACATCAATCCTGAAGATCTTCTTGAATTTGCAAACATTAAACAGAGCTCCGAAGAAACCAAATTAGACGATACCAGTGATGCAGTCCGATTTGCAGATGTTGTGGTAAGATTTTATTGACTTATAAATAGTAATAAATCAACTAAATAAACATTGCCTTATAAAATATTACAACAGATATGAAAGAAAAAGCTGGTGATGAGACGACGGATGCAAAGGTAGAATGGAAAAAGACAGGCGGTATTAGAAGTAACTTAGGGTAAGATTGAGTCTCTATTCGTAAAGGAAAATTGCCTTCACAGGAAACTACAACTGGCCTTCCAGTACCGGGCACAGTCGACTGTTTCGGCTTAGGCACACTATCACGGCAGATCGTGAGCCTCTTCAATATGAGACCAGATTCATCTGACGATGTTAACACGCACTTTTACTTCTCGTCGCGAACTATGCCTATGAGGATGCAGGTAAACATTGTTCATTGTTCATCCAACATTTATTAACTTCTATAAGTGAAAAAAGAAAATATGTTGAATTAATCCGAATGTGGTTTAACTTGATTTCAGGAGATGAGTTTTTACTTCAATATTTGCTTTTTGCAGGTGTTTCCTGGTTCCCAATTCGGCCTCGAATGGGTCGACTTTAAACCGAATAGAAAGACGGTGATGATTATTCATGGTTTTATGAGTCACAGTAATGCATCTTGGGTCAATGACATGACTAAAGCGTTTCTGGAATGGGTATGTTTTTGACAATGACTCCAGTTTGTTTTTGCAAGCTTATCTCGGTTACGAATATCAAAATATAATGTTCTATTTTGCGTGTTTTTTAGGCGGATGTAAACGTCATTGCGGTAGATTGGAGTGGTGGTGGGAACACTTGGAAGTATTGGAGGGCAGTGGCCAACACTAGGAGAGTGGGCTCTGATATTGTTGGGTAAGAAAGTGTTAAAGACGAAACAAAGTAGAAAGAAACCAGGTACTATGTGCTTGTGGCAGAAGATTACTAAAGTCATCATGTTTTCAGGTTCATGCGTAGAATGATGACAGAAACTGGGGTAAGAACTAAAGATATGCATTTAGTTGGACATAGTCTAGGAGCTCATATTGCGTCATATGTATCGTATCATTTGGGGAAAGTTGCACGAATTACAGGTCAGTACTGAATATAGTATCGCTTATTTGTTTAGTAAGACTCTGTTCTAGTTCATTAGAACTATATTTTGTTTGTATTTCCCAGGATTGGACCCAGCTCAACCATGTTTCTGGACAACCGACTCCACCGAACGTTTGGACCCTCAAGACGCGGACTTTGTAGATATTATACACACTAACGGCCGACTACTGTCGAAGATAGGCTTCGGCTTTCCTGATCCTAATGGTAAGGAACAACTTGATTGTACCGATGCGCCCTATGCACTTTATAACTTTACTGCTGTTATATGTTCCACAGTTTTAATGGTGATTGATTCTTTGTAGTGTGTGAATGAGAATGTACAACTGACTTTTTATTCTACCTAATGCTTGTCAGTATTTCAAAATTAATATAAGTATTTTCTGTTGTTCTCAGGTCACGCAGACTTTTATCCAAATGGTGGTATGAAGCAACCAGGTTGCTATAACGAAACTACTTCCATATGGTCTCGTCTTATTCCATTCTCATCCAGTAAGTCAAATATTTATTAATTTTATTTACAATATTTACCTACAATATTTGATCACTGTATAGCATTTGTCATATTTATTTTCGTATTGTTTTCCATCAGGACTTCAGCAAGCAATATGCAGTCACGGCCGCGCATATTTACTCTTCACTGAATCTTTGATCAACCGTAACTGTACTTTTAGGGGACATAGATGGGACTTGACTTATGATGGGTAAGTTTAATCAACAATTAATTACTAGCTATCATCATCATCACCAGCTGGACTATGGAAATCCTCTACAAATAAGGGGGGGGGGAGTTTGCCATTATCTCTACCTTTGGCAAGTGGAGATCGCAGTTTAAAAGGTTTATCAGAGAACGCTGAGATATATAGTCATAAGAGACAATCGTAGAAAGAGTAAGAGAGGCGAAAAATGTTTTCTAATCTGTCATCATCATACGGATTCCATTACAATAAATGGATTAGAACCAACCCAGACATCTTTACATCATTCCGAGCATCGGAGATCGCGCGCCGATCTCCGGCCACCGTAAGTGCGAGCAAGTGTAGGTCATCGCCCGACCAGAACCAGACTCGTGCGTACGGCGCGTCTCGTTCTGCGAGCGCCTCAAAGATCCATCAGACCACCACAGATGCGGCCCAGTAGGGTTGATATCCGATACGTAGCCGCGGAAGGCCTAACGAGTTGCCGGGGCTCCGGCTCGAAGTGCAGGTGTAGGAACAGGGTGGTTTTTTAGTCAGTAAGAGTCTGACACTCTTTCCCGCCTAACTCAAGGCGGAAGAAGTCATTGGATGATTTTTCCCCTCAAAAAAAAAAGATATCTTTACATTATTAGTGTCATTACAGGGTAAACGCCAGCTTGAAAGCTGCTTGCGACAGAGTTGGCTCATGTTCTGAGATGGGCATCAGAGCTGTCGGCGAGGGACGACTGCCACGCGCTACAGGAGCTTACTTCGTACTGACTACTGACAAGGATCCATATTGTCGTAAGTGTTCAATAGATAATCACTCTTTACCCGCGGCTTTGTCTGAATGTACCTGTTTTATCTCATGGAAATATTTACTCGGGATAAAAAGTATCCTATCACCTAAGTTACCCCACACCCTGTATCTGAATTTAATCAAAATCCGTTCCGTAGTTTCAGCGTGATTGACGGCCACACTTCCAAAGAAACTTACACATTTATAATATTAGTATGAGTAGGTATTGCGATTTCATCCTACAAACTTAGTCAAATTGGAATAAATGAAAAACTCTATAGAATTATGTTACATTAACATTCAGATTGAAACCCAGAAGAAGCTATGACAAAGAGAACAAAAAGAAGTCCTTCATAAGCTAAAATTAATATAAAAAGTAGCTACTCATACCACCATATAGGTATCAAGTACATAATGTTTTATAGGGATTAATTTAAAATGATTATAATTTATTTAATTGTAGTTAGTAGTGGTACTCGCATTTATTATCTCCACACACTCATCAAGGGCATGTAATGAGTTCCGCTGCGTAAGCATCACGCTACGATGCTTAATGTGTAGGTACTGTTTATATTGTTTCCTTTGATGTATTTATTTATTTATATGTAGATTTTGTCATTTGCGTATGTTTGGTTGTGTCTTGCAATTATTGCGTAGGACTTTCGATTTTACATCATGACGACAAATCTCTCATAATATAATTCCTTCATAAGCTAAGATAGTTTATCTTTTGATTTTAACGCGTTAGTCCAATCCCTATTATTATCAACACAAACAATAATTAGTAAATGTCGTGTTTATTAAGAAATTTATAAAATCTTTGTTATAAAATAGGTGTTTCGTCATTTAAATCACTAGTTTTGCCTCAATTATATACGTGCTCCTTACAGATATATTAACCAATTCATCCTCTTTTAGCCACCGAATGGGAACGCCGGCACCCTCAACCAGAACTCCTGATAGATCTTCGCAAAGGTTTCCTTTTGGACCAGTTGAGGAAGACCACTTCGAAGGCAACTGAATCTGCCGTTTATGCCGATCCTATGGAAAGGGATCTGTCCGTTCTCCCTCTTACCACCACCACACAAAAGAGCTGGTTCCAGAAGTGGTTTGGTAAATAAACTTTATCAGAATCAACGAACAAATATGACGAAGACTTGTGAGCCTTATTTCTTTAGGACACTGCTTTAGGATGCTCATACGACCAAGTGGACCAACAAAATGTATAGAGGGTATATCAAATGGTGACAGCTTACTTGTGCAACTAACGGTTGGTCAACCAAATGAATCACATTAACCGCCTATAAGTGGACACTACTTGACAAAGGTCTCTCCTTACATGGAAAAGGTTAAAGCATTAACCACCACGCTTGCTCAATGCGGGTTGGCGATTTCAAACTTATAATTAGAAATTATAAGCCCAGGTTTTCCTCACGATGTTTTCCTTCACCGTTTGTCAGTGGTGTTTAAACAATCTTAGAAAGTATATACATATAACTCAGATAAAGTCACATTGATACTTGCCAGATTGCGAAACCGCTCATGCATGAGAAGCGGGAGTCTTAAACCTTCGGGCAACCACGAGTGAAATACCAATAGTTTATTCGGTGTCTTCCTATGGACACCATATTTGTGCTTGCACACTTGGTCGTACGGCAATAGTTGTCCAAAGAAATAGGGACTCTAGGTGCAGTTGAAATTGGGACTGAACAAATTATTATCATGTATGATTCTTTAATTTAATTTTTTTTAGGGAGTCGGTCGGTCGTCGGTACTGACTACGGTATGTAAGTAGAGATAATGTCGATTGCTTTGTTGTAGATCAATGGTACCTATTTGTGGCTGTAATTAGTTGTAAACAAATAAAATATAAGTAAATGTTCTATAATTATTCAAAATCCATTCTAGAGCTTGGTCGGTAAGTGTCTAAAAATAATTGTACCTAGAGGATCTCGATGAATTTAATTTAATTTGTGTATCTTGTCGCTTGTCTAGTAATCTTAATAGATGAGTAGGAATTAACTAATGTGCTGTTTAGTACTTGCTATGTAGATTTAGTTATTAGTTTATACGAATACATGTTGCATTTGTAATTTTTTAATTACAGTTTATTTTTATGTTATTTTAATAAAAGGTATCTACAACGAATAATAGTATTTTAATCCACTCACAATTTATATAAGTACCCAATCAAATGTCGTGTTGCACTACAAAATATCTAAGTACATACTTTAACTAATTAACAAATGTGTTTAACCATATCTCCATGTAATTATTCACATAGCATGGAATAGTATCCTATTAAAAAGCTTTTCAAGTTATTGTAGTGCTTTTTTAATCATAATATATTATTATCTAGTTTTGTAAACATGCAATAATTTAGTACTAAGTTCTTAGTTTGTAGTAATAAATCATAACTTAATGGCGATAGTAGTTTCAAAGTGTGGTGACACTTTATAGTACCTTACAAAAGTTTTGTCACGAAAATGCGAGCGGTTGAAGTTGTTCGACGCGATAAAGAACCTCCTCCTTTAGTAAAATCGGTTAAAAAGAGGTTTATATTCTTTGGACGGAACAGTGGAGTGCATGGTCTGCATTACTTGTTCGATGCTGATAGAAGTCTGCTGTCCAGGTGGGAACAGCTTATCCTTTTATTACAAATCTTTAATCTGTTGCGCGTGGAGGTTTTGTTCGATATCTTAACTGAAAAACTTCTCATCGTTATCAACTTATTATTTTATATCTATTACGTAGTCACTGCAGTGCTTAAACAAATATGTGCCTATTATTTGGACGTAAATACCTATGATATTTTGGCAAATAATGAATGAAATCTTATCTAAACACAATATTTAAGTAGCCTAGTTTAATATTGTGCATTATGTGGGCTTCCTTATCTGTAATAACAGATTAACATGATAAAAGAAACATAATGTCCAGGCAGGGAATCAGAAAATCTATTTTCTAAATTAATTTCAAGCTGTCCTTCTCTCTAACTTAGTTCGCAATATTGTACATAAAAAAATAAAGAGAAAAGTCTAGGTTAACGGCTTATCCATTAGTCTGTAAGTAGCAAACTACTATTAATCGCCTTCTGTTCAGCAGACCGACCACAGATATTTACAATTATCTGATAAATTTAGGATATTCTGGCTAATCGTCCTGATAGCGTGTCTGGGCTGCCTCTACCTGATGATGCAGGATACAGGAGACCTCAGAGTGGAAGTGAACTTCACTCCTGACACTCTCTACCTAAACTGGACCACTACGTTTCCAGGAGTGACTGTGTGTGAGGAGTATTCTACTAAGTTGGCGTTAAGGAAATTTGCCAAATTGTTCCGTAAGTATGTGTGATCAGGTAAGGAGGAATAATTAGTACCTACATGAGATAAAAAAAACGTTAAAGTACCTTACCAAAGAAAAATATCTAAAACCAACGAAGAACGTTCAATAATTACCCTTTGACATAACAGTTGGTAGTATTTCATTAATAAATTCAATGGACATTCATCATCAATAGCTTATAAATGCCCACTGCAGAGCAAAGCCTCTTCTCACACGGAGAAGGTTAGAGAGCATTAATCACCACGCTTGCTCAATGCGGGTTGGCGATTTTAAACTTATAATTGGAAATTATAAGCCCAGGTTTCCACATGATGTTTTCCTTCACCGTTTGTCAGTCTAAATAATCTTAAAAAGTGCATATAACTCGGAAAAAGTCACATTGGTACTTGCCGTTGGTAGGTTTCGAATCCGCACCCTCGTGCTTTAACTTCTTATAACAGCTATGTATCATATTATATGTACGGTTGTCTTCATTAAAGTGGGTAGTAGATCTATGGAGTTCCAACAGTGGATTACAATATGAATTATTCTCGAAAATTATATTTCTTATTCATTAATTAGAACTTATGCAAGTAGGTCTAGGTACCTCATTTACTTAATGACTATCATCTATTACCCTTGTCGTCATAACTGTTTAACCTTCAGTAATATTTGTTAGTATTTGATTATTGACAATCTTGACACAAATTAATCATTAATTACTTTGCGGTTTCTGTGTTAGTTCCCATTGCTGTGGATCTAATTAGTTCAAACAAAACGAACTGTGTTGATTCATAATAGCGGTCGCCATTATGATAATACGAGAGGTAAACAATAGAGTAGGTAGAAACCTAAATATAGACTGTACTCTTTAGGACTGGAATTAAGTATTCTAGAAATAAATCGAATTGTACTTAATAGTAAACAAATAAAAATATTCGGCTTTGAACCATTAAAAAAAACTATCTACATGATTCGATAACACTTGTGTTAAGGGTCAACGGATTTTATATGGACATTTTTTATTATAAAACCTAGATTTGTTAATTCGATTTATGAATTCCAGCCTCGCTAAAAAAATACAATATGACTGTGCAAATAAAGTTAAAGGCAACATTTCGTGACTAAACATACATTTTGTATTTTAAACGAATGAAATGGATAACAATTGAAAAGTTTAGCTAGTTGAGTTTTGTTATTCTGTTTTAAATTAAAAAGCATACGTTTCACAAATTGCCTCGTGTTTATGGCTCTGTACCTTCAATTTATTACTAACTTTTGCCTGGGACGTCGTACCTACGCACAAACAGAACATATAGTCTTTTTCAATCCCGTGGGAGTTTTGAAAAACCTGTCTTCGTGTTCCATAAAATCCCTAAAGAACTGCGCCTTTTGGGCTTAGACTGAAATTATGTTTGTGCCTTCTGCATACGCTGGAAGTCAAATTACAGTTTCCTACACCCAGTATCAATTGTGTGTTGTTTTTCAGTTAGTCATTCAGTAATGGAGAAAATTTTAATACATAATTGATTTCAGCTGATCTCCTAAGCCCTTTGGACTACGATTTCCGTTGGTATCTGACAGATACTATGTTTGGACGTGGTCAGTGCTCTCACGCTACCTGTATACCTTGTGGTTCTTCTGTAGCATGTGACGTGCCGTGGAGAACAATAATTGAACAGGTAAGTATTTTATAGGATAGGGACTCCCCTATCCTAAAACGAGTTTAAGTTTTTTGAAAACTGATATTGTTGAGTAGTTACTAACAAAAATCTAAAGTATTAAAAATAAAACAGTAGCAAAACAATGACAATTCAATATTAAAAAGGAGGATTATGAATGGAATAAGACCAAAACCCCAACGGCCAACAGTATCACATAATAGAAGTACCCACTCAATAGAATATGGTCATAACTATGGAATCTAGACAAACTAATTCAGATGGGTACTAAGCCACAGATAAAGCAACTATAAGAATAATAATGTCTGAGTAAAACTAAACTTCAGAACCTACGTAAGATCAACAAAAGTAAAAGTTGTAAAGGTTATGTAGTGACTAAATGACTAGTTTTGTAGTTGTTTTTCTAAGTAACTTACTTATTCCTTTTAAATAGATATTGTAGCATTGTGTTTTAACATAAAGGCAGTATTATTCAGACTGGTCCTTATAGTTCCTAGTGAGTCATTTGTAAGAGCAGGAAGTATAAGTTATTTGACTTTGAGTTCATGGAAATGGTTTGTGGTGGGGCTTTACAACACCACTTCAGAGATTTTTTCTCTTGCTTTTTTAATCATGCTTTGTTTTCTTATGGAAATAAAAATCATTAAAAATTTGCAGATTTGTTTTAGTTACGTACCTACTATATATATATCTTAAAATTATCCATATAAACAGACCACAAAATCTTCGAGCAACTAGTCGATTGAAGCACAAAACAGGTAGAAACCACAAACCTTAAAGTTTCGTAGGACTCTATTCATAACTGACGCTTCAGGTTCACAAAAGCTGTCAGGAAATGGTGTCCGAGTGTCGGTATAACGATGTGGTGTTTCCATGTTGCGAATATTTCCGTGAAGTAGACTCAGAACACGGGCCTTGCTTCTCCTTCAACACTCTACAGCACAAGTGAGTAATCTAATCTTTGTTATGATGATAAGATCATCGTGTGGACTGATACGGACGGACATAATTACGGATTCTTATCTGACTTATATTTTTAGGGGAGAAACCAGCTTGTTTGAGTTGAATAGGACCACTGGACCCGGAGTATTGATGTTTCGCTTGCTGTCTGATGCTGAAGTAAGATCTCTTTATGGTTTTCTCTGTAGGAAAACAAGGTATTCTAATAAAGTGATTTTTATGTTATTTGGTTTTAATTTCTTCTAGATATCCATACACAGTCCCGAAGAGTTGTCAACGTACTTTTTGGACGGGAAGTTAAAAGAAATAGTTCATACCTTCATAGAGAATCATGTGTCCTTATTGTTCTCCGTTGTGGAGATAGTCAACGGGGAACAGTTGCGGACCGAGCCCATTGAAGTGAGGCAATGCCGGTATTTGCATGAAATACCTGATGATCCTCTACATACTTATCCGGTAATAAACAAATCTACATGAAGATGTTATCCTGTTAACATCATTATCGAGTTGGTAGATAGGTGATTTCTTTTTGTATAAAGTACAGATATGAAAGCTATTATTATTGGTACTTCTCCAGGTGTACTCTTACGGAGCCTGTCGTTTAGCAGAGACAACAAAAGAGTTCTATCAGCAATGTGGTTGTGTACACCCTGTACGCGATCTTACATGTGAGTACCGATCATTGTCATCAAGCCCCTTGAAGGCTAAACATAGAAATGTATAGATAACATAAAGTGTTAGCGCCTGTCAAATTTTAAAACATTCAATTACTTTAGCGTGTTGATAATGGAATAAGTTTAGGGGCTACTATAGTAATAAATATTCATGATGTACTCAACTAGTAATAGCATGGGCTTTACATTTTTTCGGTGATTAAAACATTCTACTTTTTTCAGATAAAAATAGTTATTGCAATTATTCTGGAATTACCTGTTGGAATTTATATGAAGGTTAGATACTTACCTACTATACTAGATGGTTTTATTATATGTAAAATTGTAAGAGAAAAACTTATGAATTTGATTTAATTGTTTATTAAACTTTTAGGTCAAAAGGAAAAAATTGGTGCAGAAAAAATAACAAAAGACAACTGTTTGCCATCTTGCGTAGAAAGTGAACTTAAAACGATTCATTATTCTAAGTAAGTTTAATCTTTTGCAATTATTTTATGTTAGTTTAAAAATATTTAAGTTTTATTTATTTCTTGTAGGAGATGGGAAAAAGATGAAGACTCTGTAGGTACACTTGTGGAGGTCAAAATGGCATCATTACCAACACTACGATACCAAAGGAACTTGTTGCGGGACCAATTGGATTTAGTTGGTACGTTTCCATTATTTAAAAGTAAACTCATTTTTTAAATCATATTTTTTTAAATTTAACTTATATGTGAACTTTTATGTGTAATCATTAACATGCAAAGTCAACTGTAGAGATTATAAAACTCAATATTATTTCTCGACGACACTCGGAGTATAACTGACAAAGTTGTATGAAAACACAAATTACGATACAAAAGATATGATGTTATGTGTCACTGAAATAAAAAGGTTATTAGTGTATTTTTTCCATAAGACTGATTAAATTACTATTTGTATGTAAATAACTGGAATGTTATCATATATTATTTCAGTGGCAGTCGGTGGTATAGGCGGGCTGTTTTTCAGCGCATCTGTCCTGAGTTTGTTGGAAGTCTTTTATTTAATCCTTCGACCTATGTAGTAACTATTAACAAAATAAACAAATGACTTTAACCTAGTTTTATTTCTACATATAATAATTTTCTTATACTTAGCTCCAGAGTTGTGACTAGAATACAGGAACCCATCGTTATAGCAACGAGTAGTGTTATATCGATAAGCAAAACGTAAGCGATTGGTTTCGAGCAATTTATTAAAGTGTGGACAAGAATAATTTTATTGAGAGTGGTATTTAGTATAGTAATTTAGTAGCCATGGGTAATACTGAGAGCAATGTCACGAGTGGTGTTAAGAAACAAGCTGGTACATCTCAACAGAAGATGTACAAACTCGTTGATATTAAAGGTATGTAATGATATAGAACCTTATTGTCATTATCATAATCACCTTATTCCGTCAATTAATCCATCCAATAGACCTCTCAAATCAAATAACATACTACACAACTTAATCTTCAGTTCTTGATATTCAACCGGTCTTGCAGATATCGTTACTCTCCCTAGCTGTAACTGAAAAAATGATATAAGTAATATATAAATATATACAACTTAAGATACAATATATATACAACTTAAGATAAATATTTATCCCCGAAGAGGTAGGCAAAGGTGCACATTACGGTACTTAATGTCACTGTACAATGTAACACCCACTTTTCACTATTTATGTTATGAGTCCCATATACCGGGCACAATTCCAGACTCCGTGCTATGACTGAGATTATAAAAACCCAGTAATACTTTGCCCGACACGGGAATCGAATCCGAGACCCCTTGCCCGGCAGTCGCACTTGCGAACACTCGGCAAACGAGGCAGTACAAAAATTAAATAAAAGAAAACCAAAAAATAAATATTTACACAGAGCATCGAAAAATTTGTTTTCTTCATGTAATATTTCTTCAGGTGGTGGCCTTTTAGTGGACATGATGAAGAGAGCTCTCCAAAACAAACAGTATGCAGAGATAGACCATGCTATAAAGACGAAGGTGGAACCGTTTTTGTATAATAAGGGCAAAGGACGATATATACCCATATCCCACCTCGTGCTATTGAGGAATAAGGAGAGGTCTAGACATAAATTGGTAATGGAAACATTTACTCTCTCACATCTTTTTCCTAAAAAAAACTATAATATTGTTATAGAGACTATGAGTTCTAAATTTAATTTATTTATTGTTATTTTTAAAATAAATAACGTATGATATATTCCATTACAATAGTAATGTACCCATGTCAATTAGAGGCGAAAGTGTTGGTTAAGAAAGGGTACATTTACATTATAATTTCATTTTGATTTTCAGCTACCTCCTTTGAGAGGAATGGAAAACCCAGATGAAGAATTCGACGTGGAAAAAGATTGGCCATTGGTCACTCAAGAAGAGTATGATGCTAATCCATCTGGATATAGGGAATTATGTTGGGACCTCAAAGTATGCATTTAATAGATTTTTCTAAATTTAAAGTAGCGAGATTTTCCCAAAAAAGTTCTAGAAATTGTTGTAGATATAAAGAACATATCGACTTCTATATAATTTACTGGTTTGTCAATAGGAACGAGGTGCTGTAGGTGAAACCATTCTCCATTTGTGTTTATTGAACGCCTCCTCACTGTTGGCTAACCTTGCCAAGAGACTCCTGCGGTTCTATCCTAAACTCATTAACGATGTTTATATGGGAGACGAATACTACGGTAAGTTCAAGGTTTGGAAACTATTATAAAAAAATTAACAAAAGCTACGTAAAATAAATTTGATGTTAATAGCTCGTAATGCGTAGTCCGTAGGTCGTAGCGCGTAGTCCGTAGCGCATGAGGCGTAGCGCGTAGCACGTAGTGCGTAGGTTGTTGCGTATTTTAAAGCGCGTAGTTCGGAGCATGTAGCTTGTAGTGCTTAGATCGTAGGTTGTAGTTCGTAGTCTGTAGGTTGTAACCCGTAGCTCGTAATGCATGCCCATGCACTACGAGCTATACGACCTCGTAGCGCGAAGCTCGTAGCGCGAAGCTCGTAGCGCGTAGCTCGTACTGCGTAGTGCGTAGGTCGTAGCGCGTAGGTGATAATGCATACATCGTAGTACGCAATCGTAGCGTGTAGATTGTAGTGCGTAGTTCGTAGCGCGTAGCTCGTTGTGCGTAGGTCATAGCCCGTTGCAGCATTTTCCTGTTATAAATGTTAATCTCGAAGGCGTGCAAACCGTTGACTCAACTGCAAATCTTCATCTTCAAAGTTATTGGTTTGAACATATTGTTACAACTAAAACTATCGTATAATAACAGAATAATTCAATAAAAACAGAACGTATACTTTGACAACGTACATACGTTGTAGAGTTGGAGCTCTTTCGTGGGATACGCTGCTACGGTCTACGAACTACACGCTACAAGCTACGGTTGGAGTGTTTCGCTTTAAAAATTAGAACTTATAAATTTAGGACTAAGTATGTAGAGGTACAGTTATAATTTGGCATAAAGTTAAAAAAAAATTGTGGGTTTAGATAATCTGAAAGTATAATAAATAAAAATGCAATACATATAACACTCTCTTCTCGAAAATAAAAAAATTGGCGTCGAACCGTCTGCCAACGTCCGCATCATTTCAATACAAATCCCCCAATATAAGATTCATTACTTCTGAATCAGGCAAAAAGTCACGTACGAAATCGATTTGTACTCAAACAGTGCTTACATTAGAAATATTATGCTCGTCTGTGTTTTGGTAACGACTGGACATTTCATAAGTTCTTTTTGTTTAGATAACCTTTTGTTAATATAATATGAGACAAGTTATCTGTCGTTGAAACACTAAAACCTATTGAATCATCATTAGCTAAATCAGCTGATAGTGTGCCATAAATATCGGTTACAAAATAGTGGCAATTTATTAACTAAAACTAAAGATATTACGAACCTGTAAAACGCTTATTAATTGTTTCACTAAAATTAATTACCTCGAAGTTATTTCATAATATCGTGTAACACAATCTGATAGAGGGCGTGATAACGTCCATCAAAGGGTAAAATTAAACTGACAGTGATTTAGTGCTGGCATCCCTTTCATTTATTACCTTAGGTGGTTGGTAATAGCTATTAATATAATACCTACTATCTCTACTCAGCTCTGTTATGATCTGCTTCTAAATGTTGAGGTAATGTCAAATACCGAGACAATTTTCCTAGAAATAGGACTACAGTAATATAATCAACTGAAATCATAGCAATGAGTTGATACATTATAAATATCATGAAGATATTTGTAATCCAACAATTAGTTGTCGTGATGTGCACCTCTGCCTACCCCTTTGGGGATAAAAGGCGTGATGTTATGATATAATAGTGGCCACATTTTTATTGCATTTAGGTTAAGTGTCTTTGTTTAATTTACTAATACTTGTAGGAGAAAGTGTACTTCATATAACTATAGTAAACGAAGATCCGACGATGGTGAAGTTCCTTCTAGACGCTGGAGCAAACTATCATGAACGATGTTATGGGAACTTCATGTGTCCTGAGGATCAGAAGGCATCGCGCAACGACTCCTTTGACCATGAGTGGGTTAATGTTCAGCCGGAAACTAATTATAATGGGTAAATTCTACTAGAGGTATAATATGTATGCAAAAATCTACGTACACTGAATTGCACTTTAATTATTGTTATCCATGATTAAAGGCATTCAACTCAACCGTATTGTTACAGTTACGTTTACTGGGGCGAGTATCCTCTAAGTTTTGCAGCGTGTCTAGGCCAGGAGGAATGCTATCGGCTTATCCTTGCACGAGGTGCCGACCCTGATAAGCAAGATACTAATGGCAACACCGTGTTGCATATGCTCGTTATTTATGAAAAGATGGTTAGTCTGAAAAACCTTAAATGCGCGTAAAAAAGAAAGCATACCCGAATAGAGAGAATGTTTAATAATCTTCTTTGCAGGAAACATTTGACATGGCCTTCGAAGTGGGAGCTTCTCTAAACATTCGCAATGTGCTGAACCTGACTCCTCTGACTCTTGCTGCCAAGCTGGCCCGCACGGAGATGTTCTTCCACATCCTCAACATAGAGCGTGAGATCTATTGGCAGATTGGCGCTACGACATGCGCTGCCTATCCTCTAGGACAGGTCGACACCATTGACACGGAAACTGGGTGTATTTGTAAGGATTCTGCATTGAATTTGGTGGTATTTGGTGTAAGTAGAATAATAGCTAGATACACGCCGTGTGAAACATTGATAAATCTGATATAAATGTCAATTTTTTTTCATATTCTCTAGGAAAAAGACGAACACTTGGGTCTCCTAGAAGGAATGTTAATTGACCTTCTAAAGACAAAATGGAATACGTTTGTCAAGTTCCGATTCTACCGGCAGTTCATATTGTTTTCTTGTTACTTCCTAATATCTTTGGTGTGCTTCACATTGAGACCTGGCCCACCTGATAGGGCACTGAATTCTACTGCATTGAACGCTACAGTTGGACCTCTCAATGATACTGATCTGGTGATAGAAGTAGGTAAGTTAGTCACAAATCGTCTGTAATTTGGCTTGCTTTTAAAAAACGTGGTTAACTCGTGATTGTCTAAACATCAGATAATCCATTAATAATAGTTTTGATAGTAGGTATTTCCGCTATATATTGCATGTAAAACTAAACAGCTTAGGCTAGATTGTTTGCATAAATAGTTAATCTTATCTTTAAAAACAAGAGTTGGTGGAAACAATAACATTTCAGACCGCAACTTCTTATTCAGATACCTGATTTTATTACCTCCATAATATTATGCAATGATCACCATAATCCGCGTTTTCATAAAGACGAAGGTTTAGGTTTATTGCTATAATAAATGATCGGACCTTTAACCTTTCATTTTCGAAAACCACAAAACACAATCATTTTGTTGTCACTTTCACCTTTCGATGCTTTATTATTTGAAGAGACTTAAGTTTAGCTGTATTTATATAACGCGCGCGCTGAATTAATTTACCCGATAATGTCAAAGGGCCAAGTTGAAGCGTCGGATAAAGGTGCCGAACGGTTATCGATCTCGTTTCTCGTAATCATGAGAACTTGCTCCTATTTTGTAATACCTCGTAAAATGTTAAACGTTGCGAAATGAACACCAAACTTATATCGCAAAGAATATAACTATCTACTTCACTGCATCCCATTTCTTTTAATACTA